TTGAGACAACAACAATCGTAGAAACGACTGGGGCTGATGTCACTACCCCACAGACAACAACTGGGGCGCAGAAAACTACCAAAGTTGCTGAGACAACACCAGTGGTAGGTACAACTGCGGCTGATGTTACTTCTAGAGAGATACCAACCACCAAGGCTGAACCAACAACTGCTGCAGTTGAGAGAACAACAGTGCTAGAAACAACTGTGACTGATATCATTACCCCACAGACAACAACTGGTATGCAACAAATTACCAAAGCTGCTGAAACAACAACAGTGGTAGAGACAACTGTGGCTGACGTCACTTCTATAGATATGCAAAGTACCACGACTGAACCACCAACTGCAGCGGTTGAGACAACAACAGTGGTAGAAACGGCTGTGGCTGATGTCACTACCGCACTGACAAAAACTGCGGTGCAGCAAACTACTGAAGCCGCTGAGACAACAACAGTTGTAGACACAACTTTGGAAGAACATACTGCTACACCGACACAAACAACCAGATCCCAGCCAACTACTGCAGCTGCTGATACGGTTGAAAAGACAATTTTAGTTGATTTCACTACTAGACAGACGCAAACAACCACAGCCCAGCCAGTTACTCAAGCTATTGAAACGAAAACTTTGGTAGAGACAACTGTGGCTAATGGAACTACCACAGGTACACAAACAACGACAGCGCAAACAACAACTGCATCCACCGAGACAACAAATGTAGTAAAGACTACTCTGGCTGCTTTAACTACTACACAGACATCAAGAACCACAACACAACCAAGTACTGCAGCTGCTGAGACTACTGCAGTGGCAGAGACAACTGTAGCTGCTTTAACTACTGCAAAGACACAAACAACCAGAGCCCAACCAATTACCTCAGTTACTAAGACAACAACAGTGGTAGAGACCACTGTGGCAGATCTAATTACCACACAGACACAACCAACCCCATTCCAGCTTATTACTGCAGCTTCTGAGACAACAACAGTCGTAGAGACGACTGTTGCTGATGTCACTACTATAAAGACACAAATGTCCACAGGAAAACCAATAACTGCAGCTGCTGAGACAACAATGGTTGACAGAAGTGTAGCTGTAACAGGGATTACAACTGCAGCAGAGACAACACGGGGTGATGGTACACCAGACGTAGATACCCTGACTGTCAAAGAAACAACCGAACCTTCATATCTTTCAATGGGCATTGTTACAGTAACAGATTTTTCAGTTGCAGAAACATCCTTAGCAGCCGGAACCACACCATCAGTGCCAGAAATCACCCCTGCTCCGCAGATAACAGTGTCTGGCTTCTACACACAGGAAACTCGGACTACTCGCGAAGCAGCCACAACAAAAGAAGGTATGCTGGTTGTTAATAATTATTTTGGGGGATTTTGGACACATCGAGTGAATCTTTGTGATACTCTGTCCCTGTACGATTGTTTACCTTGCTTTTAAAAATTTTCATTTTCAAGTTTAAGTACTGATTCATTCTTGGACAGGCCCTTTAGTATTGGAAATTTTAGAATAGTGATATCATCCTCAAGGATGTATGAATTTTGCCCAGATAAACTATTCAGGATTTCAGTAATCCCACATATGCAACGAGTATAACGTTGCTTGTTTATTTCTGCAGATATCTTAATCAACCACTTAACTCATAATTGCCAATTTTGAAGCTTTCCGAGACTGCTACAGCAATTAATGTTTTAATGAAACTCATTAATTAAAAATTAATTATAATTTGTACTAACCATGTCCAAATACTCATGTAATGAGAGTCATTTCAGGTACTGCAGTTAAACTCCTATTTCTTTTTAAGTAATGTCGCTCGTTCATTTCAGCAGACGTCTTAAACACAATTGCCAATTTTAAAGCTTTCTGGGACTGCCAGAGTAATTATTTTTTTTATGAAAACAATTAATTAGAAAATCACCAATCATTTCTACTAACCATGTCCAAACAATCATGCGATGACATTCATTTCCACTACAAGTTACCTTTGTTATACTCTCTTTACAAGTGGCATTTTAACAAGCATTTTGCTTTGAACTTTACATTACATAACTTTTGAGAAGGTTAACTACTACACTCGCGGTATTGTTTCCCGAAATGCTTTAAAACTGGAACGGAAAACGTGAAAAGTTTATTCTTATTCATCAAATTAGTCTTTAATAGGGGCAAATGGATCGTAAATACTGTGTTACATGTATGTTTCAGCAAGAAGCGTTGAATCACGGACCATGATCCGCCGAATTCAGCGAGTTTTAGGCTACACAAATTTGCACACGTACTGAGTGCCACGTACATTCGTGTCATGCGTGATGGCAGCTGTTTCATATGAAATGTAGCTAAGGATTTCTCTGAAATAACGGTACCAGACGAAAATATATTCATGGTACGAGTCCAGCCCATTCCCAACGTTATTTGTGAAATTGAATCGAGATAATAGTAACAGAGTCGGCTAAACTACTGACTTTATCCTCCTGCTTTTTACGTGAATAATAATGCTGCACTGACTAGTCGTGTCATGTCCTCCAGCCTGGCAAGACCAAAAAGGGGAAACAACTTACTGGACATGCAACGGCAAAACTCTTGTTTATTACAAAAACTCCGCATACAACTTTCCGCACTGTTGGCACGTCAGAACAACTATTGCTTCCGCGCCTACACAAAAAGTATGACAAGAGCGCCTACTAATCCACGTGACCTATAGTAGGTATAAAATATCACAAAGCACGGCGTTTACCAATGTAAAGTGTTTCACATTCATTTACCAAATCATTTACCAAAAATAAAGCCGACAGTAGGTACCGTAGTCGGACTACTGACGTGCTGGGTATTATTCCATAAATTGGCTTTATTGTTTGTGAATAACACTAAAAACGCACTTTACGATGGACTGATACCAACCATAGGTCAGCTGCTTTAGTGGGCGCAATTAGTATATTGCCCGGTACTGGGAACTAGCCAAATCCCTCCCGCACGCGGCCTACCAAAAAGCCCTCGGCAGCCCAGAATAGAAACCAATTTCTGGTGTGCATACAAATTGCCAGAAGATAAAAGTATGTTTTCCGGTAAATTTTGGCAAAAGAGCAACCAATTTAACACCCGTGCGTTCGAATTGCAACCATTTTCCTCTCATGAATTACTGTGTTTCAGTTTTGCGAGAAAAAGAATGGCACAGAGGTTTAAATGGCTGCTTGTTTGCCGAAACTGACCGGTAATACCTTTATAAAGAAGCAAGTTAGGGCGCTCAGCTGAAATCCCTCCACCGACGGCATGAAAATAATCGAATGGAAACCAAAAGGCTATATTACAATCTGTTACAATAGTTGACGTTTTGACACAACTTCAGAAAGCCTGAAACAAAAGCTTGAAAGTTCTCGTGAAATTTTTCAAAGTACTAAAGGTGGGAAGGTTTTCAGCTTTGCTGTTTTCGTTAGCTTTTGTTTCTCTCGTCCCTCCTGGACGTGCTTGCATATTGCCCAAAACTCATCACAGATTACGTTATATCCCACTCACTATCAATCGTCTGCCCTGCGGGCGAATTAATCATTTAGCGCTTCGGGAATGAATGACGAAGACATGAATTCAGTTCACGAGAGCTCATTTTTGAAAGCTAGATCTACTTTCCATCATAATGTTTCACAGAGACGTACAACGAGCCTTTTGCGAATTAAATTTAAATGAAATTTAGTACACTGATGGTACAAACGCATGAAACACATTAGTACAATCATGTGACGATTTGAATTCCCCAGACTATAAGGGCACTTATGCTATACCGAGCGATTTACGACAAGGTTTTAAAAAGTGACCATCATGTCTGAAATGGACTGAATCTTTACTCCCAAATCATCCTTTGATAACCGTGTATTGGTGCAAGACGTTTCTTATGTCACTTGGCAAGTGCGTGCCCCGAATTAGACTGTATCCCGTCCCGCGCGTAGTATATAGACGTCCTACGTACGTAGGGACTAGTAGAGAGTAATGATTCCAGAGGAATCCTGCCAGTTTTATGTTAAGTAAATTAGCATATAACAGTTCACACAAGAGTTGAGTGCGTCTGGCGGACTGTTAGCTACTACCAACCGTAAAAAGAGTTGTGCTCAATAGAAAAAGGGGAAAATAATTTAATTGAAAATGATAAAGTCAAGAGTTTATGATATCAACGTGGATTATTTATGTTCATGTTCTATCTCAGATATGTTCAAGGGTTTCCGGTTCATCGTAGTGCAATGAATCCTGCGCGGAAGTAAAGAATGCGTGCTCTCTGCGTTGGAGAGGTGTTAATTTTAATTACAGGTTTTGCCCTTAGCGTCTTTCCATTAGAACTTGCTCAGAGACTTTAGGTTTACATCTCCTCGACACAAAACACATCTTGAAATAGTTCGCGGTACCCGCTGCTCAGTGGTCGAGTGGCCGCACTAGTAAGCAGGAATTGATCGTAGGTTCAAGTCCCACAGAAAACTTGTGAATTTTTTCACAGGCTCTCGGACTGGCACTAAGAATAGTTTTAATCAGTGCACGTCAGGTAAGGGCAAATTCCATACTTAAGAGAATGCGTGTGTTTATTAAGTACTCACTGTGTGGTCGCCTCTTCAGTGACAGTCACATCCGCAACTCTGCAAAAACAAAATTGCAGAAACATTCATTTAAAATCTTGTTTGTATTCGCTGAATGTATCACCAAAGGCTTACGGTTATGTCTGCAATTATTTAAAGCAAATCCGTAGGTTTAACGTTAACCAAATTTTCGAACAAAGTGAAAGACGAATGGTTTCTCGAAAATTGTCCGTTACAATGTAGTCGGGTGCCTGGATTAACAAGCGCTCGGTAACGCGATATCAAATTGGAAAACAAGCAGGGGCTACCGTCCTGTGGCCAGCGCTAGCGCTTCGTTCGTCGCCCAGAGCCTGAACTGGGTGCTGGCGCGGGGACCCTAGTGATTGTGCATGCCCTGTTACCGTGAGGTTAATATTTAAATTTTGGGGCTCGCAAATGGCAATGTCTCGACACGGTCAAATTGCCGGCTATATGATAAAAACATGGCCTTTGTACCACACGTGTCTTTTAGCAATAATTTTCAAATTAATAGTTATCTTGATCAGTTTTGGGATTATAAATAAATAAAGTGTAGTGAGAATATTTTCCACTTGGAGGAAGAAAAAGAAAAGTATCGAATTGATAACTACCGGTAATGTAACACATTGAGCTAGCTGGCGCGGCTGGCAGAACTTTACTCCCAACGCTCTGCGTGCCGTCAGCTGTGACGTATTTCCTTCACTAAACTCTGTGAAAGGCGACCAGCCCTTCCCCTCAGCGGGCGTTGAGCGACGAGCGAACGCTGGCGCATGCGGTTGGTCATTGTGTAAGGTAAAACTGTGTCCCGCGTGGTAAATAAATGACCGGCAAATAAATGACCCGACAGCTCCCGGTAACGTTAGAAGTCTATCACCCAGACTGTGTATTTCAACTGTTTTCATACAGCTTTCAGCCAGACGTCGTATTTTTTTCTGGAGTGATTACGGCAAAACACTGCGACTGTTATACGCGGGTATCCATGGCGACCGAGTCGTGCGTGCAGAAGTTGTACTCATTGTCATCATACGAGTTTAATGTGCTCGAGTCCGGTGACTTCCTCTGCAAATTGGCCGTGGCAGCTACAAACTCATGCAAGACTTCAAAGACTGCTACCCTGTAGAAACATATTTCGATTGATTTTACATCTTCCCAGAACGTTTATGGTATCCACAAAGAAGATAAAATGACGTATTTTCCTCCAAGTATTGAACAAGTACATTTCTTTTGAACTAAAAAACGGGAACCAACTGGTTCAATTTGTTAACCATAGTTCGACTACATAATTCTTATCAAACGCAGCCTAGTCGACAATGGACTAGATTGGACTTCTTTAGTCGACCATTCACAACCAACCTCGAGGTAGGTCGCGTCGTTGGTTGCCTTTTAATTTTAAGTGTAATAGCAGAAGTGCAAAGAAGACCAGTTATAAGATTTTGTGGAAAACAGTATTTCATTACAGTATACAATCATTTTCAAATTTCTTTGGCTATTTTGTCCCTCTTACAGCCACCCTTTCTCCCCATAGGCGTAAATTAGGCCTACCTGACAACAATTTACTAGAGTCGTTCGCACTCCAACTCCACTGCCCATGCAAACCAACCACCAGTAAACAATTATTCCTTGGTCGAACCATAGAGCCAGGAAAAGTGCTCTATGGTCGAACTTGTCTTTCTACCGGTATGCAGGCAGAAAGGGTCCCTTACAAGATATTGGTTGTCAGGTTTCTGTTGGCGCAGGGGTGGATTTTGGGATTTTTCGGGGGTGTCAGGCCAGAGATTTCTGTGTAAAGGGGAAAACAATTCTGAAAATTTACTTGACATCAACGAAATGTCGTGTTGTTTTTACAGCTACTTTATTATTTTAAATTATATACATGTATTCCTTTTTTTAGCTTTTGGTGCCATAACAAGGGGGATTGATCCCCAGTCACGCCATCAGCGCCCTTGTCGTCTTGTTGACAGATAACATGTCGCCAGCGTCTGAGAACGGTGCCAACTGCATGTGAGCTTTATCCAACCATTAGACTACGCATAAGAGCGGGAGGGGTTTTAAGCGTCAACATCGGGGCTGAATTTTCAACCGGCAGTAGGCGTATCGATTCTTTAGTTGTCTCTATTTGATTAGAATCTCCATGCAAGAATGGCGCGGGTCCCTTGTCATCACCCAGCGGCGTGTCCAACTCTTACCGTGTGGGGGGAGTGAATGCCGCTTCGGGCTTATTCAACATGATTTTAGGGAATAAAAATTATCAAACGCCTTACTCAAGGTTCCGGCACCCTTGATTTTATTCATGGTGTTGTTTTCTTAGGGTTTTGGCGCTTCAATTTGATAAATAAAATATTAATATTAATGTTTGAATAAAAAAAAATTCCGTCGGGGGAAGTTGGATACTGTCATCACAGAATGCAAGCTGGAGAAAAATACAAGTCATGCAGTTGTCACCTTGTGCCAGAGGATAATATCCAGCTGAAAGGCCTGTAATACTTTCTTCACTTTGTGAAACTAGGCAACCAGTGTGTAAAGCAAACAGTCGTTTGAATGGAACAAACCCCAAAGCTTGGCGTTTGTACCTCTCCGAGTGGATTTAGTATCGAACTTCTACCAAGGTAATGGATAGGGGCTACTTGTATTGTAAAGGTGTGAGGCATCCTTGGCTTTCCCGCTTTGGTGTTTTTTCAGGAAAAAGATACTCACTGATGATAACGTTTGCATTTTCGCTTGTGTAAGTGCGAATACACAAGCCAAATCTATTCAGAGGTGCATATATAGGGAAAATTTCAATGACTAAATAATGATGCAAAAGTTTCCTATGGGCCCAATATGGAACTGCAAACTCAGTTTTCTCGATGTAATAATTTCTGGCGTTTGCGACTATTTCCCATAGACCTTGTGTGTCAGCGTCTCCAATAATTAGTAAACAGTCCGCGGGTGAGATGCCAGGATAGAGTTGCCACGTTCTACCAGGCGAGGCTAACTACAAAAGAGCCCACTGTAGCTGCGGGGGCGCTATTACCAAATAACGACCTTTCATCAATACATATTGTTAAATTAAAGCCATGGTGCGTTCCGCACGTTTTGTATTTTCTGTTGTGCATTTACTTATCCAGTCCACCTATCTTTTTGAACACTCACCCACCATTAATTAAGAGTCTTGGTGATGCCAAGAAGCAATTTGCCATTCTCACTGCAGACGTAAACAGTCAAGAGATTTTCGGTGATACGTTTAATCAGGTTTATCTAAAAAAATACAAACCTGGTGCTAAGGAAAGATATAGACCTACGGTACATGTGATAGGTTGTACAAGAACGTACTCCTTGAAATGCGTTATTTGGTGTAAATCTCTTGTGCAACGTTTCTGAAATGTCCCCTACTGACAGTGGCGGCCATGGCCGTGGAAAATGGGGAACTGACACCATAGGCCTATATCACTACATGTATATGGGGGCGATGTTCATGATACAGACATACATCTGTAATTATGTATAACATCGTGCAGAATGTAACATCATAACAGCATGTTTATAGCTTTTTTATTGTAAAATATTATTGGTGGTTGGGAAGTCTAAAAGGTCGGGGATGATGCAATAGCCCATCATCCCCTGATCAAGGGGGGGTGTATACTCCCGTCCCCGTACCTACTTATTCTGCCCGATAGGCCTAAACCTGAAGTCCCAAAGAAGTTTAATCTGGGCGTATGCCCACACCTAAACTGTTGTCGAACCTCCCGTAAAGTGCATTCCAATGAAGATTTGAAATCCTTGAAGGAAACAGTGAAAAGATTTTTCCTTTCCTCTTGATTCAACACTCCATGAATAAGGGCGCGCTAAAGATGCCGTAAGGAGCTTATTCTTGTTTGCTCAACAGTTTCGTTTTTCTCCACAACATACTAAGAGGTTACTGAAAATAAGAAACTGTGTGGCCCTTGAAAATTCGTGTCAATCCCCTTCATCTGAAAGCCACTTTACAACTTGGCAACAATTCCTTCGATTTTAGTGTGATCTAAATGTGCAGCTTCGCTCCAACATTTACATCAGTGCAGGGTTCGTCTGGTAAACTCACGAATTTTCTACACCCCACATGTTTTGCTTATTTGCAGCGTGAGAGGTTCACTTATTTGGTTACCAGCACATCTTTTCTGCTTTATTGGGCACAGCCAAGTAACTTTGCAAATATGCCCAAATCTATGAGAGTCCAAAACAGCAAAAATTAATAAAGTTTATAATAAACATTCAGTAACCTACGGTAAGAGCGCCTCGGAGTTCAAAGGATTGAGTTTGTTTCAGACTTTTGTCTCTAGTTTGCAAACGAAGTTTGATTTCTCATACGTTTGGTTAATCTGAAGATTGATAACTTGTGTGTAGATTTGTTGTCTTGTCTTTCATCCTTTGATTTCGATTTCTTATCCTTTGGTTTCTAAATTTTTTCTTTTGTTTTGTCCGTTTCTTGGTTTTGACTTTCTGATTTTTGTAAATTTGCCCTTTTGTTGTGCTTAATCCGTTGTTTGATTTTGAATATCTTTTTGTGAATTTGTTCCGTCACCACTTGACTTTGTTTATATACAATTTTGTTCTCTGGGTGTTTTGTAATTTGTTAATGTTTGTCTTTTCACAACAATATTCCGTGGCTGTTGTTTTTTCCTTTATATATTTCTGAATGATTGTTATATATTTTATTCGTTTTGGCCGTTTTGGCCGCCCATTATAATTAAGCAAAAACTCTGGATATCTTTATCGAGATTATTTTGATTAACTTCTCAGTGATACATAAACCCTTTTGTCCGCAACGGTCTTCAACACTTGTAATTATGCGGACTAACTTCACGTACAGGCCTGTTGATCAATATGCATGGCCCTTGACGATTATTCACAACAGCTTGTTGTCAAACTTATGAATGCTAGGGACCCAAGGTTTTTAACGTTTCAAAGTTCTCCAGTCCCATTTTATATGGTTTAATCTTTTAGTGTCGGACGTTTTCCCTTGATGTAAGTTTCCACTGTGATGGTTTGGGGGAAAAAATAATCCAACATCACGGTAAATCAGCATGTCCGATCTAGCAGGCCTATGACTCAAAAAGGGTTACCACATTTTCACAACGTGGACATGATCTGCAAAATGCGTAGCGGCCTACCCCTTTAATTAAGAATTTAGTTGTTGGACTCATTTAAAAATATACTTAGTAGTCTACTCGTAGTATTCTTCTCATTAAGTAATTCTAATGCCGGCTTTTGTCTAAAAAAATGAACACAATAAACTTCATCTCCGTTCTTTGAAAAATGTTCTACTGAATTATTTCATGATCACTTTTGTGAGCGTTTAGAGGGAATTGCTGCGTTCAGTCGTGAGTCGGTACAAATTCAGAGAACTAATTTGAAAATACAAATAATGAACCAATGCGTTTTCTTCACGCAGGGCATAGGTGAGTAGATTTGCAACATGTCTAATGTTGCGATGAACACTCATGTTTTATGTATGTTGTGAAATCGACTTGAGGATAATAACCAACAATTATTTGCCGAGTATTTCAGGCCTCAAACCAAGTTATAAACCTGCTATACGCACGCGTGGTGTATCAACCTTGCATAATATAGACTTATGTAACAGGGTGGGTCGCAATTCTGGACAAGTGTCCGGGTTTTAAGAAGATAAGTTGTACCTTTTGTCAAGCATTCAAACATGACGGAGACGCTACATATGAATGCCGGGTGTGTCCACCGAAGTTGTGTGTACCTTAGCACCACACAATAGGGAAGGACAAAAGCAAGGGATTGAACTCACGGTTTGAGGCTATTATGTGAATCATAGCCGTCCACGGCATCATGCACTCAGCTTGTGCTCCACCACATCGATCGACCGCCATTGAAGATTCACTTGCCCTAGGCTGGTTACATTTCACACTTCTGTATCAGAATTCAGCGCGGATCTGTTACACTTTCAGCAGTAAAAAAAATCCACCCGTTGACTGGGCAAATCATTCGGAACCTTAAGTGGAACTGAAAGCAGATGAGACGAGTGACGATGAACTTACTTTTGATGGATGGGACGAGATGCTTCGATTTTTGATGAAATTTTGGATTATCTATAGCATACATGGCCACCCCCAGAATCGCTGGCTACTATGTCGCGTTGAATGGGAGTCATTGTAAGAGCTAAAATAACTTTTACAGGTACACCACTCCGTCCAACATGCCGCTGAGAATTCGACTACAAAGTGGAAATGTCGTGATGTTGCTTTCCATTACGAAATCATCAGGGTCGGGAATTTCTGCGTTATATGGCTGACATGACTTGTTTTTATCAGCGCCGTATTATTAAAGACTATCAGTGACTTCTTATCTTGAACTCCTCGGTGGACAGTGGGATGGGCCTGAAAGCTGTTAGCTCATCGAAAATAAGCCTGCAAGGAAATTGGACAGCACAACTACCCAACGCTTGACAAATTATTACTTGTGGCACCGTACCAATGTGCAGCCGTTTCACTTCCAGAGCTTGCCCTATGGGATAAACCGTGTTTGCTGCGTTGAGAGCCAATCGGTGTCGATTGCTACTCTCGTTCGATTAGTGCCGGGCACGCATGTTCACGAGACGTGGGCCCTGTTAGATTAGGATGTTGATTTCAATCAACATAGACTCAGATCCGTCTAGATTATTTCCAGGGACTGTGATTGCTTTATCTTGCAGAATTTAAGAAAGAAAGGTTGACTATACTACTTTTGCTTTAGGAACAGTGACAGAGAAGGCAGTGATGCATTAATTAGTTGTTGGTTGATTGCTTATGGGGATAAAAAGGTTAAAGATTTGGATTTTCATGTATAGGACAACTTAGGTATATGAAAATTCTTAAAAGGTAATGTTACTCTCGGTTTAGTGAGAAACTGCAGCTTAGGGTTTCTTTTTCATACATACACACAGTTATTTTTAGTGCAACTCCTATTGATAGAGATTTTTTTCTAGTTTCTTTTGGATAGGCCATTTAATTTGGGACCAAACAGTGCAGCAGGAATTACTTGCCATCTTCAATAATTAAATAATTAGTTTTATTTACTTCAAAAGTCTCATTACTTTTTTATTTTACGTGGAGTCGTTGGGTTAGAAATTTACACTGGGTAATTTTCTGCGATATGCAGGAATTCTTTCTTTTTGCTTTTGTAGAGAAAAGAAAATATGCTTTAACTTTAGAGGAGCAGCTAGGAGTTTTGTAGGAAACTATAGATGAGTGGCCCATGGTAAAGCGAGCTCACTCCAGCAGCAGTGAGGTATAACTGTAGTTCATAGAGAACTTGCAGATAGATTTCAGATCTAATGTTGAAGTGTTATGTTGCAGACACCTGTTAGGCCCTTGGAAAAACACAGTCAAGGTCCACATTTTCCCTAAAGAAGTGCAGATTTAAGGTATAGGATCGTCCTTCACTTACACTAACCCCTGATCCTAAATCTTAGAATCTCCATTTCTGCCAGGGTGGATAAGTGACCAGGGTTTTGTTTTTGCAGGTCTCCGTGTTTTGCTTCATTTCATTCAGCCAGCAGAAGGTTTAGTGTAATTTGATCAGTCAGGTGTAAATAAATTTAGTGTAGTCACAGAGATAGGACAGTGGGACTGAGCTCGTTTCACTACAGGCTACTTTGCTTTAGGGCTTGTCTGAAGTCTGTCCCGTCTGTCCTGTCTGTCCCGTCAGTCCCAATTTTTCATTGCATTATTTTGCCCGCATTCACCTTGTTAGAATGATGCTTGTAATGCTTTTTTGTAATCATTCTCTCCTAATATACAGAAGTTGAGGCTATTGCCGTAGGTGATCCTCACTACTACACCTTTGACGGCCGCCACTTCACCTTCCAGGGTTACTGTGAGTATCTGTTTGCCTCAGATTGCATAGCGGATAACTCACAGTTTGAAGTGGTGGTTGTCAACCAGCAAAGTTCCAGCAGTTTCCAGACGGCAGTCACTCAGTCTGTGCGCATCACCATTGGTGACACGGTATGTTTGCAACTGAGTTGTCATAGCAGCTCATTTCCTCTTAAGTGTCACCCTGAAATATGTGTCATACCCAGTTTCTTACCTCTGCCAGTTTTATGTTTTACATAAAATACACTGTGGAATTCAAAATGGCATAATTTGCTTGATGATAATAAACTCTTGAAGTATGAAAAACCAATGCTGCTTTTACTGATTTAACAATGGAAATATACCTTTATCTTGTCCTTTTCAACAGGTAATTCAGCTTCAGCGAGGCAGACAGCAGTTGGTCAATGACATTGCTATCAACACTCCAGCATTCTTAGGAAATGACATCAGTATCAGGAGAACCGGTCTGCAGACGGTGCGTATTTTGATGTGAAATTTTTCTTACACTGAGTGGTATTGAGTGATACCTGCAGAGTCTAGACTTTCATGAAGTTATTGCATCTAAATAATTTTGAAAGTCTAAAAGCTGTTTACTTCTGCATTGTTAAGACGTTAGAAGAGCTTTATACTATGCATATTTATTGGTTTCTAGTTATAATTCTGAAACAGCTTTTACTTGTCCTCAACTTTCATTTCAGAACTACAATGTTAAATGGTTTCCCTAATGATCCTAAATTCTCAAACTGTTGGAGGATTCAGGAAAGCTAAGATTAGTGTGTTCTGCAATCTACAAATAAATTGTTGTGAGATACGACTTCTGCTATTTGGAATAAGTGAAATCTGACTTTTGATAGGTTAATCATGACTAAAAGATTGCAATAGAGGTTTGATATCAGAAAATCATATTTTGACACCCTCATGACTGATACATCAGTGTTAACATTACATCCTTCTCGAGTTTTCAATAGAAAAGCTCTGCAATTATGTACAGAACATATTCATTATTAAAAAACTGTTGAATGCCAATGCCTTCATGATTGCAGTCTATTTTGACCCCTCTTGGACTGCGAGTGAAGTGGGACGGCTCTACCGGGGTGAAGGTGCTTCTGAATGGAACTACCTACGGGATGATGATGTGCGGCCTTGGAGGAGACAACGATGGAGACCCTAATGATGACTTCACTTCCAGCTCTGGATCACTAGTAAGATGTTGATAGGGACTTTTTCTTCATTATTGTTTAGAAATAAAATTTATATTATTGAGATAAAAAGGGTAAATTTGCTGGTGCACTTCAGGAACTCTTTTGAAGGTTCATTCTATTGGTTTTGATCATTTTAGACTGTACCTGGCTTTATCCACTTATCCAAAAATCTGAAGTGATTGAGGGGAGAGTAAAGACTTAAGTAAAGGACTTTATATTACCCTTATGTACACCATGGAATTAGTATTGTGATGTATGATATCTATGAAGGGAAATGTTGGTCTTCACTGTCAATTGTTTGTCTACCCAAGACAGCAAATCATTATTCCTACAATAATGGATGCAACTTACTTATTTCTATCTTTTTATTTCAATCTCTTTGACAATAATGGGTTATAATAGTTGTAATTACCATTCCCCTTTTTTATTTAGTCTTCCTTGTTGGCATTTGCCAATAGCTACATAGCTAATCCAACACAGTGCCCTGAGACATCAACGAGCATACCAAGTCCTTGTGACAGCAACTCAACTGTTGCTGCTATTGGAGCAATGATCTGTAATGACATCATAAGATCTGATGGTGAGATTTCTAGGACAGATTTTGACTGTTCTTCTGAAGAGTTATTTTTTTGCTCCAGTATGCTTTTTTTCTCCCCCAAAGATGAATTTGGTATGTTTATTCACTGGAATCAGACAGTTGTAGCCAAACTCAAGTTAGAGGTCAAGAGTAAATCTTTCAAAATGAAAACTTCACAAAATAACAATCTTAATTGTTTGATTGCACATCATACCGATGAGATCCTTTGATGTAAAAAGCTTCCCTTAATTGTGCCCAAGACATGTTCTTTTGACTATCTATGATATCAAAAAGTTGTACATATTGAACATGACAATTAGACATATTGTAAGTATGCTTGTTTTTTTTCTTTTTACTTCAAGGTCCATTTGCTGCATGTGCTGAAGCAAATCCAACATATGCGAGTTACTTCTATAGCGATTGCCAGTACGATGTATGTGCATCTTACCCTGACACATCCCAAGCGTGTGACACTATTGCAGCTTTTGTGGACACCTGTAATGCTCGAGGCTACCCTCCATCTGATTGGCGTTCATCAAGCCTTTGCCGTGAGTTTGCTAAACTTCACTCTCTCTTGGTTTTGGTTAGGTGTTACCAATTCAGCCTTCAGTTTCCTCTGAAGTAATTCCTGGAATCTGGGAAACATTCTTATTTTGTTAAAAGAATTGTTTCTGTGCATGTTCAGATTTTTCTGTAGTAGTTTAAGTTATAAATGCCGGATATGTTTTAAAAGGGCCTTGTCTTCAGTGTCACTTTATAACTGGTTGTTGCAGAAGTTACAAACAATTCTGTATCTTTCAATTCTAGTGTTTCCATGCTCTAGTATAAAAGTGCATGCTATATGGGAAGTTCAATTCTGTGCTTTAAAATGATTTCTGACGTTCAAAGATTCCTAGTCATTTCATTACTTTTCTATTGGAAGTAACAAAACTGTTCAGTAAGAAAGGTAGAGAACCCATAGATGCATCGGTGCAGTTCCAAGTGCAACAGTAATTGCATGATCACAGTGGATATACATGTACATGTAGTTTAATGAATCCAGCCAAAGTTATTATTCACTGAGGAACCAGTAAAAGTGGATCTGGGGAGGAACGACCATCCTTGGTGGTCTGGCCCCTGTTTGTAACAGCATTCATTAAAATGGAAGGTGTTGAAAGTAGTGACATAAGGCACTAAAAGCTCCTAAAATTGCAGTATACAGTATACATGCACTGCTCTAGAGGTATTGGTAATATAGCACTGGTTTATATGAATCTGTGCACTTTGCATGGAAGTCAGTTGGTTCTGCTACTTTCCATGTGGAGGCCATTTGCTTTTGTCAACAGATTATTGTTCATGGTGCGATCTGGGGATTCAATGACCTGTCTGTCCCTGGACTGCATCTTGGGTGTGGTTTGAGTTCCCATTATATGCATTGAATGGATAATCTCTTTATCTGTACCTTGCTATTCTGATTTAAATCTCTTTCAACCAGGAATCTGTAGGAAAAGGGAATGAAGCCTTCCTCCAAAGGCTTTCACACTTCCTTGCATGGAAATATGTGGTGAAATGCGTGGGAAACATTTCAAGATAATTGTGGTGTTGATCATGCCAAACTGAATTCTTCTGGCCCTTATTCTCCATTTTTCTTCGATTAGATGTGGATTTAATGGCTTTAATATATGTCCTTCAAGTGTTATTAGCAATTTCAGTCCTTTATTAAAGTTCTCCAAACTCTGGGACCCTGGTGGACCCCTTAGTTATGGTTGCTTCCCACCATGTTCTAAAAGTAGCCACCGAGCTTTGAAATCTGAATTCCAATTTGCCAGGTTTGCCTTTTTAAACATGTCTTAGATGTGTCATCTTTTCACTACATTATGTTGATGAAAAGAGCATGTCCAAATTGCTTCCAGTTTTCACAGAAAAACATGCCCTAAAGAAGCCTAGAAATGCACAAGATCCTGAACTTTAATAAATGGGTTCCTATTGAGTGGGACTACAACCTCTTACTAAAGCCTGGCCCCATTCACATCAAGTGTGGAATTTAGAGTTTTGAGAACACTGACATCTATTTTTACAGCATTTAATACTAGTCAAATTGATTTTTTCAGAGTTTGGCAAGTATGAATGCAATCTCTGTAATGTTGAATTTGTGTTATTAAAGGTCTAAGCTTTTTTACTTTTTGATTTTTTTATTAGCGATTGCATGCCCTGCAAACTCTTCGTACAGCACATGCAGCAATGATTGCGAGTTGACATGTGCTGACTACCGCCGCGGCAACCAGTTGGAAACTGCATGCGATGAGCTGCCCTGTGTTGAAGGCTGTGTGTGCAACAATGGCTACTACCAAGAAGGGGATAGTTGTGTTCTGCCAGAGGAATGTGGATGTGTCTACCAGGGCAACTATTACAATGTATGTAATGTGTATTACACGTATATACATGTAACCTGATTTGGGGGGGTTGGGAATGAATTTGGGCTTTTCAATATCCTTGCTTTTTACTACATATAATTGAAAAAATATTTGCCTCCAGCAAAGTTCAATCCTTTGAGGAAATGAGTATCTTATTTCAAAAAGATGTTTGGTATTGTTCACTTTTTGATTCAAGCAAAGAAAAAAAGATTTTATTAGAGTAGGTAACCTGCTAATTTGAGCACAAACATCCAAAGGAGAAGTTAACAGTTTGCAATGTATAGAATTCTCTTCAAATGACTTAAGAAGTTAAATTTTTCAGATGTTTGTTAAAGTATATGTCAAGATTCTTGGAGACCATATGTAAAAATAGTAGGTATTTAGTTGAGTGTCATACATAACTTCATTAGGATGAAGCACTTCAAATGCATTACTGCTTAATGCAGTGTAAACTGTTATTTTACAGTAAGAACTTTCAAAAGTTCGTCTTAAAAGATGTTTGCCCAGAGCCATAAACTGATTATACTTTCTCGTCCCTAACCCCCTGGATTAAAGTGTGATTAAATAAATCATTGTTGCATTGAGCATTAAGATTGAAGAATTAGTAATAAGGAGGTGAATGGGCTGCAAGATGCTTACCATTCCTGCTAAATCTAATCTGATTATTGCCCAGGTATTAAGCAGAGTTGTTTGACTGTCTGCTCTGTGGAAATCGGGATGGAGGATCAGGTCATGAAATCACATAGGAAAGAATCTTTGGTGGTCACATGTAACTATGAAGCCCTTGTGAAACCCTGAAATAGCTTATTTACATTTTGGTCCCTCAGATGTTAAGTATAGCACAATATGTGTTCATTTCACTTTGTAGGTAAATGAATCATTTTTGATGGAGGGATGCGAAAATACTTGCACTTGTGGAACTGGAGGAGTAACCACCTGTAAACCTAGTAACTGCAGTGTTAATTCGGTGTGCCAGATCATCAATAATGCCTATACCTGTGTCTGTACAGAAAGCTATGAAGGAGATGGTTATACTTGTGAACGTGAGTATAAGTTAAGGCAGTTCTGTGGAAAGCAGTTGTTCAAATTCCATGCCATGGGATCTGATTTTTGTCACATTTGCCAGTTTGTGATTCCAATGAGTAAATCTGAATCAGGCCCTTCACTGTTAAAGAATTTTCCAGCAGAGAATGTGACAGCAATTATACTTTTAAAGTCATCTCTTATTATAACAAGAAAGCATAAACTTTATATCCTTTATTAAATGTACATACTCATCATACCAAATAATGAATGTTCCACAAAACTGACAGAACCTTTGTTGATAGTTTGACTCCGCTTTGTTCCCCTTCAGTTTTCCATTCGATTCTGTAATGAGGGCACTGTAGGAGAGTAAATTTTGACCAATGTGTTTTCCTGGAATGCATATTGATTCCCTCAGTTTTCATATCTAGCAGGGACAGATGTGTAATAAATCGATCTCTCCAAATATACGTGCAGGTGCTTGCGAGGCAAATCAATTCAAATGTCCTGAGGGAACCTGTGTACCAAGTGAATGGATCTGTGATGCCTTCCCTGGAGACTGCAATGACTTCTATGATGAGGACGAAACACTTTGCTGCAGTAATTAATATATCTGTCTTTTTCACAGTAAAGAAAAGGGTCAACACACACCTGTTTGGCTGTGTGACTATTTCTGAAAAAAGTGAACTTGATCAAGTTATTAATCTCACATTTTGACAAAGTGTACATTCCTTCATTTTAAAATACAGTGCCATTTAATAACATTGGACTTCAATCTTTTGTTTAATGTCTGTGTGTAATAAGTTTGCCTACTCTGATTAATCAAAGTGGGATTTTGTTTCATTGCGCCTAAATGAACATGACAAGCCGCTTATCAAAATGAAACAGTCCATTAAGATGGCGACTTAAATATTACTTTTATGCTTAGCTGTATTCTGCTTCTCTGAATTCAACACTAATAGGGTTGTATAAAGTCACAAATACCCCACTTTTACATTCAAAATATTCTAACCAATTTGTCTTGTAAATTTTTCAGATATTATGAATGTAACAACTCACTGCCCCAAGCCAGACTATTACCGTTGTCCAGATGGTGTCTATATACCAAACAGCTACCTGTGTGATGGCATTCCTTATGACTGTGGTAACAATATGGATGAATCAGAAGAAGTTTGCAGAGGTATGAACTGTATAATTAGACATTCATAAGCTCAGTGTTTAATATATTACAGGCTCGGAATCTAGTAAGAGCAGTATTGAGATTTTTAGTCAAGCTGAGGTAGCAGGTTGAGCAAGAAACTTGCACACCTATCATATCCCCCTCACCTTGTTTGTCAAGGTTATGTGTGCGGGATTGGTTATGTTTGTTCAACCCCAGGGTGGGAATTTTGCACTAGAGACATTTTTTTTCTATTGCATCTACATTGCATACTCAAAGACTGCGTGGGATGGGGGTTTGTCACTTCAGAAAAGATAATGCCCGTGTATGCCAAGGATTGGGTAGCCTTGGGGTAGGATGGGGCTACATTCTTATCAAGCAAGTTTTTTAAAAGGCGAGATGAAGTGTAGATCTTTAAATCCATGCAAACTTTAATTTTTACAGGAGTTTGCCCGTATCCAGGTGACCTGGCAAATGGACGAGTCGGTCCACAAAAGTTTCAGTACCGTGACGGAGAGAGCATATTCTTCCAGTGCTTCAGTGGATATACCAGAGTTGGACCTAATGAGATTATGTGCAACAATACCATATGGTCTGATGACTTGCCCATCTGCTATGGTAAGTTGAACTCAAGGGAAAAAAGTATGTTAATGTGTGCAGCAGTAGGGCTTCACAAGGCTTTTGCATGCAAAATTGAATACATATGCATCAAAAATAAATTGCAAGTACACTAAAGAGAAAATGTTATTAATTGTAGGGAAAAACATGCCATTTTAAGGTTTTTTGTGCTACTGGTGTAATTACATGAAGAAATTGCTTTTTTCAACACAAATCACAATTGATTGTGTTGAAACATCTAAAGCATATTTTTCCATTCAAAACTTTATGTATGTGAAAATACTTGTCAAGATTCAAAGTGTTATGGAAATAACTTGTTTCCTCCTAGAAAACTGCATCATTCCTGTACCTCCGGCCCATGGTTTTGTGGATGCCATTGCTTTCAACCACAGTGATATTATTGGATTTTCCTGTGAAGCCGGCTACATGCTGGACCCAGCCAATGCAACCTTGGCCTGCAACAATGGCCAAGTGAATGGAACCATACCCGTTTGTTTAGGTAAGAGAAGCTAATCATTAACCAACTTAAAACAGTGAATTAAGTAACATTTGCTGAAAAAGTATTCCGACAAGTATGGTTAAGTATTAATCACTTTAACATTCTTTACCAAAACAGGGGCACCAAACATTATGAACCATAAAGGGTGCTTGGATCTGCAGTACAGAATCCAGCAAAGTCATGCATAACCAGGCTTTAGCATATTTGGATTAATTGTGGAAAAATCACAATCAAATTGTTTTTCAACTCGTATTTGACTTCTCCTTTCAGATATCAATGAGTGTGCCTCTGCACCCTGCCTGAATGGTGGAACTTGCTTGAACAAAGTTAATGCTTATGAGTGTGTTTGCACTTCATCATGGACCGGAGTCAACTGTGAAACAGGTACAAATAGCTGTTTTTCCAGTAGAGAGCACTCCAGATAGGTTTAAACGGCATTACATATTTGCATGTAATTACATGTATTATGCATTATGCATCATGCATTGCCATCATTAATGTTTATAACTGACTGCTGATTGATTGCATGAAAGCTAAATTTCTAGCTCAGTAACTCTGCCAGGGATTGGAACTAGGATATTAAATGACTTCGATTCTCATTCCTTTTGAATTTTGTCAATTTTATAATGTATGCATGGTTGTTTCACAGACGTTGATGAGTGTATGGTTGGGTTGGACACATGCCATGCTAATGCTGAATGCACAAATACAATTGGAAGCTTTACCTGTGCCTGCAGTGAGGGTTATCGAGGAGATGGTTTTGATTGTAAAGGTAAGGTACAAGTTAATATTAGTTTGGCACGAGAGATTCATTGCAAAACACATTTGTGTCTGTAAACCTAATTTCTCCAATCATACCTGTGACCAGTTTTCCGTGCCATCAAAGTTCACATATCAGCTAGGAATACAGCAAACTAAATGATGCTGGAGATTTAAAAAACACAGGAAGTTACATTTAGTGTTAACAATGCATCAACATTTTAACAAAAATGTCACTGTTTTTGTAAAGATCTTCAGGAGTCCTCATTAGCAATACAGTAAAATTATAACAAGAAGCATCAGTGTTTTGGAAAGATCTCAGCATTACTTTGTTATGGATGTAATGCTATTTAATTGTTTTCCTATCTCTCTGTCCTTTAGAAATAATCCTCTTCCCATTTGGCCTTGAGAATGGCGACAGGTCTTTGCGAAACATAAATGAAGTGGTTGACTTTGAAGTTGTGTCACAGACATTCCGACCGGAAACAGGCTTCCCATTCGGCAGATTGTTCTACCCAGGCCTCTATGTAAGAAACAGTTATACGTTGTAATCTATGTCCGAAGAGGACCTACCTTTATTTGGTTACTAATAAAAACTTTTCAAAATAAACAAATTAAAAATTTTCAATGCCTTTGAGGGTTGTATTCTTCTCCGCAAAAGTTGTCAGAAGGCAGCTCATAGGTTTGCCAAAAGTCAAAAGCGTTACAAGTTATTCATTTCAGCTGTGCTTGTGATTACAAATTAAGGCAATATTCCTCACACATCCTCCATTACATTTATTTGCAAGTTGACTTGTCGTTGACCGTGCAACAATCTGTTATTTTTAAATTTGTATGCCTGTCTGCTTGAAATTCCAGAGGATCCATTGTCTGTATTTTAAAATTTTGTAACATTTTATCCATGTTTTTATCACCATTCATTTTTTTTCTAGTTTATGGACAATGGCTTGCTCATTCTACTCAACGAGAATGACGACAAGTTGGGTTTCCCAAACCCTTTCCCGGGGGGATTCACAGACATCAATACCGTTCCAATGGTGGCGCCATTTTGGGCTGACACCGACCTTAGCGCAAACCAAGGAGACGTTTTCTACCAGGTATCAATTGGTGGATGGATCCCACCTCCCAGATATATTTTTGACAAGAGGTCTGCTGCAACATTTGTAAATTATTCCACTATCCTTGACCCTGTGCAGTCAAATGGTCATGTGCACAGCAGAGTTGGTGATAATTAGTTTGGCTTATTTTTGCCTTTTGGTATTGGTTGAACCATTTCCAAACTGAAAAGTGAACACAGCAGTGTTAAGTATATATTAAGTATTAAGGTGTATTTGATGATTTCAATCCACATGATTGTTTAATTGATGATAAAATTCTACTTCTAACATTACCCTAAGAATATTAGCTACAGTCGAAGGAAAAATGAATGTTGATACAAATCTTTCTTAATTCCAGGTGTACGAACCTTCAGCCTCAGGGACTGAGGCAAGAGACGCTGTTTTAGCTGATGCCAGTTCCAGAATTAGGATCCAGTATGCGCCTTCTTTCTTTTCCTTTAATGCCACTTGGATGCTGGTTGTAACATGGTACCAACTGCCATCTTTCATCCAGCAAAATGTAAGTGCAAATTCACTTTTACTGGAAAACCTCTGCAGGACTTTCATGTGTGAAATACTCAGCACTACAGCTTTCTGGCCTCTCTTAAGGCATAAATGCATTTTGGTATACTGAATTTGAAGCGTATTATTTTTGTGCAGTTAATATATGGTATATATTTTTTATCTGTCAGGAAACCAACACATTCCAAGCTGCACTAGTAACTGATGGCATCTATAGCTTTGCCATTTTCAATTACCGGGAGGGGGAAATGCTCTGGGACTATGAAACCCTTGCCAGTACAGATCTCATCATCGGTTACAACGGTGGGTCAGGCACCTACATCAATGCCCAACTGGAAAATCCACCCTTTGCTACACGAGCTGATGCCTTCCGACCTGATCAAAACCTTGGAAACACTGGACTCAAGGGCCGGTGGATCTACCGACTGGAGAATAACACTGACGACACAATCAATCCCAAAGGGTTCTGTCTGGACTGGTACAACAGGCAGCCTCAGCCAAGCACCTGGGATCGTTTCCTTGGGACGTGCCCGTGCTCATTCGACCAAGGTCGGAATGATAGATCTTATGGGCGGAGGGCTTCTTCCAGAGGGCGTGTTTCATCAGCAGCATCCAGAGCTCCTGGCCGGTTTAGCCAAGAACTCCTAGATCAGATTGAAGCATTGGAGGGTGAGTGGCTAAACGTGTTAACTCAGATTGAAGGAAAACGTTTCATATTGAGGTTTTTGCATGTTTACCATTTTCTCATGTTTAATCCATTAATGTTTATATACTAGCTTGACTAAGCATGCAGTGTGTGGCAGACAACATCTTGTTGAATTTTGCAATTGCAGAAATTCACGGTTGGTGTTATTTAAATCTAAAAGAAATGGAAAAGCTCTGATGTTGTAACAAACAACACCTCATACTTCAACTGCAGATATTTCTTGATATGCATTGTTCATGACTGCATGCTTTTGACATACTTTTTTATTCTTACCCCAGGACAACCGTTCTGTCTGGTGACAGAGCTCTCACCTTCCATGAATGGTGCTGGTATGCGATGCTGCTACCGTGAGGATCGGTCATTGATTCTCGGCTATGAAACAGATTTCCTCATCAGTGTGGAAGAGAGATATCTGTTCAACTTCCAAGGAGAAGTTTCAGAGTATGAGCCACAGCTCATCAATTGGTTGTGTAAGTTCAACAGTTCCTGAAGATTGTTCACCAAACAGCTGGCAAACCTTTTGGGGCATTTAACATTACACACAACATCATAACAGGCAATTTGTACACTTGAAATGGGTTGTTCTTTTGCTTGAATACGAAACATTATTGGCAGTTTCAAGGCTTTAGTTATTTTAAGCACAAAAGGTGTGAGAAGACATCGGCACTTGAATTTTGTTTATTTTGTGTTACTAGTGGAAGACTACTTTCCACGACACTACTGCTGTAATGCAGCAAATGATGAAGCCTTCTGTGACAGGTACTTTGAGAGACGGCCCGCGGGCTCCTGTAATGGTTATCTGCCTCCAAACATAGGTAAGAAAATACAATTTGTAAATATTTCCCAAATTTGATAGCTAATGCAGATTTCTCGTTCGAGTAGTTGAACAGAATGGTTATGGTCATAGACTGCTTTAACAAAGTGTAGTTTTAGGGAAGATCATTGTTGATACATACATTTTGTATTCTAATTTCTTCATCCTATTAAATCTCGATTACAGTTTCACAGTTGAAATTTGTCAATTACCTTATTTTGTTGCAGACTCAAACAGCATTCTTTATATATAGTTATTTATCAGGGAAACAAATCAAAAGAGGTAGTCTAATTTCACAGGTATCTAAGTGTTAAATCTCAGCTGGAACTATTGTAGTTATGTGGTGTCGAAAATAAAGTAAATGACACTGTTTAATATTCCCAATTCAAGATTATTATGATTTCATTTGCTTTTAAGGATGGACAATTGGTGATCCTCACATCGAGACCTTGGATGGCAATGCATACACATTCAACGGCCTTGGCGAATATGTGCACATTACCTTCCCAGACGGTAGCGGTGGCACCATCTTTGAGGTACAGGGTCGCACTGCTCAGGCCCTAGATGTGCAGACACAACAGCTCACTCGGGCCACCATATTCACTGCCTTTGTTGCCAAGGCCAATGATGCCCAAAAGGTATTTTCATTTTAATCAAATATTGATATTAGGCACAAGCATCAAAGACATGTTGCAAAGGCTTCATTTGAATGCCGTACATCTTGGAAATGTCTACAATTACAGACTTTCACACTGCAAAATATGCAACTGGTTCAATTAAAACAGGCAAATGTGAATTTGAATGTACCAGTACCACTGTCAGAATGTTTGACGGAAACTTTCTTTGTTCTATATTTCACAGGTCCAGATGACTTTGAACACTGATGGTTCTGATGTCGACCTACGTGTGGATGATGTCCTATTTAACAAAACACTGTTTGTTGATGGTACGGACTTCAGGCTTATCTTATGGTGCACTTTAAATGCCAAAAATGGTTTCTTTCCTCATTACAACATAAGTACATGTATTTTCTCGTAACAGTTTTTGGGCCAACATGTTCATGGTAACATGACAGGGAGGCAAAATCGAAGACTGACTGCATGTTGACAATACTTTTTGGTTTACCTTGGCATTTCTGAGATACCAGTGAGAAATTAATTTCACCTGAACCAAAATCCTTCACAAGCCATAAGTACTTAGCCTTTTTTTGGCCATATTTTCTTGTTCAGTGTGGGGACCTATGTTAAAATTTTGGTAACGCAGAAGAATGAAGCTGCCATCAACCTTGTAATTTCTTTTCAGGAAAATACAACTTAAACGGCACACTACAACTTTCTGTTCAAGAAGTCAATGGCACCTCAAGGTACATAGCTTACTGGCTGAATGGGATGTCCATCAATGTAGGCAGTGTTAGTGGAATCCTGGACATGGTATTTTCTGCTCCTGAAACATTCAGGGATGGTTCCAGCCGGGGCTTGCTAGGTGAGTTGCTTACTTGTGTCGAGATATTCTCAGTTAACTTGAAAAAAAACTGCAGTATTTAGTATCTCCACTTTCACTTGATAATGTTGATGTTTTGTCAAGACTGAATATGGCTGCCACAACTATTAAACGTTGGTTTTAATATAATATATTCTTGCCAACAAATTTGCCTTAGACTTTCTCGACCAGCTTTGCTTCTGATGGGATTCCTCCACATATGTACTATTTATATATTTTCTTCTGATATACACTTTATATCCAGTATTTTGTCGTATATGGAAATAACGAGAGATTGTTTTGATTTTGATTTGAAACCACAGCTATTACATGATTACTTCTCTTTGTTACTCTGAAATGTATCTCCTTGCCAATATAAGAACAAACGATTTCTAAACAGAAGTTGCTTATTGCCACTCAGCTGTTGCAGACGCTCCCTTATACTAATACATGGACATATTTTCAAAGGGATTTAGCACCTTTTTTTAAAAGGAACAGCAGCTACAACCTTCTTTAAAGACGATGCCAGGCACAGTCACATTGTCACACTGAGTTTCAATCGCGGGTCAATCTTTCTTTTTTCAGGTGTGTGGAATAATGATCCTAGTGATGATTTTATGAGGGTGGATGGCATGCTACAATCACCAACTGGTGCTGGGAGTAGTTATACGGAAGCAGACTACTTCACTTTTGGCGAATCATGTAAGTTCAGACATATAGTCTACCATTTTCATGCGCAAATCGGATCTTAAGGTTTGTTTTACAGTGATAGGCTATGTACATTTATAAGCTTTCACATGTAGGTGCTTTCTTTTCACAGGGACAGAATCGGTCCCTATTAAAGTGTATAACTTGTTAAACAATCATGCTATTCATCACCTTAAGGAAACAAGATGTTGATTGACTTGCACTAAAGTGGTCTTATGTCACACAGTAGGAATGATATGCATTGAGAACCAAAGTATTAACTGGTAGCATAAAAGTATATACCATGAACGACAAAATGTTTCTAAATCTTGGAAGTGGTGTCCATATCATGTCAAAATGCCATTTTCCATTTGCTACCTCTTCCTGATTTGCATAACTATAAATCTACACCTGATTTTTTAACTATTGCTTATTCAGGGAGAACAACAGCTGCCACCTCTCTGTTCTACTATGAAGCCGGCGAATCCTGGGACACAGTTAATGATGAGACGTTCATGCCATTGTTCCTGGACGACCTGATAGCTGCCGCTGATCCAGCCTATCTGACTCAGGCCCAAACAATGTGTGGGAGTGACAACCAGTGTCTCTATGATGCCCTGGCCACCAATAGCCTTGTCCTTGGGGTGGAGACAATGTCGCAGAACCAGGAATTCACAAATGAAGCTGGAGATCTTGGTATGCTTTAGTCAAACTGTTCAGGGCTGAATATTTCTAACAAAACTTCCAGTGATGTTTCACAAACAACAGTTCTTTTCAAGATGTTTTCTCAGACCATTGGAAATGGTACTCATACATCCCACAATTTGTCTGTTCATCCCAACAGCTAACTTCCCACCCAACATCACTGGCCCCAACATCCTGCAAGCTGTTGTTGGAGAGCAGGTCACCTTGACAACAACATCATTTGACCCAGAAGGCCAGTCCATCACATTCTCCCTAACAGAGAATATTCTCAATGGCTCTATTGATCAGAGTAAGTTATTCTACATTGATCTATATCAAGATGGGGAACGAGGGTTGAAATTTAGACTGTTGGGTTTAAGGGAAAATGCTGATGTTGACAACTTCAGAAAAGTTTTCTAGAAACTGAACAAGCAACCTTGATTCTGCTTTATAAATTAGTTGTTTAAAATATAACGTGACTCCTACTTCCTTTATTTTTGTAATCAACTAAGCATTGATTACCCAGAATATTGTTACCTTTCCCAAACAGCAAATTTTAATTGCAAATGAAATCATTAGTGGTTTGGCCAAGATGCACCGGACTGAAGGCATTGAGAATGGGGAAAAAGTTAACCAGTAAGGGACTGACCGTATCTTTATAAACTTCTTGCATTATGTTTGCCATAAGAAAAGTTATTGAAAGCCACATAGTTTCTCTCATTATAAACTTTAAATTATTGTAAATTGGAAGGGGTTTTATCTGACATCACATTTATAATGTGTTGCATGTTCATGGGAATAACATTTTGTATTTCCTTTTATGTTTTTGTTCCTTTTCAGATGGTGTCTTTGCGTGGAACCCACAAAATTTGAATAAAGTGAGGGTTGGCATCCGGGCATTTGATGGTGAGACCAATTCAGTCTTGGAGCCTACTGTCAAACTATGCGACTGCCAAAATGGTGGCACCTGCATGTATGACCAGTACACAGAGAACTCCAATGTTGTTGTGGACAAATTTGCTGTAAGTGTTAAGGTTTTTGATGGAGACTGTAGACACCCTTTACCATTTTTACTCTGATAGGCCTTGGGCAGGATCTGAGCAAAGATATTACAGGAAGACAGTGCCATACATTGTCCATGGTAGTTACTACGTTTACTTGGGAATCCAGTGCTCACTGCTCAGTCAAATTTGCACGTGTGTAAGACCATTACATGTTTAATATTTTATAGGGGAGTTGATTGTGTTCTCTGGTGCAGATTCTGTGACAGAATTTATATACATGTACATGTTGAGTGAATCGAGGATGCCAACTCCACACTCATTCGTCGTTATTGACCTTTCTTGATCTGTATTTCTATGACCTATGCCATAGATTTCTAGATATGTGAAGGGGAAATGGGTGGAAATAGTAGTACAATCGGAAATAAAAAGGAAAACATCATAGTACTAGAAAAGTTGTAGAGATTAAAAACTGTAAACCAGGGCAGTTTGGGAGATGTCTCCTTGAAATATAAAAACAAGGCACAATGAAAATTGGAAGGAACATCATTGAGAAAGTTTGTGCTTTGAGTGTATTTCATACGCTGTGATCACAGGTTGTTGTGTGTGCCTGCACCTTGGCCTGGACTGGCGACTTCTGCGAGACTGACCGTAATGGTTGTGAGGATGACCCTTGCTTTCCAGGCATCACATGTGTGGATGCTCTTGCCCCATTGGAAGGGAACACCTGTGGGCCCTGCCCAGATGGTCTGGAAGGGGATGGTTTCAAGTGCTATGGTAAGAATGCATACTAATTTAACAGAGTTGCTCTATGGTGACTTCTAAGCTTGACTGAAAAGCATAAACTGATGATAGGGATTTCAGTTTTAATGAAAACTTAAACCCTGTGTTAAGGCACAGTGTTACAAATGTTGTGACAAAGCTGTGTCCAGTGAAAGCTTAAGCCTAAATCCCTAGCTAGGGTGATTTACTAGTGACCTTCCACATCCTTGCAAATCTCAACATTATATGGTGAAGTGGGCACACAAACAGTTGGACTCTGTTTATTTGTGGTGTACCTAATCCCTCACAAAACACAGTCAGTTTACAAGAGTAATACTCATCCTAACGGATTTCAACAACCCTGGTGTTGGAATGTTGACTGGTTTTGGATTGATAGGGTTAATCCGGACTTAACATTTAAAAGCCCATATCTCAAACCTCACCACCTAGCTAGAATGTGGCCAAGTTAATTAAATATCTTAGAACAGACCTATACCGTTGAAGCCTCCTTTCTACTGGCTTCCCTGTTTACGAACGAGTCATAATCCATCACCCTATAACTCTCACTTGGTCAAGTCGTACTTCTCCACATCTTGTTTGCAGATTTGGATGAGTGCACCCAACCAGGAGGATCACCATGTGAACAGATCTGCAACAACATCCTTGGGGGTTTCCGCTGTTCCTGTGAAACTGGCTACGAGCTTCACCCAGATGCACGCACATGCCTTGACATTGACGAGTGTGACCTCCAGACAGACAATTGCCATGAATTTGCCACCTGTGCCAATACCGCCGGCAGCTTTACTTGCACCTGCAGTGAAGGATTCTCGGACACAAATGGGGATGGAACATTATGCGAAGGTTTGTTTCTGTCATAAATTGTCTACCCACTCAGCTAAAGAAATCATATTATCGTTAATCATTCAAGTTAGTGTAATTTTGAATTTCAAAATGCTAGGAGTTTTCAGAATAAACAAACCTGTTCTTAATTGTCATGATTTTGTACACTCTTAATTTATTAATGTAGCCAATTCATATGTCAACATTTGGGTCTTTTAATATTAACATTTAACTCTTAATGCATGGATTCCTCAGAAAAGAATCTTTAATTTTTAACCCATCAAGCAGCAGTTTAAAAAAGACTAGTTTTCTTTAAATAATATTTCAACAAACTCATTGTTCTGCCTCCCTCAAAGCCCTAAAAGCTGTACCATGTATACCACATTCATGTAATCACGTGTACATCTAAGAGATTTGCAAGTGTTTAGAATTTGACTTGTTTATCTTATTGCAGACATTGATGAGTGTTTCAATGAAGTCCCTGTCTGTGACACAAACTCAGAGTGTACAAACACTGTTGGCAGTTATTCCTGTATCTGTGACACTGGATATGAGAAGATTAGTGGAGTGTGTCAAGGTGAGTCTTGCAAGGTTTCCATGCAATATACTAATCTGAGAAGACGCCGTACTGCGGTGGCGTTGTGCTCACACCCACATTCCTGATCTTGAGACGTGTGCCTGACAAATCGCGACACCTTATTGGTCAACGGCATGTCAAGCGCGTTTAGAAGAAACTTTACAAATATGGCAAGTGATAATAAAATGCCAAATTTCGTTAAGGTTTGAAAACTGTTGATAAATGGCAGATCAGTTTCATATTTATCGAGCACTTTCAAGTATAACTGTTTCTTATGATTTACGATACATTTCAATCTAAGTCATTTATATTTTATTCAAATTTCCATTTTCTAGTAATGTTGGGTGGGTTTCGGATTGAATTATGATTTCTGTAATACTTTTTCAGACATCAATGAGTGCACGCGAGGCCTGCAAAACTGCAGCAGTCTGGCCACCTGCACCAACTCCCCAGGCTCCTACTTCTGCACTTGTAATAGCGGCTTTGAAGGGGATGGGCGGGACTGCCAGAACATTGATGAATGCATGCTGGCTATACGCCCCTGCCATCCTCGCGCAGTGTGCGAGGACAATTTCGGGAGCTACGTCTGTGTGTGCAACCCCGGCCAGATCGGAGATGGAATCATGTGCATGGGTACGACTAGAGAGGAAAATGTTTTACATCAGTAGCATGGTGGAGTCCCATTGATTTAACTTATGAAATTCACGCTTAGTTAAAATTAGGCCAGTGGCCAAACTCAAGACTTAGCTTTGTGAAATTTTTGGTCACTCAAAAAGAGCAAGTGTCATAGTTGGAGGCCTTTGTTTAGAGGCTTTTGATTGTATAAATGCCTTTATGATGTGATTTGTTTCTGTTTCAGATGTGGATGAATGTTTAGCCAACACTGATGATTGTGCTGCCGGCACAGCCATGTGCACCAATACCCAAGGATCCTACGAGTGTCGCTGTTACGAAGGCTACACTGGTGATGGTTTCATGTGTGAAGGTTAGCTTTTGATGAAAGAGGTTCACTAAGTTATTGCAGTGCCAAATAGTCGAACAAGTAGTTAACGACTTGTGTGTGAGTATAGCATCATTAAAGGAATGTGATCTTTTCCTGGTACCAGGGTTAGTTGATCATCAAGATTCTTAGAACTACTGCTGTGTTCACCCTGTGTCTTACATGTAGCTGCATAAATTAGCAGGATTTACGTTGACTCCATCATTTTATGGTCTTTCTTATTTTTTGCAGACATCGATGAGTGTACCATCAATGCTACCATTTGTTCAGTCAATGCCAAGTGCCAAAACACCCCTGGCTCCTATGACTGCACTTGTAAAGATGGCTACATCGGAAATGGTGCAGAATGCTACGGTAAGAGTACACAGTATTATAGAGTGCCTTTCTACCAAGCATCCTTTGTTCTTTCTTTAGAGAGAGTCCAATCCATCAAATTTAGAATGTCAGATTGTAGCATTCGTGGAAGTGCATAACATTGTGCCCACGGTTTGATTGTAAAAATAATTTAGAAGTTACTGACAATGTACCGGTAACTATGCAGTATACATGGCATTGATTTGCCCTGTAGACCCCATAGCTGAGGTTTTTCCTTATTGTTTTTGTTCAAAACATTTTAAATATAGTGGTGAGTTAATTTGTTGTATGTATTTGTTGCCATTAGATATGAATGAGTGCACTGAAGAAGTGGACACTTGTAATGATACCTTGGGACTGTGCATCAACACCATAGGGTCCTACACCTGCCGTTGTGTTGTTGGCTATGAAGGAGATGGCCGGACGTGCACAAGTAATTATACCAATGTTAAAGCCTTTTTGATAGCTTAATAGAGGTATCAGCTCTTCTTATTGCACAGTTTCTTTACTTTTGCAGATTCTTATGTGTAACACAACACTTCTACTGTTTTGAAAGTTTAATTCTCTGAAGTGAGATAGATCTGTAGTGGAATGTTTTATCAAACAGAGCAAAATAGTGAAACAACAATGGAAAACATTGTGCAATGTTCGAGTTTTGAGCTCTTTGTTTTGTGAACAACTAAGCACCATAGAGTTGTTTTGGGCCCCAAAAGTGCAGCTGAAAAAGTAATACAAATTTAGTGAGTTCACAGTTATTGTCATTTGTATTTGTAAGCAGTTATAAAAAATACTTGGGATTGCCTGTTGTGAACTGAACATTTTGAGATCATCCTTAACTATGTAACATTCTTTCACCACCATTTTCGTGTAGATATTGATGAGTGTACTGCAAATACAGACGACTGTGAGCAGATTTGCACTGATACCATTGGAAGTTTTGTCTGTTCCTGTCGGTCAGGTTTTACCGTCGACATGACAGCAACAAATCTTTGCCAAGGTAAGACATTCTCCTGAAGCATTTTGTCACATGCTCTGTTTGCTTCTGATTGATATTTTCCTGTTTGTGCAACAAGTGTATTGTAATCTGGTGATCTTAATTGGTTTATAATTGATATCTTTTTGTTTTTACAGACATTGACGAATGCAGCCTTGCCATTGACAACTGTACACAAGGATGCAACAACACTGTTGGCAGCTTTGAGTGTTTCTGCTTCGATGGTTTCCGAAAGGACAATCAGGGCACCTGTGTCCGTAAGTGGCATCAGATGTTATAGAAAATCTGCAAAGATTCCCTCCAAAGAAGTCAACTTTAATTGTGCTGCAAAAGAATGTCCAAGTGTCAACGCATGAAGGAGTGATGATGAAATGTGTTACTTATAACCCTTGTAAAGGAATTCCATTATGTCCTGACAATTTCATGTAATCTTTTTTTTTTTTGGCTTCAAATGGTCATATATAGTATCTCACTTGCAGAGAAATTGCTTACTCAGCTAAGGAAAACAAGTTTTGTCTTCCGCTGAAACAAAAATTCTTAAAGTAAGAATGTTCTCAAAGTAAGCAATATATAGTTGATTTCCCACCTATTTGACTTGATTCTGATAAATTCAAGTTTTCTCCATTTACAGCTGATTCTGTGTGCATCAGTAAAATCTGTACCAACGGCGACTGCTATGTTTTAAATGGCATGGAACTCTGCGCATGCTATGATGGATACAAATTAGACGGCAGCAATGATACCCTGTGTATCAGTAAGTTACTGCAACTTTCAATCAAAGTGTTATATACATGGCTTTCTTCATGGAATTTATAGACTACAGTTTGAACTTTCTCCTTTTGTGATGAAAAAAATGTTCAGATGACAGATGATAAAATCCCAAATGGTTTATAACTGTATCCATGTTCGTTGTATATTCGACGCAAATCATTTTGAATTTTTGCTTCAGAATATAAACTTCATTAACTACAGCATTTGACGCCAACATCATTCGATCAAAGCAATTTGCAGATTCTGTTTTTGTATTAAAATAATTTACTAATTTTATATTGAGAAGCATTTTCAGTGCTTAAAAAATCACTTTTTTTTTCATTCAGATATTGATGAATGTACAGATATGCAATACCCAGATGCCTGTGACCAGATTTGCATTGATGCTATCCCAGGATACACCTGTGATTGTAACACAGGTTACAGGCTAACAACTGGAGGACGACTGTGCGAAGGTAATTAAGCCTGGTTGCAGTTTGCCACAGATAGTCGCAGATAGCCCCAAAGTTCAAAGTGCATTGCAAAGCTATATAGCAAGTACCACGACACAAATTGATATGAACAATATCACAGATTATTAGCAATTGTACTGATTTTCTGGATCCTCAGTTGGAGGTTTGCATAAATTCAACTCCTGCCTGTTAGCATGCATATCAACAGTCATCCTACATTATAGCATGCCGAAGATCGCAAAGTAACATGACAACTTGATTTTCGACCCCAAATTGGCAGAAGGTTTTAGCTTGCCTAACCCTTTATTTAATTCACTGATTCATCCATTAGATAAGCAGTTTTCCCTCTTCACTTTTCACTGCATGATCATTTGTAAAGTTACACTGAAATATTGTTCATGGAAATTTTAATATGATTGTTTTGTACTGTTTCTTTTCAAAAGATATCAATGAGTGCATAGAGGGCACAAGCACCTGCGATGCAGTATCTGAGAATTGCTTCAACACAGATGGAAGCTTTGTCTGCAACTGTAAGAGTGGATTCGTGACAAATGGGACCATCTGTTCAGGTGAGTTAATACGTTTTTTTATATTGAATGGATCATGAGATAAATCAATAGTAATTATTTAATGCTTCATTCGTTCCTAACTCTAGTTAATTTTGGGGATAGGATAATGATTTTAAACATCTGATGATTGTTGTTCATTTGATAAGACTCCTATGTGGGTCTTAATGTATTGATGCATTTACTTCGATGTGGTTTTCCTCATAAGGCTTCACAGAATTCACTGATTCAAACCTCGAACACTCTGGGACTGATAAACTCTTACTTTTGCTTCAGAAAGGTCATTAAAGTTGATAGATTTATTCAACCTATGTTGCAGACATCAATGAATGTGAGGGTGTCAACCTTTGCAGTGCTAATGCTGCATGCACCAACTTGCCTGGCACATATTCCTGCACGTGTCTCAGTGGCTATTCGGGAGACGGACAAACATGCGTTGGTAAGCACAGAAAGACTTACCGCAAGTTGAGAATTTAATTTTTCACAGATAGTGATGTCAGTCTTTAACATTTTTTCATTGTTTTTAATACAGTACTTCAGACAAGGTCCTCAATTTCTTGACCATGGGTTAGCTTCAAGGTCTCAGTTTCTCCAGCCTGGAATGCAAAGGGTTTATCATCAAACACTTCATGTGATACTTTTATTCCTTTCAGACATCAATGAGTGTGCATCATCCTCCCTGAATGATTGCAGTGTTAATTCTGTGTGCACCAATCTACCAGGCTCATACCGGTGTGATTGCCTGACAGGATTTGAGTTCAATGGAACTGTTTGCAATGGTGGGTGGAATTTCTTTTTCATATCTTCTGATCATGCCTCATGCCAGCAGAGGCTGGCATAAATTCCCCATAATTAGAAAACAAAGTAACCGAGTTTATAATGGTTCATGTTTTTTTGTTTCAGAAATTTTGATTTAAAGGGTTTACAAGTTACATATGAAGAATTGCACGCAGCAATGAAGCTTACTTAAATTCTACAGTAAAATTTAAAATAAAAATCCCTTCCATTGTTATTAACGTCAATCTTACTTTGAGCTTTATTGTTCAGTAATTGCATCCTGTAGAGTAAATTTTAGTAAAAATATAACTTGCAACTGATGAAGGAGAGTTACGGAGCATTATTTTTTGAAGGGCGAGTTAAGCTAAATGGGCAAGACCGATTATTCTTTAAAACTATTTCATAAGTGATATTTGCTTTTGCTTTACCTCTGCAGACATCGATGAGTGTGTTGTTGGCCACAACTGCTCTGCTCTAGCTATGTGTGTTAACACCCCCGGGTCATACCAGTGCCCTTGCCTCAGTGGCTACGAAGGAGATGGAGCTGTTTGTATCGGTAAGATATCCATGTTCTCCAACATCATCTTGTGTCAGAGTTAAAGATTGGAAAAGAGGAATACAGCCCATCTGTTTTGTCTCCCACTTTTCACTTTGTGCTTTGAGTCACTTTAACAGTGGAGGGTTAACTCTTGGTAATCCTTTAAGCCAGAAATGAGGGGCAGCTTGCTTAATCTGTACAAAAAATTTAAAATACTTGAAAATGACTTGTTTGAGAATCTGGATAGCATTATATGTTCTTCAGTGGGACTTGAATAAATTCATGGACAAGGAAATGTAGCGTTATTATCCAAAAACCAGAGAAGATATGGAAATGCATACATGTGTATCCGCATGTTAAATGTTAAAGTCTTGTGTGTAAGATGAGTAAATTTTTTAATTAGTGATATCTTTTTGTTCTTGTTCTTCAAGATGTGAATGAATGCACACTCTCTTCCACGGATGCCAGGGCTGACGACTGCCATGCAGATGCCACTTGCACCAACACAGAGGGAGGGTATCTTTGTGCATGTAATAGTGGTTACTCAGGCAATGGAACATCATGTACAGGTAGGCCTAATGAGATTTGCATTTTTCTCAGTGCGACCCTCTTCAACCCAGAAAATCCTTTTTCTACTTGTGCAACATTCTTATCTGCACGGGATAACAATGCACATGAAATTTTCAGGTTTTCAAACCAAACCTACAGTTTTGTATGGAACAGATTACATGTACATGTCCCTCTTATTTTGAAGTTAGCACAGAATTGTGAAGCAAGTTAATAGATCCCTGTAAAGAAATCAATTTATGGCTTGTTTTGGTAGACGTCAATGAATGCAACATTCCAGACAGCTGTGCTGCAAACAGCACATGTGACAACACACCTGGTGATTACGTCTGCACTTGCAATGAGGGTTTCAGCGGTGATGCCCGAGTGCAGTGCTTTGACATCGATGAGTGCTTGGATTCCCCGTGTGACAACAATGCCCAGTGCAGTAACAGCATCGGGAGCTACACTTGCACTTGTCACAATGGCTATGTTGGGACTGGATTCAACTGCACAGGTAAATTTTAATGTCTGGGAATTGGTCTAATTTTTTACCAATTTTTCCTAGTGAATATCTACCTTGCTTCAATTGACTTGTGGACACAGTCAAGTTAAACTACATTCTACAGTAAAACGGATTTATAAATTATTATTTCATTAGCCTAATCAGCCATTTGCGAATTAAATTTGAATAAATCTGGTGCACTGAGTTCTTTGAATTCACTTGAACATAACAGCTTTAATTCTCCTTACTAAAACCACTGTTGCTATACCTTGTGCTTTGGAGCAAGCTTTTGCTCAGTTACATAAAAGATGCCTTGCAACAATACACTGTTCTCAATGGATAAGAACAGCACAAAGGAACCAGTCCATTCCAGAGATGGTGGTCGCTAGGCAAAAGCTTGCCCCAAATAACGAGGTATAGCAACAGTGTCTTTAGTCTGGGGAATTCAAATTGTTACGTTTCTATGCAATTGGATAACACAGTGTACCAGATTTTATTCAAGTTTAACTTGCAAGTGGCTTATTAGCTAATATAGCTATGTTATCATTCATTACTTGACTGGGCAGAACTGTTCTAATGCAATACCAGACAAATAATTTTAGGCAAAATATGAAAATGCATATGGATAAAGGAATTCTTTGTGTATACAAACAAGGACACCTTTTGGACAAACCAGAAATTTATTGGAACGAAAAGATGAGGGTGTCAGAGGAAAGGTCGTAAGATTTTCCTTTCCAATAAGCGCAAAAACAAGTCTTTTCCAAGCCATTTGGCCCAGTATTTTACTACATGTCTATTCAGCCCAAGATAGAATGCCAGTCCATGAAAGGTTTACTCCCCCAGCTAATGCCGTAATGCTGGTACTCATTTATTGTCCTGGGTGGAGAGAGGCAAGCAGGGGTGAAGTGGCGTACCTAGGGCCCCAGCTTATGTACAGTAGCTGGATTTGAACCCCCAACCCTATGTTCAGGAGTCACAAACCTTATTAATCACTCGGCTGCCTGCATCCCAAAAGAGGCTCAAGAAAAATACCTAAGCGAAATCTAAGAGAATAGCAATAGGTTTTCTGCAAGGTTCTTTGTCTCTGTCAAAGTTACAAGATATACTTTTATATTCTATAGGTATTCCATACTCCTAAAAACAGTCTTTGCATGATCTTTAAAATAAAATTTTCATTACCATGTATTTTCCAGATGTTAATGAGTGTGCATCAGATGACACCAATGACTGTCATCCCTTGTCGACATGTATCAACGTTGACGGTAGTTTCACATGCCGCTGCAGAGATGGCTATGTGACAAGTGATGGGTTTTCACCAGGCAGAGAGTGTGAAGGTATGCTGAAGTTCAGGATGCATGCACATTGATGAGCAACAATTGCCACTGAGCAAATGTTGGTCAATACCTCTAGGTTTTTGATAATTTGTCCGCTGCTTATCAGTGTGCTTAAATAATGCGCCAGCCAAGGTCTTTTGGGAACAATGTATGTACGTGAGTCGGCGTGTGACTGTGCTGCTAAGCCAGATTATCAAACAAGTACATGTACATGGCTGTAGCCTCATAGTGGACATGCGTGGTTAGAATACTAAACTGGCTCACGCACCAGGAATATCTAAATTTAAATTTCTCATTGAATCAGTTGCTGAATGAAGATATACATGCTTGCCTGTGAGTAGTTTTCAAGTAAAAATCATATCCTATTGTGTGCGTATCAGTCAAGTATAAAAAAAAGAGAATCTTTGATTTACATGAGAAAGTGTTAACGGACAGCTCTCGCATATCATGGGAATTCCTCATAAAGTCGAATGAACAGATACCATATCTGAACATTTTACAAGTACATAAAACTCCAACTTCTCAATTAACAATGATTCTGGTGCACCAGAGCACTTTCGTGCATTACACTTGTTCACAAGGACGTGCAGTTGCGATCACTTGCTCTTTCTTGTATCTTTTGTTAACTTTTCCACATTGTAAAATATTTTTAAACCCTAATCCTTGTATTCAGATGTAAATGAATGTGCGTTTGAGACGGACACATGTGATCCAGTCAAGGAGGTGTGTATTAACAACTTTGGCAGCTTTACCTGCATGTGTGGAAATGGTTACGAAGGAACTGTTGGCGCATGCACTGGTGAGTATTAACATCTAGTCACACAAAAGTTCATTTGCCCTCAGTTGATAAAGCCTTGAGAGTTTTATCTTATCACATGTCAAGGTCTCTTTCGTAGCAATTTTCTACTGCTGCCCTGAAGTAACTTGTCAGCTGTCCTGTACATTTCTCCTTCTTGTGGGTGAAAATGAGGAAAGTTGATCCTGATCCAGCACTCAGTACAAACATCAATATCACCTACAATTTGAAAAGTGTGTTTTTGTTTGTTAATAACATGTACAATTCTTAACTGAGAAAAACATCCTTAACCCTAACCCTCCTCAATCCTTCACCTGTTGGAGGATTGAGGAGGGTTAGGGTTAAAGACTAATATTTGCAACCAGTGTGATGTAAAGCCTCTTGGCATGCTTGGTAATATGCCGTGCAAAAATGTTCTCAAATGATTGCATGTGATTCTTCTAGATGTCAATGAGTGCGAGAACAATCCGTGTGAATCTCAAGTCAACACCCGCTGCCAAAACCTTGCTGGGACATATCGCTGCTTGTGTCAAACAGGCTTCTTTGAATTCTTCGGCGTCTGCACAGGTATGTAACACATCATGAGTGTATCCTTGTTTGCCAGGAGTCGATTATTTGTTTTTCCTTTAATTTTTGTATTTTGGGCTCACCCCTTCCTAAGGAGTGAGCCAAATATTTCAGGCCTCACACATAACCAGATTGAAGCCATCAAGCAAGTTCAGAAACGAGCCTGTAGAATAATTCTTGGTTCTAGCTATATTGGTTATGATCATGCCATGTTTGAATGTAAACTTCCGACCTTGTCTGACAGAAGAGAAATGTTGAGTAGGAAGTTTACCCAATCGTATGTTAACTCTCCTAGATTTCAATCCTGGTTCAAGGATAATAGCAGTTGCTATGAAATGACCCTTAGAGAAAAGTACCGTTTCGATCAACTTAAGTGTAGATAGGTGAGATATATGCTAGCAGTGCAATACCATACCTGACGAAACCCATCAATAAAACAAAATGGTGAAATTTACAGGTGAAAAATATTTATGTTTTTTCAAATTCAATTTTAATCTTAATTCTATTTTTCTTAGCTGATCACATTTTCTTGTTACGTGACTCTCTTTTTAATATTTATTTCATTTTAAGTTATATGCATTTATAATAATAATATTAATGATATGCCAATGGGATAATGTATTGTATGTCGTTATCCTGTCTGCACATAACAAGTGAATTTTTGACCAGTTTTTGTCAAATATTAATGCTATCCATGCTATCTTTTGGTAACACACTGCTTTACACATAAGCTACATGTATATTGCTGAGCTTTGTTCCTTCACATGGTTAACTTGTGCATGGTTTACGTAATTACATGTTCTTGCATTTAATAAGAAATTACAATTTACTTAAGCCTCAGCTTAATTAAAGAGCCCCATGAATGCAAGAGTTGGACAAAGTTTGTAGTGGTCAGTGGGACTTTGCTTTAAATAGTATATTTGATTTACATAAAACATCAACCTAATAAATGCTACTGTATGATCTTTTGTTTTGCAGCTGGTGTCTCAAAGACAGTGTATGCACTATTCACAGACATCGTTGGGTTCGAAGTTAACGATTTGTACTTTAATTACAATGACACAACAATCTACCAGATCCCACTATCTGCAGATGTAAGTATAATGTATATTGAAAGTGACAACAGAAAAGGGTGCCCATTTTTGCCACATCCAGAGTCGCAAGAAAATAACTTTTTCAATGCTTAGTGACTTCAGACAGGTTTAAAATTCACATATATTTTAGGAGAACAATGACCTTTTTCGAAACAAAGATATCACATAAGGTGACTTTGTTTCTCTGCCTTATTCAAAACACATTCTAGCAAATATTTAATTTATGCACAATGTCCCTTCACTAGCACGATGTTGTCTCTGAAAGGAGTATTTTCCTGAAAAGTGTTTCAACCAATGTGTCACATGTTGCGTAATTTACAAAAAATCACGACACTTTGCAAAAGTTACTTTGTGAATCTGCTACCTGTACAAAAGTTGGTAATTTTATGTATTACCTTGTAACATACAAGTCAAATGAAAACAATCTTTGTAGGAAAAAATTTCGATTGTTGTAAAATCCAGATTTTAGTTTCTTAAAGTAATACCATAGCAACGACTGATGTGCAAGTTGTGTAGGCCCTGTGTCTTACACATAGACAGTTATGCACTGTGAGCTGGCATGTAAACATGGTGAAGGAACAAAGTCTGCAGCCCCTGTAATAGAAATATACATGTATGTCATTGTTTGTCTTTACAGCTGGATGCTCATTTCAATGCGAGTATGCTCAGAGACTACCAGTCCGTCTTTGTCAACTCCATTACCATGGCTGGCCAGGTAGCTCGGGTCATCATGACCCTGACTTTCCTTCCAAACTCATCTGTCAGTGACATGGAAATCATTGACGCCTTTGTGAGTCGTCTGACTGGGAGAGATAACAATGTCATCCTGCCAGACAGCAGGGTGTTCAACACTAGCTTTGGTGTTGGGGATCCAAGTAAGTGCAGAGCCACTTTTGAATTCTATTATTTCTAAGCAACTGTGACAGAAATTGATGTTATTTGATTTGACAGTTCTCAACCCTAACCATCCTCTAGCCCTCACCATTTGGAGGATTTAGGACTGTTAGAGTAACAAAGTATTTTTACCATAAAGTGCCAAATCATCTACTGTCAGTATAATTTTCCACATCCCGTAGTTACAGGTTAAAGCTAATGACTACACGGTAGAATAGCCATTGACGTATAATATACTGTGCAGCAGTGATGCAGAAATTTAAAAACATACATGTAGCTTTCAAGCCCACTTATTTCAAAGTCTATACCTTTTTGTAACTACTTTCTACTTGCCCGCTATATTTTTGTTATCACCTTACATTTGATGTATAATGTAGCTTCTGCTTGTACCTGACTTTCTCCATCTGCTAAATAAGCCACATCTTATTTACAAAAATTCTTTTTGCACCTTTCATTTGACAGTCATCAATCCATGTGAAGAAGGCACGTTCCAGTGTCCAGAGAATGCTGTTTGCGTGTTTAATGGCATCAGTAATGAGCATACCTGCATGTGCGCGGATGGGTGGAGCGGATCTGGAAATGAGACCTGCATAGGTTGGTATTATGAATGCAAACTCTCAATTCAAAAGACCTCATGAAATGTATGAACCACTCTATTTTCAACAAAGTAGAATTTATATCTCAGAATGTCTGATCAGGGAAATAAATTTGACCCGTTCTGTGATGATGGGGAATTAAGGGACCCTGCTTTTTCACGCTAAGGGCTTTATTGTGTGGACAGGGTGATTTTTCTTTTCCTGGTTTATTGGCTTCTATTATATCAGTACTTTCACAATTCATACAAGAAACCTAACTGCTACTATGGGTATCTTTAGAGACTTTCTTCTTCGCTGATTTCTTTTTCCACTTCCTGCGTTTAAAGAGCTTTATCTCTGAAAGCCCTTCCGTTAATGTGTATGATATGTTTATGCAAAATCAATACATTTCTAGATTGCAAAATGCCACAGGGTTCAAACCTACACCAAGTGAAAGCTTTTAATGTAACCAATTCAAATGTGCATGTGACTCATTTTGAAAAAAGTCCCATTATACCCATTTTTGTAGAGCCGGTCACAAATATTCTGAAAAAATAAATTCAAACCACACCTAACTGTGCTTTGCCAAACATGTTGGTTAGAAGGCATTGTTAACACTTTTGGTATAAATATTGCCTTGGGTATTTGAAACTTTAAAAGCATTAATATCCTGACTTTTCTAATCAAGCTACTGTAGGATTTCGGATCGGACACATGTACGGTTTCAATATCTCCCTCAAAGAGTGAAGGAATGCATTGCAAATTTAAATACGTAGCAATTATTCTTTATGCTTTGCACAAGTGTAGTTGTTAGAATACCAATTGCTGTTTCTTATTCAGATGTCGATGAGTGTCTGACTGCCCCGTGCACTGGCCGTGGAGAGATGTGTGTCAACTCACCGGGGAGTTACAGTTGTGATTGTCGTGCCATGGATGGTTTCCAGAGGGTTGGAGGCATGTGTGTCTGTGAGTAATCAGAAATCAGTTGCTTATTTTTCTTCAATGTGTCTCTTTCAGCAATTAATACAGATATATAATCCAGGGATCATTTTAATTAAACTAGATCAGAATATAAAGTTTGTAATGATACATTTGACTCTTTTCATGTCAAATCATCACTGGTCTTTTGAAATCTTAGACAAGGACTTAATTCGGGCATGTTTAAAACCATTTACTTCCAAATGGTCCTTCCCTACATTTCAAGTCACAATCAAGACTTGCTATGAATTATAACAGTCAACCTCAGATAACCTCAGAACTCACCGCAACTTTTTTATGCCCCCAAGGGGGGATTAAAGATGAACTTTTGTATGTTTTACAGTTGGTAATAATTACACTCTTAATTTTTCAGTGTTCATCACATACGATGGACGTTTCACCGTGTACGAGGTCAACAGGATTGCCGGAGATGCCCAGTACCTCCCTGCACTGGGTGACCCAACATCACCAGAATTCCTGGACCTTTCACTAAGAGTCTGTGGTGTGGTAAGTGCTGTGGAACTATTTAGTTGTCTTTATTGTAGTATTGGCCTTTCCACGGTTACATATTTCATTTCTGAGTGGATTATTCTATAACTTTCATGTCCAGTGTTTTTATGACCCTGTTACATCTGGTGTATGATTTTGTAAGCTTAGAGCACATTCTTTAACTTCCAAGAGCCACTACGTAATGAATGTTACCTGCCAAACAAATGCCAGTAAAACTAGTTTTAAAGTCAATTTCAATGAGAGATCTATTGTCATACGACATGGGTCAGGTGTAACAGGGACAGAAAATGCCACACATTGGACCCCAAATTTACAGAACAACCTGAGAATGACTTCAACAGTGGAGGCACCAAAAATGGCTTGGATTGCACTTCACTACATGAACAATGCCCTACAAAAACCAGTATGTTCTTCCAAAGTGGCTTCTACCCAATCCTTTAGTCAGGAGCGAAACTTGGAGACAATAAGGACCAGCTTACTACACTTTGCTGCCACTGGGAAGCTAAATGCTCCTTTCTCTGTACCAGTATTATCAGTTTTTAATTTTTTATGATGGAAAAACACATGTAATGTGCAAGAAGCATGAAACTTTATATTTAAGGTAACACATGCACACTTTTATTAAATATATTCATGGAGCCCATTTTATACATTGCAGTGAGGTTACCAGTGCTGTTAGTACTTCAGGCCTGTGACAATTAGTCACCAAAAAGTCACACTTTCTGCCAAATATGCCAAGGAAAACTGCCTAAGAAGGAACTGAATATCCGAAATGTCGATCCTTTGTTGGATTTCATTGAACCACAGTCGACAAGTTAACAAGGAAAGCACTGGTACCAGTGCATCAGCATGCTGATACTGCATAGAGGTACTGGGATGGTTACGTAAACACCGACCTTCACAATTCATTTGATTCATCATCTTTTGCCTATTTAGATTCGCTACACCATTCTTCTGGAACGCTCCTTGCAAAATTCTTACTACGACTGTCAAGTGATAAACTTCACCATGGCCGACCAAGGCACGGAGGCAGAATTCCTGATCTTGTTCATTGACAACGTGATGACGAGTGGCTCTGAGCTCCAGCAGCTAGTGATGAACCAGTTAGACAGTAACAATGTGATTGTGTCCGGCACTACAACACTGGGCAACCTCACCCTGGCACCATCATCCATTGTTATCACAGGTGCAGGTTCATTTCTTTTCCTGAATAATGCCGTTGTAGTTTATCTCATCAAACTTGATAATGATGCTTATATGGCTAGTCAATCCTGAATAGAAACAATTTCAGTGCTGCATTACTTAAACATTGACACTGACACTTTCTTGATAACCAGTCTTTAGTATTGTTCCGTGTTGTCCCGAGAATCTGCTTGCACTTATGCAAGGAAACCTCTACCACTGTTGCATTTAGAAAAATTGACCCAAACCTGTCCGTCTTGTGTAATGTTTTGAAGTGACCTTTTTCTCTCACATCTTCAGATATCAATCCTGCCTGCACAGACACATACTGTCTGAATGGGGGTACATGCGAAAATGCTGGAGACTTCCGAAGAAACTGCACGTAAGTATTCTTGTACACTGCAGGATTGGTTTCATCATGTTATCCAGTAGAGACTTTTCAGTTCCAGGCAATTCTGTCGGTTTTTGGAACAACTAAAAACAGATTGTTGGAATTTTAAAAGGCCCGCTTCAGCTTGTTTGTTCTGTGTAAATAGAAGACCTTGCTACTAAGAATAAGAGCTTAATGCATAACCGAAAAAGGAAAGTAGAAATCTGGAGTATAAAAAAGAAACGAGTATATGGAGCTTGCATGCCTTTTAGTCATTAATAAAGTTTTATTTTCAAATGTTTTGAAGAAGTGCCTCTTACAAATAGTCAAACTTTTCTACCAAAAAAATGGGTATAGTAGTACAATTCTCTGTCATTTCTTTTTTGACACTGCAGAATGTACTTTGGTGGCATAGTGAACAACCAACAGTTTTGAGGTACAACTATAAAATCTGTTGATTCTTAAAATACTCTTAAAATTTTCCGTAATCTGTTTAAAATGTAGATGTCCTGAGGGGTATGCTGGCAGTAGGTGTGAAATAGCTCCAACAACAGAAGTCCCTATAACTCAACCAGTAACAACACAAGCGGTGACTCCAGCAACTGTTCCAACAGAGCCACCAGACATTGCAACAACAGGACTACCGCAGACAACAGCAGCACCCGGAGGTGAGATTCTGAACTGTTGCTTTTGACTGGATGAGAGAATGTAGATTTGAAGTAAAGGGGACCAGTTCAAATCAAGCTAAGAAACAAGTGTGTGCAAAAAATATTTTTACAAGTTAATAAGGAAAGCATACTCAGAGTGAGGTTTTTTGGAGGGGGGGTGGTAAGTGGTGGGTGGGTTGACAACCGATACGAAATTGTAAAACTTTATTAAATGTAAATTGTAGTCTGTCACACACATTAATGAGCAAAGAGTTCTGTTAATGCTGGCACTATGCATTTTAGAAGCTTAACAGCAACAAGTGCTTGTTTGATTACATCATAAAATATATAACTGTCTGCAATGCATGTTTCAATACTGTGAAGATACTTAAGATTTTGAAGTAAGATCTTGATTAAACTTGTGTGTTTTGGTATTAACCCTAACAGTCCGTAATCCTCCAATTTCAATACAATTTTACATACACCGTTGGGGGTTAGGGTTAAGGCAAGTGTAATTTCTTTTTGACACTGCTTTTGCTTTATTTTGATCTCAACATGGTAAACCATGTTTTTAACAGTTAAAAGGCATGCCATAACTGCTAGTGATGTTTAGATGTCCTTGAGGACTAATTGCTGTACAGAAAAAGATCTAAATATTCAGAAAAACACTGACAATCACCTTTAATTGCTTGGTAAATATTGTGCAGATTGTAGAATTATTTTGCTAAAAAATGTGTCCTTTATCTGTTCAGGAGGTTTGACAACACTGCAGATTATAGGCATAGCCTTGGGACTGGCAGCCTTTGTTCTGCTGATCATCCTAATGTGCCTGTGCATGCTTGTGATGGTGCGTCGCCGACAGGCTGAGGCCCGTCGACGCGCAGATTACTTCCAAGCCCCGTCGGACCGCATGAAGATCTTCTACAACCCGCCGCTGGGTGCCACGCGCATCTCTGAGTACCGCGGGTACCTGCAGCCCGATGAGTACCTCGGGGTGGACAATGAGTCTGTCAGTGACGACAGCAGCTTTATTGCCTCTCTGGGCCAGCGTAGCGAGGAGGAGAGTCGTATGCGACATCTTGCCAATGTTATCACTCAGTCTCCATACCTGAATGTAAGCTTCTTGGCAACTGATCTAACGGACAAACATTTCTGTATGGCTTACAGTATTGCTTGGGAACATTGTCACTTTTTATGTTGTCCGATGCAAGAACATGGAAAAATGCACGCGTTTTACCTTTGAATGAAATCTGTATATATTTGGCGGTTATCCCTCAGCAAACTGCCAAGTCAGTGGGTTTATTGTTGAGTTGGATGCCATGAAATGGTTCAGTTTTTCTTGACTTATCCTTGTTTTAATTTGTTACAACATATCAACACCATTCCAGACCATCATTTTAAAGATTCTTTTCACCGTTTCTTTCAGCAATTTCTTGCGTAGTTTTCAGCTGTCCAAATTCTAAGCCAAGCAAAAATCACAAGGCCATCACCCTAACATTGCTAACAACCGGGTTTTGTCATTTACATTTATCTTGGCGTTCAAAATTAGAATTATTGAATGGGAATTAACTTACTCAATGAAGAGTTGTTCTCACTTTCTCACAGGAGCGTATGAGGGCCAGAATATCCAGTATGGTATCTCAAGAGCCGCCACGTCTCCCTCAGTCAGAATTTGTCCGTCCATATATTGCCACTGGACGAGAAGCTGCTGAAGTTGAAGTACACAGAGATCCGGTAAGACTTTAGTTCAAGCTGGTTGTGTTGTTAATTAAATCACAAACATCATTGCCAATACGGGCAATTCACAATACAGCACACCACCAAGAGTTTGCCGCGACAGGCTACATTTCAAGTTTACAGTTGACAGGCTGCTGCGATTAAGCACACTTTGTACGTAATTTGGGGACATTTGATTGATTGAGGCATTCCCAGCACCACTCAAAACCATCATCGCAATGAGCAATTTCGAATTTTCAAGCAAGATAAATGTTTACGTTTGGAAAAAATTCATGTTTTCAGCCCACAGCATCATGTTTTCGGCGCACAGCACAGTTAGTGAATGAGACTTTGTCGTCTATTTATCCCACAATACACTATGAAAAGGCCTCTCCCATGACAACCTCTTGGTGGCGCACTGCATTGTGAATCGCCTGTATTACATTTTTTCTTATTTTTATTATAAATTTTCTTTTTTGGGGGAGTGTTTTACTTGCTTCATAAAACACTGATTCTGTTCACTGTTTCAGAACTGATTACATGAAATGTTTTTAGATATTTAATAATGTGGCTATGTGGGTGAAGGCAAAATACAGGACCAGTGTAAACTCAGGAACCGCATGATTTTTTTAAAGTGACTGAATTCCAAAATTCAATTGCTTTGTCTCTCAGGAGGATCAACCACCCCGAAGACCCACTACCAGATTGCCAGAACGCCAGACATCTTTCCGGATACCACGAGCCCAGTTCTACTGGGACTCCAATACTGAAAGCTTCTCTTAAATTTGGACACTGGCCTCCTCAACATGAACTGCTCAGAAAAATCCTGCATTTTCCTCTTCAGCGTCTCTCTAATGTGTGTGTCAGTAAAAGGGAAACATCAGTATTAGAAACTATCAGTTCAGACTTTTGCACATGTGCAGAACTTCTTGAATGAGTAGAACACAGCACTTCATGTTGTTAAAGGCCAAACCAAACATGGATACACTGTACTCCAATTTGCCTTGAAGCAAAAAGGGAGAGCTGAGTCATTAGGTGTGCACCCCAGTCACTCCTTTGGTGCATGGCTAATTGGAGTATATTCCTAACCTGATTTTGTTGCCATTTAAAAAGATTGTGTAAAACATATTTGAACATCTGTGAAGTTTGTAAGGTGCTGCCGTCTTATACTGTGGTCAGTGACAGTGGTGACCAGTCACTTATTGTCAAGTCAGTGCTGTGACTGTGACATTTGTTACCTACACAATCCCAGGAGTGGTTGTGGTGATGACAGACATTGTTTACTTAATATCAAGTGAGGAATGGTGGATTTGACTATTTTATAAATGCCCAAATTATTTTTATATTTTTACTTAGGAAACTGAATAAACAGCCAAATTTGTGGCTTTCTGGAACACTTTGTGAGACCCCCATTGGATCACCACGACTAGTTCTGTGTAACTTAGTTGATGCCCTTTCAGTGATAAACATTATGATGTAATGAATATTTACAGCAGATGTAATACTAGTTTTTGAAATGCTTGGAACAGAAGATAGCTTTTTAAATGTCCAATTAAAAGTAATTGTCAGTTTTTAAATGATGGTATTTTAAAAATATTTCATGAGAAATGAACTGTTTTCCAGTGTTGAATGTTGGTATAATTGTGTAAGAGGTGCCCAAGTAATTTACAAGTGTTATTTAAAATGCAATTTTCCATTTTTGCACCCCAAGTCCCATTGTTAGTACCAAGAAAGATTAAGCATTTTCTTCATTGTTGATTTCACACTCTTTTCTTTAGCTGTTCTTATATTTTGAACATTTCCATCTTTTTAGTGTTAAAGTAAACAAGACATTTCTAATGTTGTCTCAATTATTTGTTTATTTTCGTATTTTGCTGTTTTTAAACTGTTGTCATGTGCTTTTAAAGAACAATTCTAATACAAAATCACAGGTTTGAATATTTATTGTATAAAACGAACTTACAGATGTGGTTAAACCAAATTTACCCTGGGAATATATTTAAAGGTAATAACTGCAATTCTATGAGCCTTGTATAAAAGGTTACTGAGTTTTTAAGATCTTAGGTCAAGCTACAGTTCAATAATTGTTCAACTAACCAAAGAGCTCAGATAGTTGAAAAGGAAGTGTCTTCCAGCCAATTTTCACAAATAGTATATCTTTAACATCCAGCAATTATTGCAGTATGACCCAGCATTGATCACATTTTATTCTTGTTTTCTACTTTTCTTTATCTTTTCCAATAAAAGTTCTTTGACAAAAGTTTAGCTACAAAGGCAACTTATTTGCATGGGTCTTACAGTGGCATATATAACTGTATTTAGAAATGCACACACAACTTTAGTTCATCACAGATGACAAAATAGTGAATCAACAAGGCACTCGTCAAGGAAACTTGCTTGCCAACACGACTCCATTTTGCACACCTGAATACGTTATCAAGCAACACTGCACAGCTTCGGCAGGGATTTATTATAGTACAGCGTACTTGAAACATTTTATCCCCAAAACGTCTTTCCCAAAAATGGCTATCCACTTTGAAGATTGCAGACATATAGCAAGTGATAATTATAGAAATTCGTGAATGATCACGTAATTCAATGTAGTGACAAGGGGAGAAGTTTTGACACAAATTACAACTGATATTTGGCTGCGAGTGTTGACTTTTCCCCACAATGCAATGTGTTTTCAATGATTTTCAGCATTCTTATTTTGGTGTAGAGGCATTGTGCGTTGCTCCTGCATTTTAATGCTGCGACATGAAACCTGGTAAAAATTTGTTAACACTCAATGGTGGCCACATGACCTCGCCAGCACCACATTGTGGGAAGGATTTCTCTTGGCCGTGTGAACTTTGGACAAATTTGTGGCGAATTTGGTAGGAGTCCCTACACTGTTGTACAGTGTGTGTGGGGTCTCCCCTGCTACAGCCTCGGAACAAGAATGTATGCCTTGGCCAGCATTATACCGAGGGGACAGTTTCTTTGGTAAGGAAATTTGGGACTGAGTAGGTTTGGACCAGAAATTTGTTTCCGCCGTAACTATCCTTCAATACATGGATAGTCTTCACAGCTGCAAGATGGTAGTGTCATTTACCTGATATGCAGAATTTGCGAGGTAGTATTTATGTAAAGAGTCCTTTCTATAAACCAGCCATGTGACTATATAACAAGTACATGTAAGTTAACTGTATCCAGCACAACTGTACAGTCCACAAATCATGTGCATATTAAACAGCTTTTTATTTGATCATTCGTTTCAAAATCATTTAAAAAAAATTTACCCAGTATGGATCATGCGATGGGCAACCTGCACAAAATTGCCAAGACGAGAGCTTGTATCACAAGGAATGACTTCCATCTTTTTCTGCTGGAAAAAGAAGGCAAAACATGAACTGATAACGAGAGGATTTTACAATGGTACACTGTATTTTGGAGAGGTTAAAAAAACACCCTGTCAATACATGTAAATAGGATATGTATTACCACATCAAGATTGTTTTTTCTAATCCAAATGAAAGAGCAACGAAACAACTCACATTTTTCTAAAACTGCATTTTGTATTCTGTGAGCAGATGAATCGGCACATTGCAAAAACTTGTGCAGTTGGTCCACACACACCGTGACATCTTCTGGGTTCTTTTTGAGACAAGCATCATAGTTGCTGAACTCTGCTACACAGTCACGGTTGATTTGACGAACTACTGGACTGAAAAGAAGCAGACAAGAAGATTATTATTAGGACAATACAAACCACAAGGACAAGATCAGATTAGTGGAAGGGCATTAGTGACACATTGAGACTCAGTACTCCACTACTAATTACCTTCTTAATAATGCTCTAAAATACAAGCATATGGCACACTCTGCCATGCCCTGAAGAGGCTTGACATCATTCATATACGACTGTACATGTATCACTACCTACATGTAGGAATGCCCTCCACTGACATCCGCAGTGAGGTCACAGAACGCCCTCAACAGTTCAGGCAGTCAGCAATTGAGAAATGGACTCACTGGTGATCTGAACAATTGGCAGCCGCCTCCTTCAGCTCAGCACAGGCAGTCTGCCAGTCCTTAGGATGTTCACTGACGCACTTCCCATACAGTTCCAGCTCCGTTCCACAATACTTCATGACTAGAGTTATGACAGCCTCCCTGTGGGTGCAATACACATTTTTTTTTAATAATAGACAAATAATGATAATTGAAAAGCCCACATAATACATGTATATATGCCTGGATTTTGGAGGTCAAAAGCTACAAGCTCACCGTCAGTCATCTTCAATTAAAAAATGAATAGTTTGTCTTCAAAAGGTGGGACTTCCTGCACTATAAATTGGAAAGATTCTGATCATATTGACAGTGGAACCTGATCATGAATGTCTGACTGGTCCCCACTCTTCCAAATGGACCCAGTCTTGAAATGCCCCTGTACTGGAATCTAGATGAGTTTTAACTGAGATCATCACTCGTCCTTACATTTTTGTTGATGTACCATCAATGTCAGTACAGGTGCTGTAAAATAAAAAGACAACAGGTGTACGGTTAGCCTTCATGTTTGAGCTAGCTGCATGTGCTACCCCATTTTACATTCCATTAACCGTATCCTATCTTGTAAAAAAAAAGAAACTGCTGCCTAACCTGTCTTTCACATGTTTAATGACTTAAGCAACATTGGGCAAAATGGTAGAAAGGCATTGTGGAAAGGAAAAAACGGCAATGTTTGCTACTTTTTCCTTCCCACAGTGCCTTTCTACCATTGTGTAAAAGCACCCATGCAGTATTTGCGATAAGGCATAGGGCTGGCCCCCCTAAACGTTCTTCATAATCATATCATATGATCATTACTTGCATCATTGCATTGGCCCTACCCCCATATACAGTCATCAGAACGCCTAAATGAAATCGATCACACAAAAGCTTCAGTCATTTCAACCCAGCAGCACAGCGAGCAGAAATATTCATCAAGATGTTACAAATTGCAGCACATGTCCCGCTCACCACCGAATGGGCATTGGCGAGCTAGCTAGCTGCACTCGACTCATTCGTTTGAAAAAATTTATAGAAAAAAGCGAATGACACAGCAAATAAGACCAGCAATTAAAATTGAAATAATCCATGACTAATGATTTTTAAATTATTCCATAAATGCTATAATGAAAATATTGAGAAATTGACACAAGTATGGGGAAAATAATTATAATTGCTGAATTTTATCATATTCAACGAGCGCAAGAGGATACGTTTCAAAGATGGCGGCTTCCATAAGCGATGAGATTCAGAGCATATCTCTCCACAATCTTCGTCCTGTGGTGTTCCACGGTTATATTTTCCCATTTATTTTTCTCTATGGCATTTGGCTGTATTTTTGGGTTGGTGTCTACGGCATAAATGAGTACTTTGAAGCCGGTTTGATCGCTTTAGCAATTGTCGGATGTATTCAGATACTGGTTTGCCTGTTCTGCCATTGGTCTGTGCACGTCCGGTGTTCACTCACGTGTACAACGGTAAGTACAATGGGCCATGATTTTATGGACACATTGCAGTTTCCAAAGATGATGGCACTTTTTGTCCACGTATTCGTCTTGATGGTCAGACATAGTCATTGCAAATGTGTGCGTTAACTTGTTAGGTAGTTAACATAGGTATGATCATGATGATCGGCCTATATTTTTATATACAGGCCTACGCCTGGTATTAATTACACATATTTTTTTAAATTTTTACCACTCCATCTCCATTTGGAAAATCAGTTGTTGGTTGGTTGTGGGAAAGGGTATATCATTTGGTGTAATTTTTCACTCCGCCACAACCAAATTAAGTTTAGTAGACCCATATGGTGCTAAACCGCGGCATGCAACTTTTCCTTGTTGTATCAGCTGATTTCCTTGTTTTTCACTTCACACTGAAAATACTGTACAAAGTCTTGTAAAGATTGGAATTTCATTGGTTTTTGACAAAGCTCAAGTTTCATGCCCATAAACCAAGTTGAGAACACAATAAAATGGAAACTACGCTGAGTAGAAACCAGTTTTTCATCTCTACCTACATCAGTTTCCCTGTCCACCTTTCCTTTTCTTTTTTTTTTTCTTTTTGGTTAATATGATTTGTTTCTATACATGTATGTAGCTACATAAGTAAGTTGAAAAGCCTTAAAGCTCTTTCATTTCAGATGCAAAAGTGAGCAAAGGTAGAAAAATCAGCTAGGTGGAAAAATCAGCAATGTGAAAAAAGAATTTTTTTCCTTCTTCACTTAAATAAGAATTGGACAAGAAACTATTTTTTTCCCTCCAAACTCTGAATTAGAGAATTAGTGAATTAATGGATTATTTAAAGGTTACTGCTCTCATTATCATCTCAGTCATGTCAGTGGTGATCAATTGCTGCAAATGGGAATCAAAATCCAGAACTTTGTCCAATTTGAAGAACTTAAAATATTTTCACCGCTCTACATAGATACGTGTATACCCAGATTAATAAGTGATATCCAAATACTATTTCATGCTCTCTAACAGCAAAGTTTGGTTTATGAATCTTACTCCTCTGCCCTAGGGTACTCTTGTAGGTCATGGCCACGTGAGATTACTTAATATCCCGAAATCCAACAATTACACTGTGCAGTTTTCTGTTTCCAGTCATTATAATGATAAAAAGATAAAATCTATTGCTTCAAAGATAATTTTAAATGTTTTTTTTCTGGATTGTACATTTTACTGTTCAGGAAAATGATCCTTACAAAGCAGAATGGCTGAAAGTGGTACCTACTGAAAACAATGGATACCCAGATATCATCAAGCTCCATCATGACAAGGTATAGTATCAGACAGAATAAGAGACATGTTAACATGTAGTCTGTGGTGTGAACATTAGTTACTGTTGGAAAAAATTATACTTAACACATAAGATTGAATGTTCATACAATTTGTATCAGCTCTAAGTGCTAAATTGCTCATTATCAGTGAAAATGCAAACATAATCTTCAGGAATGGAGGATGCTGTTAGGTGTAACTGATGAGAGACTGGATTGAACTAGCAAGAAGATTAAGCACTGCTGGGGTTAATCTTTCCCAACTTGACTTGATTGAGCAATAGATACATTGTGTCTCTGTTGTTCTCTCATGCATACCTTTTGTCATTAACCCTAACCCTCCTCAATCCTTCACCTGTTGGAGGATTGAGGAGGGTTAGGGTTAAGGGTTCATGTGTGTCATTTGGCCGGAGTACCTTACTGGTACTGAATATTGCCACTTTCAATTTACCTCCAGGCAAAAGAGAGCAAGAAGCCACAGCTTTGGTTCATCTTCCAGAAGACCAAGTACATCTATGATGCCGAGGAAAAGAAGAGATTCCAGTCCGTACAGTTCCCTACAAACCTGCCCCTGAGAGACTATCAGAACTGGAAGGGCTACACAGAAGACACAGAGGTGGCTGAAGCCAAGGACAAATACGGAGACAATGAGTAGGTCTTATGCATTCTGATAATAATTTGTATCTTTGTCTGTTGTGGTTTAGTTCATGTTCTTTTGTGCACTAGGTGGAAGGAACTAGGCCTTTGCTTTACAAGAATTTGGTAACAAAAAAAATTCAGTATCATCAAAAGATATCTGAAACTCAAGTCTTCCAAGAAAAATTATTCTAGACAGCATTTTATCCTTGATGTATTCCATCTCCATGTGCAATTTAAATATGTGTCTCTGCTAGTCAGTACATTACACTCACTGCGCAGTAGATAAAGCCAATTTTCTGCATCTTACGTTCTCTAGAATATTTATATATATTCAAGACTACTTTTTCGTCGTGATTGATACATGACCAGGCCACTATTTGCTCTATGAGGCACAAGCTGTTCCAGTTGGAGTTCAGTGAAAGGGTCATCGGTTTTCAGCCTGGCCATCAATTTTTGCAGAAAAAGAAGACTTCCTTGCCAGTGCCTCATACCAGGAGTTGGGGGTTGATAACTCGTCTTGATTGCTTGTCTGTCTGTATTTCAGTCTCAACATGGAGCCGCCCATGTTCAAGGATCTGTTCAAGGAGAGAGCAACAGCTCCATTCTTTGTCTTCCAAGTCTTCTGTGTTGGTCTTTGGTGTTTAGATGAGTATTGGTACTACAGGTACGTTGTGTGCCCGTCTGGAGAGTTTTCTTACAAAATGGATTTCCTTCATATTTGCATGTAACTTTCAAATGGCTGTTCACAAGTACTCCCTATGAAAAAAGGGTATTCATTAGTTGTGTCAGGAGAATATTTACACAGCACTACGCAGCGTAATTCATTCCCAGAGTTGAACATATTTGTCTACACTCTTGAATTTGGGAAGATCCTGAATCACAAACATTAACCCTAACACTCCTTAATCCTTCACCTGTTGGAGGACTGAGGAGGGTTAGGGTTAATGAAGTACCTGATCTCAGAGTCAGTGGATTTCAGAGGTTTTACCATTAAACAAACCGCTTCATTTGTCCTAGACTGAAAGTGCCAGTAAAGTGCATCAAGTTTAATGGTACACGTACGTAGATTGCAATCATTGTATTTGTGCTGTCCTCTTGTACATACAGCATCTTTACACTCTTCATGCTGGTGACATTTGAAGCCACCTTGGTACAGCAGCAGCTCAGGAACATGGCAGAGATCAGGAAGATGGGAAACAAACCATTCCACATCCAGGTGGGTTGATGTACACCTGTTCCCTCTTTTTTATTCTAGCTTTAATATCCCACTGCACCCCAAGTCACCACACTCGCTTGATGCAGTGTCACACCTGCAGTGTAATAGATATTGCATACCACAATATGGCATAAAGCATTTTGAAGCAAAGACAGTCACTGGGACAAGTTGCAATGGAGTTGTGGTGTGTTATGACAAATTTTGACTGATTCGAGTGTAGTAGTAAAATTGGCCTCTTGAGGTGACCCTCCTTTGGTGCGAAAAAATTGATTGCATCAGGGGAGACTAGTTTTACAATGCCTCAAGATAAAGCAGTATTTGTTTTGGGACACCTCTCTCACAGATTCTGCTCGATTTTGTGACGACTTCTTAATTTGATCTTAATATATATGAAAGGTTTTCATCTTTTTGAATAAGAAATTTGTTGAAAATTTACTAGCACTTTTCCTGACTACCTCTTCATAGAGTATTTGGACCTAGCTTTGTAGCTAGGCAATCTAAGAATTACATCAGAATTAGTCACCATGCATGGTGTCTAAGGCAACTTAAGAAAATTGCTGTGTTTTCAAAGCAAATTTTATTTCATTTGTTATTTGTCTAAAAGGGAAATTTTTGTTATCCACACTTTTTTCAATAATTTGCTGTTGGTAGGTGTACCGTAACCGCAAGTGGCGTCCCATTATGAGTAATGAACTGGTACCTGGTGACATCTGCTCCATTGGGCGTTCACAGAATGAGAACCCGGTACCCTGCGATATGCTTCTCTTGAGGGGACAATGTATCGTGGATGAATCCATGCTGACAGGCGAGTCTGTACCCCAGATGAAGGTAAGGCTTCAGGAAGACAAAAATTCTGTGTGTGGATCTGGCTCATTTCATTTTCCTTTCTTTGTACTTTTCTTAGACATTAAATGTGACCCACCATCCCCAAACCAGGCTGAAGTAGGTAACTTCATAACACTGAAAAAGTGGAACTTCTGCTGTTCAGATTTTCACGGGAGTTTTACAGCTATCACTACCTGTAAGAAGCTTACTGCAGACAGAATTTGGATTTCACATGGATCACTTTAAAGTGTAAAAAAAAGCTGAAGGAGAGGAATTGTCCAACACCACAAATTATGACATCAGCCTGATTTGGGATGGTGGGTCGCAAATGGTCTGCTAACTATCTGCTGAATGAACAAAACTCTTTGTGACATTAATCTACCACTTACTACAGACATTGATTGAACTATGTGGATGCATATGTATTGGTAGTTTTCAATCTACTGCTCAAACCCTGTGGCCATCCAAGAATTCGGGAATAACTGTAAGGGTTGCAACTATTAGCTGCCATTGTCAGCAAATGGCATCTTGTTTACAAAAATGGTTTGGATCCTCAGCACCTGGAACCCTTTGCTCCATGCAAAGAAGAGATACTAAGGTTTTGGAAATTAAAAAAGGCTTGCCTCAACAACCTCACATAGCCATCATGAGTAAGTTGTACCCTGCCTTGCAAAGTTCTGGAGTAGGCTTCATGATTGCCCAGTTGAGGGAAAAAGGAAGTGATGCAAAACTGTCTGAAAGCTTTGCCGGTAACAGGCCGGCATTTTCGTTTAATTCTCACATATTTGTCTTAAGGAATCTATTGAGACATGTGAAGGAGACGAAATCCTGGACATGCAGTCATACAGCAAGCTGCATGTCATCTTTGGTGGGACCAAGGTTGTTCAGCACTCACCACCTAGCAAGTCAGCAAGCGGACTCAAAGGTTTGTAGAATGAGATCATTTCACATACAATTCAAACACTGGTCAGTTTGTAGAAACGTTAACTAAATATAGTTCCCTCATCAACCACTACTCGTATAAAGTTCCTTTGGCCTGGTACGTAGTATGTGGAATCAGATGAGTGACATACTTATGTCGTGGTCTGTGTGACTGAAAGACTAAATGGTTTTCAAATTTCGTCAAAGTTGTACTTTCATGGAATTAGAATCACCTCATCACTCAAGAGTTTTGGACAGATTCTTAAATCAAGAGATTGATTTTTTTGTTTCTGTTATTTGTCTAGCTCATGACAATGGATGTATTGCCTATGTTCTCCGCACTGGGTTCAACACATCACAGGTAAGACTTTCAATTTTGCACAAATTAAAAATAATAAATTAGTGAAAGGAGTAGCTTAGTAAATCGAGAAATTTCCCTAGAATCGGGGTTCCTTTTGATGGTATGCTGACGAGCAGAATCAAGCTCAGTGCACGCATAGGACATTGTAGCCTTACCTCAAAGGTGAGGAGGCACCAGTGGAATGTAAAGGTTTATTTTGGGTTTTCAAGATTAATATCTTTTGCTTACATTGACCTGACCTTTGACCTGCCAGGGGCGTCTACTACGCACCATCCTGTTTGGGGTCAAGAGAGTCACAGCCAACAACTTGGAGACATTCCTCTTCATCCTGTTTCTACTGGTCTTTGCCATTGCTGCAGCATCTTACGTGTGGATCGAAGGTGAGGTGAATAAGTTGTCAGTTACAGGCAGTCTTACTGATGTGCCTTCCCCTGAAGTGCTTTTCTTCCAGCATCCAGTTTTTCATTTTCATACATACCTCAATTTGCTGAGTGTACAGGCGATAATGATTACTTGGACAGAACCACCAACACTTCAATTTTACTTCTACTATTGCATGTGGCATGGTTGAGATCAGTAGCGCTAACCACGTGGTTCATTTTGGCCATGATAGCAACGAATTTGCAAAAATTGGGACTCGTAGTGCTGCATTACAATTGTAACGTTAAGCTTTAAATTAAAATTTTGCTTCACTTACTGGTGTAAAATATTGTAGAAAACACTAAAGTCTGAGTTGATTGGTAAAGAGTTGCTGTTCAGGAGCATTGAAGGGGCAATTTTAGGAGCATTTGATTGGCTGAAGAGTGAACAAAGTTGACTGATTTGGTTTTGAACACCCAGTTGCATACATTTTTTCTCAATGTTGATACCATAAAGCTGTTTGTTTATTTTATGAGGTCTTCTGCTTTCACCAGGTACCAAGGATCCGGACAGGAATAAGTACAAGTTGTTTCTGGAGTGCACGCTGATCCTCACCTCTGTGGTCCCCCCTGAGCTGCCCATAGAACTCTCCCTTGCAGTCAACTCCTCCCTGCTGGCACTCAGCAAGCTTGGTAATTCTTGGTCTGAAGACAGACTGTTTTATTCATTAAATAAAATAAGGATTTATAGCTTACAGTTCTTTTCTTAATTTAATGTCTGATAGATCTAACTACTTATTGACAAGCAACAAATTGATTCACTGAAAATATTAATTTTGCTACATGATTTTATGAAGCATAATTTCAAGAAGTCGAAGAAGTCTGAATTGATATGTTGTTGTTTATTTGTTTGTGATTGTTTGTGTAATATTTCCTGTTTCCTTGGTTAAAGGTGTGTATTGTACAGAGCCATTCAGAATCCCTTTTGCTGGGAAAGTTGACATGTGCTGCTTTGACAAGACAGGGACTCTAACCAGCGACAACCTGGTGGTGCAGGGAATAGCTGGACTCAAGTACGTGGTCAGGTGGTAGACATAACCCCCCCCCAGTTAAGGAGTTGGACCATGTGGGCGTAACAGAACTGGAGACACAGTGTTGAACTTAGCAAGATTGAATGCCATTTATTCTTAAACACCTTTAGGCATATTCCTACAAGCATCCCCGAACTGTCTGTTTCTGAAATCCCTCTGTGTAGAAAAGCAATGACGCTGTCTTTGTACTTTAATTTCAGGGGGCATCTGGTCCTATGTGTTCAGTTTTACAGGTCTTATTTGCTTGAATGTAGATTTGCTATTGTTTCCCTTGTTGAACCAGTCCTAAGGGAGCACCCGCACTTTGCTCTTGTGAATTAGACAGCACACATATTCATTGTGTGGTCTTTTTATCAGGGGAGGTTCCAAGCTCTGTCTGATTGCTGACTGTCCCATCGAGACACATCAGGTGCTAGCAACCTGCCATTCATTGGTGCAGCTGGAGGATACCATAGTCGGTGACCCATTGGAGAAGGCAACACTCACTGCTGTGGACTGGACACTTACCAAAGGTAGGTGACAAATGCCACTGGACATTATTTTTTCGTAGAACGTGTAATGTATCTATTTGTATTTTAGATGATCAACACATACATTGAGAGTTAAAAAGATATAGGTAGGATGTAATTGACATCTACATGTATTCTACATAAAGTTAAAGTTTGATAGTTTTCAGATTTGTTATAATTTTAGCATTACTTGTGAGGTTGTAAAAGCTGTTGCAATGATTCCATTAGTCTGATATGAAACATTTGGAGGCCGTCTATGTCTGTTTTCCAAGTTATGTTGGCTTTTTATGTTTTTATGAAGTGAGTAGATGTCACCAGTAATTGATGATCTTTCAGGTAGTAGATGTCACCAGTAATTGATAATCTTTGAGGTAAAAAGCTGCAACAATTCAAAGAAATTCTCACAGTTAAAACTGCAGTCAGTTTGTGACTTCCATTTATTTCCAGTCAATAATGAACATTATTCCATGTTGTCTGTATTGAATTTTCTATTTACCATATAATCAAATTGTACCATTTAGTTCCTAGGGTGTATGTAAAATCATATTGAAATCGGAGGATTCAGGACTTTTCTATAGGATTGAGATGCACGTGATCCATTGAGCATTATGCTGTATTCTAGGATTCTTCCAAAATAAAATATTTAACTGCCATACAGATCGTTGTCATTTGATTGGTGGAACACGCATCACGTGACATTCATTATTCCTGCAATTCATGCTGCGTCAGGTACTATTCGCCCATGTGCAGATGGTAAAAATATACAACGATTAAGATCATCCTTGTTTCCACAACATTATAAATGGCCTCGTCCCTCAAAAGGCAGCATGAGCGTAACACGCAGCACATAGCCCAACATGCAGCACAAGCACAGCACACAACGCTGATCAAACCTGGGGAGAATAAAATTTGGTCCAAACAGTTATTGGGATTTGAAATTGTTTGAAATTTATTCAAAGATGAATCATATGACAAGGATCTATGTGACACTTATATAAAACAAATAATGAATGTTTTTTCACTTGTGCAGTGGTGAGAATATTTTCATGAGTTGACAGATGGAATGTTCCATTCAACGAGGCGAAGCATTCCATCTTTTAACTCGTGAAAAAATTCTAACCATTGCACGTATAAACATTCATTATTTGTATACTATTTTAGCTCTTTCAAACTGCATTCTTAAGAGGAGGGTGATGATCTTGTGTCACCCTCTCAACCTATCACAGGTGACGTAGTTATTCCGCGCCGCATCCGCAGCCAGCCTCTCAAGATAGCCCAGCGGTATCACTTCTCTAGCGCCCTCAAGAGGATGGCTGTCTTGGTATCCATGCAGGAAGCAGGGTCAACAGAGAACAGCTTCATGGCCACCGTCAAGGGGGCACCAGAGACTCTCAGAGCCATGGTAAGATTTGCTTGGACAATTTAAGGCTGGCTTAGCCTGCATCCAAAGTTTTGGCTGTGGCAGGTAGTAACGACACCCTGGAAGTGGATAGAACCATGTTCTGGTGACTTATTGGTGCAGCCATCATTTCCAGCCAAAGCAGATATTCTTAGATGCAGCTTCACACTCATAGTACTTCATTTCACAGCACCTTTGTATAAATACTAGTACATGCTACATTGATGTAATCAAATTCATTACAAGTGAATCACAAACTGATCACCAGTTGGTTAGGTTCCAGTAATGAGCCATACTAACTTACTGTACCTATGTGAATTTCATCATTATTACCGTTCTCTGTTACTTCAGCACTTACATGTTGACCAAGATCCAAACTGTTGTTCATTGCATGTAACACCCTCATCCATTGTGGCAAAGTATCAATGATATGTTTCCTTCACTCATTTTGGTTTTTTTTATGCTGGCAGTTTTCTACCGTTCCTGCTGACTATGATGCTGTCCATTCACAAATGTCAAGGCTTGGTGCTCGGGTGTTAGCCCTCGGGTACAAGAAACTGGGACATCTGTCATCACAGCAGGTGGGCTAACTTCAACAATTGCATTGCTCTTCAAACACCTTGAGGCAGTTTTCACGGATGAGTTGCTATTCCCTCCTTATCCTAAGCTAGAATGCTGACATAGAGAAACAGTAGGTGTACGTCTGAGTAATCCTTGCAATTGTACCAATCATTGTTGTGACAAAAGCAGTTTTCCTTTCAGTTTTCAAATGAAAAGTTTGACAGTTTGTGAAGTAACTCCATCCTAACTTTCTGTGAAAATTCTTACCCACTTTGAGCTGGAACCTCCAGAGCTAGGGACTCGAAGCCTCAAGCAGACAGTTGAGATGAAATAGTGGTTTGAAGAATGATTGATGTTCCCTAAAGGAGTGTTTCTAATGCGAAGCACTTTTAGCATTTTATAGAATGAAAAGTATGTAGTTTGAGGTGCTACCAAGGATAGGTGAGGGAGTCGGTTTTCAACGTTTGTGTTATTGGCGACAGTATTCAAACTTGCACCCTCTGCTGCTCTTAATGTTTGCAGATACGTGACATGCACCGTGATGAGGTGGAACACAATCTTCTCTTTGCTGGTTTTGTCATAATCTCCTGTCCCCTCAAGAATGACTCCAAGGCCGTTATCAAGGAGATACAGCATGCCTCACACCATGTAAGTCACTTGTAATATCTGGAGAGATTTGGGCTATAGATTCTTGAGAATTCCCCCAAACACAACCTGCCACATAGCAGCAAACAGCACCATGGCTCACCTGTAAAGACAAGAACGGGCAAAGGTAAAGAGGCCTACCATGGAAAGTTGCCAGGTTTTTTTCAAATTAAGAAAATGCCGTCACTAGAGTATAACAGGCTGAAATTTTTTAGGAATCCAATTGGAGCCCAGGACAGGTCTGAAGGGAAAAACATGGGTTGAGAAATCGTACAAAATTCAACAAAATTCAGAACAGAATTTTTGCAATTTTCGTTTTAGAACGTGATGATCACTGGTGACAACCCCCTCACTGCCTGCCATGTTGCCAAGGAACTGAAGGTTACCAAGAAACAGCACACACTGATTCTCAGTCCTCCCCAGAATGATGGGAGTACCAGGAACTCTGACACCACCACACAGAACCATTTGGAGGAAACAGACGCCAATATTCCGCTCAAAGGTACTATTATGGACTTCCTGTGTTAAGTAATGAAGATTTGACAGGCATGCTCCCACAGGTGCAGTGAAGGCCTCAAAAGTCTTTCCCTGTGTACAATGAGTGGCATTGTACAAGCTGCCAGTTCTAAACTATCAGTTCACAGTGCTGCACCCTTCCAATCTTTTATCTCAGAGGCCATTTTTAAATGGCATTATTTATTGATTATGTGTGGTGCTGCACAACCACAGATTTATTGATGCACAGAAAAATCCAATTTACATTGTGCATGTCACGAAGAGGTAAAATATTCCAGGTCCTCGTTTTAAAAGAGTACATTTTAGTGATTCAACATTGCATCATAATATAAATACTATAGAACACCTGAAAAGCTTTTCTTAGCACAAAAAAGGAGTCATTTCGAACAGTGGTTCATTGTTGATTCTTCCGTACTCAACTTTAAATCTCACTCCTACCTGTAATGCCAACTATTTCCTCTGATGTGCAAAATACCATGGCCATACCTCTCAGCATGTAGTTGTCATTTAGAGATTTTTTATTCTTGTGTTTTTTATTATAGGGTGGCACTGGCAGTCGATAGATGACACAGTTACTCTACCCATGACGCCTAGCAGTCGAAGGGAGCAGCAAGAACTGATTCAACAGTACGATTTGTGCATGACTGGCGAGGTAAGCATTGATGCAACACTCCAGGGGCCAATTTCATTGAACCGCTTAAGCACAAAATTTCCTTTAGTACAAAAAAACCTTGCTTAAAAAACAAAGGTTACCAGCTCAAAATCTATTTGATTGTCATACTAACCAAAAGACAGGTAAATACCATTCCAAAACATTATACGGCACATGGAGTTTGGCTGGTAACCTGATTTGTCAAGCAAGGCTTTCTCACACATAAAGGGTTACAGAAATAGAAAACATTTAGTTCGCATGAAGTATTTCAAAATAACAATAAATACGTAACCACTTCAAAAACATTTCAAACCCTTTAAGCAAATATTGTGCTTAAGCAGCTCTATGAAATCGGCCCAGGGAACATAGAGAATCTATGGTGCCATTCCATAAATAGCATTGAATGCTTGAAGACATTATCATAGGTTTTCGCCGTGACATTCACGTTGCTAAAGAGTGATGTTATGTTTAGCTGTTATTAAATTGTACAAAGTTCCAAGTCCATGAACCATGGTTTTAAGGAGTTTTGTTCAAAAATTTGGACTTCAAAGAGATACCTTTTTACGGGAGGTCACTGTTGTGCATATCTCTTCATGCCAGTTTGTGTTATTTGTCTTGTTACTGACTTGTGTGGCACTGTGGAAGTTTATTCATCATTCTGCATTGTTTAACAGGCTTTGCAGTACCTGCAGACAACAAATGTAAAGTTCTTCAGCAGTGTGCTACCCTACATCAAAGTGTTTGCCAGGGTCGCCCCAAAACAAAAGGTGATCATATGTATTTCAGTTTGAATAGCAGTGGTTTGTCAACAGTCTGGCCGCTTGTGGAAATGGTAGAGTTGTGGATTGCTTTATAAATTGGGATTGTTTTATTCATTTGAAAATATAGGTTGTTGTCAATGGAAATGACTCTTTCCGCCTGGCGTAGACCATGCTTAAGTAACTGCAAATAGACCACTGCACTGCTTGTAGACACCTGCTATTTATTGGCTGTTCCCAGTGGGCATAGCATATATGCCTGGTATCAAGATAACATGTCCCTGATGGCCAGATTCTTTTTTACACAACATGCTGGGGAAACTTGACTAGAATAAAGGCTATCGTCTTGGCTCTGGAAGACATTTTTAACAGGGAAGTAAAAGTCGACATTTCATCAGCGCAGTCTTCGTTGAGGCGTGAAGACTAGTCTCCTCACAAGACTGGCAATGAAACCATTTTCCCAAAGGAAATTATATCAGGAAAGTGTATCCCCAGTCAGTTATGTAATTAACAATCTTCCTGATGGAATGTCCCATGGGTTCTGAGGTATGGGCCACCCCTCGAATCTGCTTAATTTTCTTACAGCACTATAAATTGCATATTCCAGATTAGTAAAAAAAAAAGCGCTTCTTTGTCCTACGGTCATTTGCAAAAGGTTAGGACCACCCAAACAAAATGCAATAACCTGAAGAAAAACCAAACTTAATCCAAGCAATGTATGTTTATTTTCAATGTGTAACCTAAGTATCTTGGTTAAACAGCTATTTGACTATATTTTCATGATTTGAAATGCTAACAGTCTGACATTAGTGTGCCCTCCTTCATATCTGATTACTTAGACTGGCTTTTTTTACCCATGCTGCCTTACAGACAACATGTCATACAAGACCTGCCTTTGTAAAAACTTTCATTCAAATGGGTTTACATATATAGCACTACAATGATTGTATACGCAACTGTAAAACATTAAGTAATCATTCAATGAGACAATGTAATGCAGGCCCTGTGACAGAAATACCAATAAGATTCCAGGTGGTCATAAACTTTTGAAAGTGACTGTATATTGTTTTCACTGATCTTATAAATGTAACTAAATGTGACATTAGAATAAGTTTCTATAATCAAGCTAGTGTTTACCTCATAACTTGATAGGAATTTGTGGTGACATCACTAAAAAGACTAGGGTATACAACACTGATGTGTGGAGATGGGACAAACGATGTAGGAGCTTTGAAACATGCTCATGTTGGTAAGTGAATTAAATTGTTTCTGGGAAGGTAGTTATAAAGTTGAGATTCATTATCAAATGACGGGTTGCTTGCTATCAGTTTTATTGGTCAGATGCAAATTTTAGACTAACTGCTCTTGTCTGCCCATTAAAGAGGTAAATGGCAATGTTTGTGGGGATTTCTGATTAGAGCCTTTATGTGACTCCTCCATAAATGTGTGTTTAACTTTTGTCTTTTTTTTTTAGATCAATAACTCAAATGTGTTTGTTTCCTGCAGGTGTTGCCTTGTTGTCGAATATCCCAGAAAAGGTGCTTGAAAGGATGAAGAAAAAGGCCAAAGAGGAGCAGGTGAGATGCGCTTGTTGCTTGGGAAGTTGATAAGTCAGGAAGTATTGATTGATATATTTTTGTCTAAAGCCTTTTGTTGGTTAAAATCGAAATACCATGCATTGTGTGGGCATGTAGTTAGTGTGTTATATGTATTTAGTTCTTTCTGTTGCTCAAGAAAGATAAGAAAAGACACCCAGGGTCAGAATTTATGCTGTACTCTGTTGATTCGCACATTTTGTGTGAGCAAGTTTGACATTCCAACAGTGCATGCCCAATATGAAGCACGTCCAAGGTCATGCAGACATGCATTTGAGGTCTGTCATTAGCATGGCCCCGGGCGGACTCATTTGCATGCTTTATTCCCTTGTGACCTTACTGTTCAGAAAGTCCAAACTGGCTCAATGTGAATCAGTTTTTCGCTGGTTACCGGTGAAAAGCAAATGCCAGCACATAGATCTCATAGAGTGCCCCGGGTTATTTGACAGACTGACCTCACTGCACTCCCATTCTGCTGGTTTCAGGAGCAAGCTAATAATGTGAAGCAGGAGTCCAAGCACAAGGGTAAGACAGAGAAAGAGAAGACGGTGGCCGATGCAGTAAGAGCCAGGCAGGGGACAGGAGGCTCCAGCAAGGCAGCGAAAGCAAGGGCTGTACAGAGAGGCGAAGATGTCACCAGGGTGGGCCTGTTTTAGACTTGATATTCTATGCTTGTTAACCCTCTGTGCATGCATTGTGCCTTTCCCACATACCATATCAACTGTGTTTTTTGCAGAACTCTCCCTGGTCACCATTAGTTCTGTTTTCAATTTCTGCTTTTAATCAGTTATTCTTGGTCTGATTACTCAGTTCCTGATTAAGATTTAGAATAGATGTAAGATTAAACATAAATTTCGTCAGTTCCCCCAAAGGTTTTCCGTTATGCCTTTTTGCAAGTCAATTGTAGTTTTTGTTTGTTTGATGTAGAAACGTATCAATGCCATCTTGAAAGATATAGATGAGCAGGATCAGCCCCAGGTTGTCAAGTTGGGAGACGCCAGCATCGCATCACCATTCACATCCAAACTCTCATCGATTATATGTGGTAAGACTTCTTACTCCTTTACAAATGAACTCTTTCAGAGATGCCAAGCTTGACCACTTGCTGCCGGGTGGATTTTTCTTGAGCAAGACAAGATTCCGGGTCATTTTCAAGATTTTCCGTTTTCAAAATTCTTCAAAAATTCATCATTTCATTTAATGGCCGTTTATACCAAAATGAAGAACTCTTTGGGCACTACTCTATTAAAAGCTGACAGGTAAAATTCATTGACTCCTGAATATTTCAGCCAGGCCTGCAGCCTTTGAAAAAGAGCCCAGATTGTGCGGTGTTAAGTAAGATTCTTTTGTTCCCAAAACCAACACAGTGCACTGCTGACCTCTTTTCAATAGGGGCCAGATTAGCGTGCAGTGGTGCTGTGTGGCTCATCGCTGCGGTGGTGGAGAGCTTTTGTCCCCGGTGGTAATCCACTCGCTCTAAATGCCTCAAACCATGGTATACTGTTTCAAAACAAGGCTGGATTATCTCCACTATTGAGAACGAAAAAATGTCAGTAATGCCCAGCAGCTCAGTCTTTTGTGCTGAGCATGGTCTTTTGTTATAAGACCTAACTCTTTTGTCCCAGTTCCGGGCTCCCCGGCTCTGCATATAAAGCCTGTGTACCCGAAAATGGGTCGTCCGACAGGAAGTTATTAGATGTGGTAAAGGTGTGCTCTGTAGTGCACTTTATTACACCATCTTGTGTTCACTTGGTTCCACAGTGTGTCACATCATCAAGCAAGGCAGATGTACCCTGGTCACCACACTGCAGATGTTTAAGATCTTAGCTTTGAATGCCCTCATCTTAGCATACAGCCAGAGTGTTCTCTACTTAGATGGAGTAAAGTTTAGTGATGGCCAGGCTACTTTACAAGGGCTATTGCTGGCTGGCTGTTTTCTCTTTATATCACGTTCAAAGGTATGCGGTGTTAAAATTAATGCATTGAATTTTTATTACACTCACTTTTTGTGCATCTTTATACTCTCCCTCTGCATATGAAGACTGAATTTCTTTTTTAATTAAGTGTATTGGAAAGTGCGCTTTTTAAACATTAAAACTTGTCTAAAATTTCCAGGTAAATGAAAGCACTGTTGTGTATTTGTAATTCAGGTGAGACATTGTGTTTTTTACAAGTTTCCATGTTCCGATTTTTAAATTCCAAATTTGTTGTTTGAAAACACTTCTGAAAATATTTGCTTGCTAAATATTGTCATATACATGAACCTAACAATAAATTGCCAAATAAGTGGAAATTTACTGCAGAAATATATATAAGATTGCTGCATATTTTTGTTTTTTTTGGGGGGGGAAATCAATGCAGCATTTAGGTTGGACAAATCTTCTGTAATTTCACTGTATTGGCCTTTTCTAGAATAATTGCATTCCTTTTGCATTAAAATAAGTAATAGGTGACGTCTGAGTTCAAATGCAGGTATTTTCATCATCAGCACATGTGTGGTGTCGAGGAGTGGATATGATATATTCCATTATTGAAGAGAACGAATGTGATTCCACGGATGACCTATCATTCAGGTATTCATACCGCTTATTTGGTGCTTGAATTCAATTTTTTTTTTCCTACAGCCTCTGAAGACGTTATCCAAGTCTCGTCCCCTGCCCAATATCTTCAACCTCTACACCGTCTTGACAGTTTTGTTGCAGTTTGCAGTCCACTTTGCATGTCTTATCTTTCTAGTATCTGAAGCTAAGGCAAGATCTCCACCAAGGTCAGTATACTCGGCACTTGTGTCCCCGAGCAAGATGCTTTTCCTCAATCACGATTTGGCCGCATGTAAATGGGAACATGGAAACTAGTAGTCCTCAGTGTGGAACCACTATTGAAGTGATCTTCAGTGAGTGTCATTGTGACTGTGTAATTAGTTGTGCTATCACACTCTTGCAAATTCCACTGACTTGGCAGGACAGGTTTGTGCATGTCACCTTGCCCCCAAGTTAGCACAAATTAGTGGATATGCACAATATGTCCTGTACTCTCTTGTCAGACCTGCCAACCTTTAGAATAGCAAAAGTGTATTCAGAGGTTCCAAAATGTGTATTTTTCAGTAAAAATGTGTATTTTCCCAAACAGGAAAGACTAGCTTACAAATACCTTTTCGTGACTACATACTTTTTGAACTTTAATACTTTACTCGTGCAGGCTTCAATGGACCTGGTAATTTCCTGGTGTTGCTCACAGCAGTTGCTTTCTTGCATGTACGCAACAGTTTATTTTGGTGTGCAAGTTGCTGCCATGGCCTGGCTGTGGCTTGGGTGTATATTTTTTTGTGAGAGAGTCTGACAGCATTGCAGTACTGTGGGTCGCATTCTTCGTTTCAGCGACGTCACGGTGTTTACCGGTCATGGTATTAAGCGTATTAAGATTCACGCAGAAAAACAAATCTTTTCACCGATGTATGGAGGCCGCCATCTTTCTTTACTCTACTGTCCATGCAAAAACAAGATGGCGGCCGGTCGGGCTGCTCGAGCAGGCCCGAATTTGTCGCTCAAATTTCCACCTTCAAATATCATTTTTGACAAAATGATACGTTGAATATGATGTGTAGGAGCCTTATGAATATTGTAAATATAAAATATTTGTATAAAAATGCTTGAAATGGTCTTATTTTCATCAATTTTTCATACAAAATATGCCAAAATCGTTCTAGTTGGCAGGTCTGTCTTGTGAGTAGTTCATATATGAACTAAAAGTTTCCTCACAGAGTCAGTAAGTCAAAGTCAGTAGAACAGATCTGATTGTCAGTTATGTACTCACATAACATGAGGGTGAATGTTTTGGAATTATCTGGAGTAAATCTTTTTAAAATGCTTAAGGGCTAAAACAACTGTTCAATTTTCTGTTTGGGTTGCACAGGGAAAAGAAGTTTGTAGATCTTGAAAAAGAATTCCAGCCAAACTTACTGAATAGCAGTGTCTATATTATATCCATGATGTTGCAAGTCAGCACTTTTGCAGTCAACTACAAGGTATGTATCATTGCCAAGGTTCATGTTCGTCAATTTATTACTGTCAAGTGGCAACTTTCATCCAGCTGACAGATTTAAATAATGGCTAGTTTGGGAGCAGCCATGTACTTTTTACACATTGCTAAATGCAGATACTTGGGATGATAGCCAAAGTTTGTAAATATCCACCATTAATTTGGCAACAGTGGTTACTGGCGGCGGGAACACACTGCAGAACTGACGTACTCAGACCTAGTCACCAAAGTCTAATTACTAGGTTGTGCTTAAAACAACTGCTTTTCCCTACTTCAGTTGCTCATAATTCTTGTTCATTTTCAACCATTGCATATAAGATAACTGTCATACATTTGACAAATACGTGCATTTTTACCAGAGGGGTTTTGTGTTCAAAGCAGTGAATGCATCATTGAATTTGTGACCTGATTCTGTGATTGACTTGGATGACTTTGTCTGGTTGCCAGGCTACCCTCTTACTACACGCTCTGATGAGATCAACCTTTGTTTCCCTCTCATAGGGCCATCCATTCATGGCTAGCCTGAAGGACAATAAGCCCTTGCTCTACAGCCTGTTGATATCAGGCATTGCTATCATAGCACTCACCACGGGTATCATTCCGGAGATATCACAGCAGTTTGAGATTGTAGAGTTTCCTGCAGAGGTGAGTTGAGTGCTGAATAAGTTCCCAGTTGCAGTTACTATTTCGTAACTTCTGCAGAGGTTGCACACTTGATAGTGGACCAAACTTACAAAGAGTCAAGAAGTAAAAAGCATTGTGCAAAAAAGTAATTGGAAACTTCTACCTCTTAGTGCAAGACACATATGGCAGTGAGTCTATTAGTGCTTATTGATATCCATTAAGATCCTCAGTGGTAACCTTGATATTGCCCCCTTTTGTAAAGAACCTCACTGTTGATTAAGTGCTGACCAGAAAGTTTTTGTGTGCCAGAGTGCTCTAAATGCTAATGTCTCTAGGGTATAGATGAGAATCTCATGTCTTTATGCTCAGTCATGCTTTGATTGCACCATTGAGTTCCAACCAAAGATCATCAACCCCTTTGAGAAACAGTTCACGATTTGAAACATTTTCAGTCAGGGGTGAAGCATTCAGCAGCCAGCAGAGATAAAAGGAGTTCATTCCACTTTAGCCTTTAGTTGATACTAATATAGATCAAGATGGGACATGTAGTAGATAAAGATTTTTATCTCTGATTTGTGGTGAAAAACCATAATGAAATTTGTAAAGGGTCAGCCTGTCTCACACAGGTTAATTTGTGTGGCCACAAGTGGAATTTGGGCATTGGCTTTACCCTTACGCTCATCCTGTCGCATCAGTGGCAGGGTACCTATACAGAGAGCACGTAGGTCTGGTAATGATGCAAAAGTAGCCCATGAATTGCATGGCTTTTTATTTTCTCTTGGCTGTAGGTTACCTGGCTTTGCTTTGAATTTCTATTTTATTCCCTTCTCCACTTCAGTTTCGTGCAGTGATGCTCCAGGGTCTCTTTGCTGACATGGTAGCTGCCTTAATCATAGACAGAACTCTGCAATTCTTCCTCGGATATGCCACACTGAAGACTGGTTGAAACACTTTTTGTAGTGTGAAGTAGAATGTGTAGAGGGGCTAGGTCTAGGAACTAGTCTCATAGAATCTGTAGAATTAGTATTACTTCAAGTTTAGCCTGGGGGTTAGTCATACGGGTAACCCAAAATCATTGGTATTTAGATCTCGGTGGAAGACATTGTGGCTAAATTCTCTCTCCCTATATGTAGTTGAATAAAGTAAACCTGTAAACTTGTTGCAGTTAAAAAGTAAAAGAACTAACGAATTAATATCTGGAGTATCCACTCAGATGTTTTCTTAAAAGTTCATATATTCCTCAATTCATTAAAACTTATTTGGTTTAACCACTATTTTATATAAGAGTTCCACGTGGAGTTCCCTTGTTATCAGCCAGGTTAATAGTAATTGTACTTCTGTACATGCCAAGCTAAATGTTCGATTTGTAAAGTTGTGTTTACCCAAATGTCCATGGCATTTTTCTCTCACTGTACAGGGAGTCCCCCTAGAAAATGCAACCCAAAGTAGAATGTATTTTCTAACGATTTTCAAAAATCAGCAACTTCAGTTGAACATGTGCAATTTACGTCGGTCTCTTTGTTAAGGTGCTGATCGTATTTACTCAGTAGACAATATTAATCACATTGAAGCATTTCAGGATCCAGTTTGTTAATGGAAAGTTAAAGGGGTTTGAACATGACACAACAAAACCCTGCTCAGTGCAGTATCCTCTCCAATTATCTCATGTGATCAAGAGTTTTCAATGGGAATGACTTCGGGAGAAAATGAATGTGGACTTTGGGTTGTGTTTTTTCTTTTGGGACACACTGTATATTTTGACTGGCCTTTCAGTCTTCAAAGCTAATGTACACACTTTGTAACATACAAAAAATTGGACTGCTTAATTTATTATAATAGTAAGTAATAGTGTCATTATGTAAAATTCTTTCACCTGGAAAGCTGTTTTTTTGGGAAGGGGATAAAAAAGCATTTTGTATCGTTCTCCAAGAACCGTCTACAGGAAAAAGATAATCGATGACTCACGGTGTCGTGTTGCTGGTAGCGACGTTTCGGCTGCTGGTGCTGCTAGCCTTCATCAGGCAACTGAAGTCTGGATGCTGCAGAGATATACCGCTGGACTGCGTCCTCCGCGTTTCTCGCTCTTCTGTTAACCTTCTGTTAACCTTTTTCCTGTATTTGTCATCCACCGCGGTGATTATGTTTATCTCTTCTAAGAACCGTCTAGACAAATGGTATTTGGAAGAAAAACTTGTATAAACACATTTACTGCCTCTGTCAATGGGTACCTTGCATCATTCTCGCCCCTTGTGGTCCATGTGTTTTTGCAAGACAAATTAAGCGAGTTATGCTTTGATGAAAACTGTGCAGCTACATCAGGGATATGGTAAACCGCTTTTCTCTCGCTCTTCTGTTAACCTTTATTGACAGGCTGTTAGGAACAGGTACATACAACTTAGGCAAATCTAGGAGTTAGAATACTAGGTTGTTTAACCTTTACTTGTGCCTTAAAAATCATACATATTCATTCAAGTACATATGAGTTTTTAATCGTATATTCAGGTTATATAAGTTATAAGTTTACATATAAATTATATGTGCATGTATCACATACCAATTTAAGTCTTGCATGTCTTACAGGTCAGCAGAAGTGCGAGAGAATGTTTGTCACCTTGTCCCAAATACAATTAGTGAAAAGCAAACACTGTTTTTCTCAATTTTTCTCCAGCAGTAATAAACGAATACATGTATGAAAGAAGCAAATGGAATGATAGACACTATATTAAAAGCAAGTGCCATTACCTTCAGTGTGCCCCTCTTATATTGTGCTGTATCCAAGTTATTATTCTTTGCCAAAAGACATCATTTTTTCCCTAATTATAATTCCTTGTTCGCATGAAAGAAGTTTATCTTTTACAACACTGGCCACTTTGTTAATTATTCAAGAGGTGGAAGAGGAGATTTGTGCCCATGTTCATTCAAGGTGTTATTTTACACATAATTTGTTTTATTTTCTTCATTTTGGCCTTTTGGGCCACCTGCATTTTCTTGTCAGTTCTCAGTTTGGTCATGTGATGTAACCATTGTTCTTAACATGTGTATTTGTTTTAATCGTTTTCCAAAAACCATTGCATTCCAAACACAACATCATACCGGGAGCTCTCAGGAGTCCCTCAGTAATAGCGATCATGTGCTGCCATTCCAAACATGAGATTACTTTGCATTGAGGAAGCCCAAAGTAACACATTTTGCAAGCTATTGTGCAAATATAACAGCCTTTAATAGTTCTCGGTAAAAATTAACTTGCCGTGCCTGTAGTTCGGGAGGATGGGCCATACTGACGTCACAGAGCAGTAATGCACAACTCATGCTCAGATTGGTCTGCTGGCAAGAGAGGCTATAATCTGCCTTTGAAGTGTTTTCTTGTTTTCTGAGGTATTTATTTGACAAGCATCCCATTTGCAGAGATCTGGAGTAAATATCTGGTTAATAAAGGTCAACAAATCTGCTTTAAAATAAATTCTGCGGTAATTCTTCAAAGAATATTCGCTTTGGTTGATAAAGTGGAGTCTATAATCATCAAATAAATAGCTTACCTATTTATAGATGACGTACATGTATTCATTATCAGGCGTCCCTACTAAAACAGTCTGGGGAGCTCTGATCAGACGCAAATAAAGCAATGTTAATTTGCCGTTAAGTCAGCGAGATTATTCTGAATTAAGATTGGCATTTGGGTAGAATTTTGCCACTTTAGCAATTAGGCCATCGATTCAAACTCTGAAAGACCTAGGAAATGTAGGATGGGCCGTTCAGATGGGAAGACAGTCACAGGGCGCGGGCCGTAACTTTTCTCAGTTTCTTGTGTGTTTTGCATCAATTAGTGGCCTTTTTGTACCCCCCCCCCTTTTTCGTAAGCTTTACGTGTTAAAGGCCACGCCGAGCAATAAGTTTTCCCACTGCATAAGTTGCCGAATTTATACAATAAATATTGTTGGACTGGGTTTCGTTCAATAGACTTTTTTTCATTGGTTAGTTTGTAGATATATATATAGAGAGTATATTGTTTAGGAGAACAACCTAAAGTTAAAGGGGGCATAATCAACGGTAAGTCGTGCAGGGGGAAGTCAGTAGCTTCGGCTGTATCGATGAATGTGTATGCCTGTCGGTTAATTAAGCAAAGGAAAATCGTCATCCAATAATATTGCGATGTATGATTGTGACGGGGAACATTCATCACACACTTTTTATTTTCCACCTCTAGTAGGCCTATATACCTTTGATGCTCAGTTATATAGAACGTTGTTATATAACTGAATATTTAATTACAACTTTACGGATCAATAACTGTCGAAGCAGCTTGCCCTTTTTTAAATTAATCAGATCTCTTTTGTCTGTTTTGTAGTGGTTGTCCCTAAATTTTTGTAAGAAATGCCAATTTGTACCAATGTACCTTGATTAAGATTTATATTATTATTGAACTGTTCTTAGCGGGACGAAGTAGGCCGGACTCAGTAGACAAAAAAAATCGGTGTTGGCACAACACGCTAAAGACCCGTTGTAAGAGCCGCAAGGTTAACTTCCACACTCCCATTTACGTGGCTTCTGTGCTCCAGAGACGTTAGCACGGTTCAGAGGGTTTACTGTATACCCGCACCCGTACGTACGCACCATACAGAACTACACGCACTCATAACGCGGCCTCCGAGTAATCGCGTGTCCGTACTGTACGTGCGCTAAACACCTGTGCATGTGTACATGTACGTACATGTACAAATGTACATGTACATGTGAATAGGCCTACGTGTACTCGGTTGAAGGCGATGTACCATGCAGGTAGATATAGCAACGGACGCTTCGTGACGAACAACCCAAACAAAGTCCAGACTGTCCCAGTCCGCGGTTAAAGTAGGTCACTTTATTCATATTTATAATCTCCTACCTTCACCAAAAATATCGATTATTTATTCAAATTGAGAAACTAGTTAAGCACGTTTGTGTATGCTCATCAAACAGTTATAAAAACTGCCTTTAATTCGACCACGACAACTTTTCTGAACTTTTAAATCAATTAAGCGGAATAATAATAATTACAATTACAGTGAGTGTCCTTAATCAAAGATGGCTGACAAGTGACACTTGCGTGCGGACTCGAAATCGAGATCTTCGCGGGATATGTTTCACGTTCGTGAAGTTTCTCCGTTTATGACATTACTGCAATGCAAGCAGTTATGTCGATTGAGGAGGTAACTAACGTAATACCTTCCACGATCACCTGGCGTGAGCCGGTGGAAGTAAGCCAGGTGCGGGGAGTCGACGCCGGAACGTCCCGGGCTGCCGTGGATTCACCACGGGGAAGGGAGTCACCTGCGCACAGTGGGCACCTCTCCGACGGAGATACACCTGCCTTGGCCAAGTTAGCCTCGCGCACACGGTTTTACTCTGGTAGTTCGCAGGGCCATGGCTACGGTGGGCTCGCGTCGAGTAGCTCCAGTCCAAATTTGACATTAAGAGACCACGACCAAGCCAACACCTTCACTGAGACCACACAGATTATTGGAATACAGGCTAAGTTACAAGAGAAGCCATTCAGTGGTGGATGTGTGTCGGAGTCGGTAATGATGCCGTCCGTGACAGATGGAGTTTCACCAGGAAGCCCACAGGTTTCCCGGCAAACTATTCGGTCAAGAGCCAGACCAAGACGGCCAGATGAGGTAAACAAAATTACAACTTTTAAACTGTTGCTTCAACCAATTATGCTAGGGCCTACCTTGGAGAACGTTACAGAACTTTTCATATACAGACATTTGATGCCCCTGTCATGCCTGTGCACAAACCTTACACTTCCTTGAAAAGAATCTTCGACATGTTTGAAGTGGTTTCTAGGGAAATGCTTCGGAATTTTTCGGGCTTAAGTTCACTTATTAGAATATCTTATCACTGTCTGATGGCTGCTGTAGCACTGTAAGAGCAAATAAGTGCTGTCTGTGTATGGGACTCTTTCCAAAGTGGCTTGTTAAATACTGAGCGTCTTCTGGTTGTGTGATTTTGTTGGTTGTAGTGTGTGTTCCTTACAGTCTTCTTCAGTCCCGATTCTAAATGTCTCTTTAAACATGCAGTTTTATGACAAATAAGTTTGAGGTGAGAAACTTTTTACAGGTGATAGGCTTCACATTTTCATTTTAGATGTGTCCTATCCTGTTTGAATATATTGTTTCAAGTGAGGCAGACTAACTGTGAGGAAGTGTTAAAAATATAATTTTCAAATTCATAGGCCCATTTGATGTTTAAGCCAATAAAAGAAAGTTCTCTCCCCAAATGGATGATGTGAGTGTGCCAGAGAGTAGGATTTTCCAACATTTTGACTGGCACTGAGTGTACCTCAAGCTTTGATTTTCAAATTGGATATTTTACATTTTTCCATAATTTGTCCATTTTTGCCTGTAGGTTGAAGGGCAAAAGATATAGAGAAAGTATTTTTAGTAAAATTTTACAAACAAGTGTTTCTTTGCATATTGTTGTGATGTTGATGGAGGAAACAGTGGCATACCCAGCTCGTTTAAGCCTTTGGCTTCAAACTTATTGAAGTATTTATATCCCTTCTGCCATGCAGAATGAATAGTCTGATTATAATATAGTTATTCTTAGAACCAAAGAAACTCGACCAAAATAGTTTCATTTAGCACGGCATAAGAAAAGTGGCTGTAAAAATGTGCACTTTGAAATTTACTTGCTGGAATGGTTACCCTGCAAGGACAGATCTCAGACTAAATTTCCAGGGTGTGGGCCAAAAAAGTAGGATTTTTTTATATGGCCTTTATTTGGGGATGAGGCTACAGAGGTACATGTAGATCCAAGTTTATTTGCTGGTTGGGGTGTAGGAAAGTTTTGCTTGTGCAAACCATTTAATCTCCCTGTTTTGTCCTTTTGGCTACATTATGAGGGGAGGTACATGATGTTTGTAGGTCGGTAAATAAGGTCAACAATTTCCCTTTCCCTCGTAAAAAAAAAGTGGTGTTGGGGGACATGGCCCCGTTGCCATTCCCTCCCCCCACCAGCTCTTGGAACCCTTGTACGTACATGTATGCTAAATGCAATCATTTCTAAGTCTTTTGGATTGAGTCACATACACATATAAACTGTAGACTAACAAATTCTGCCCCAATGAAAATGTTCACACAGTGTACATTCTGAAAAAAATATATTTTTGTGCTTTCTTTCAGCCTGCTCCATTCCTTAGTGTAGACAATTTACCAGTTGACAAAGTTATTGTTGGTAAGTACATTTTGGAGATAATTGTAGTGACTTGGAAATGTGTGATTGTATGCAAATTAATACAGTATAATGAGGCACATTTGATTTGATTTGTCCAGAATCCTTGCTTAAGCCAACAGCTTATCAAACATGTAGTTGTGAAGCGGGCTGAGAATTATGGCCTTTGGTGATAGTAAGCAGAACACAAAGTATTTTGTTACTGCCAATAAAATGTCTCTACTGAACACGATCCAGCACAGATCTGATTTTTAAAGATCCATCAAAAGACGATGATTTAAAAGAGATACAGTGTAGCTGCACATCACTAGAAATGATGTGTGGAAAAAATTAAGCGGGAGGTTAAAGAAAACACGATAAGAAAGGATGTTACATGTGCATCACTTAAACCTTGTACTGAAATGTTGCAAATTTTTAGGATATGGCGGTGCCTTACAGATCTAAGGTTGACTACCATAATGGTGGTATATGGATTGCCTCCAAGATATCTGGTTAATATACATTGTCAGGCCTGGGCTATACGCCGTGCTGAATAAGTGAATAGCATAAGTCTATAGAGCAGTGTCAGGCTACTGCTGTTGAGAACACCTATACTATAGTGCAGCATACCCTGTGAAGCCAAGGAGCTTGCCATGAATACTGCAACTTGCCAAGCCGGACTGGAGCTAAATGTGCTATTGCTTTGTAAACTTTAAAAAATATCAAATTGTTTGAATATGATGTGGCTGTAGCATGGCATGTAGCCTAGGCCTTAAAGACTAAAGAGGGAAAATTACTGAGGCAAGGAGACAGTACAGATGTTTAAATCAAATTCTAAGAGGCTTTTGTTGCAGTTTACAAAAGTTTGTATATGTACCCTCTGCACAGCATTGTTTTCTGACGTTCTCTTTTTGGCAGGCTTGCTGTATGGTTACTGAAGAATGATTCTACGTGTACATGTACAATAGTTTAGTCAGCTATTAATACAGCAATTTTGCTAGTGTTGAATGCCAACTTAAATTGTCTGGAGACTGCTGATACCAAAGAAAACAACAATACATGTACATACGACCATTCTACCTTTATTTACCCCAGTAGTAACCTGTCACATGTACATGTATCAGTAAACATTTCAAGCTCCTTAAACCTCAGATAGTGTAATCATAAGTTGTAAAAAAGGAGAGACAAAATATTTACACTGTATCTCATGTGCCCAACATTGTGTTTGGCGCTTTGCTAGCAGCAGCTTCTGAATGCAAACTGTTTGTGGAAGAAGCAGAGATACCATGTCCTTGGTTTCAGAAGAATTGTGGGCATAAAAACCAGTATGAGAACCAATATTTTCTGACATCCTCCTCTGCCATTGTCTGTGTCCCATCTAGTGTTGACTCTGCCCACACCAGTGTTTGCCCAGCAATCCAACTGGAGCTGCATCATTTACCCTCCATGTTGGCACAAGGGTGTTTTGGCATTTATGTGTGGTTATCAACCTGAAAATGTGGTTCAGCATTGTTTGGAGAAGGTTATTACCTGCATTGCGCCAGAGATTCATGTGAACTTTGCATCACAATTAGAGCTAAATAGCAGTTTGGAAGTAATTTCTCGACCCTGGGTTCCATAATTTCCCCCAGCCAGTTAATTATGTTTGTGTAACGAGGAGGCCTTCATTTGAGTGGAGAACATTTTGGGCAGTGATTCTGCACAGATTTTAGAATCCTTGAATCATATGAAATTCATAGAAACCTAGTATTCATGCATATTCATAGTAATAGCAATTGCCTGGATGGTTTGATCATTAACCGGATTCCATTCACACCTGCCACTCCTTCCAGATCTCCAGTGAAAATTGGCCATTACGCCCAGCATAAAAGTGATTGACAGAAATTTATTTGGTGATAATAACTGGAAGGGTTTGGTGGTAAAGTGCAATTTTAATAGATGTTTGTGTCAGAAAAGATATTCTGAAACTCTAATTTATGTACATAAGGGTCCAAATGGAATAAATACATGTACATGTACTGTGTTTGAATTTGTGCACGATCATCAGTAATAAAAGTCTTTAGATTTGTTTGCCCTGAAACCCCTATATAGTAATTGCCTTCTTTATCACTGAGAATCCATGTCAAATTTGTGTGTGGTGAAACAGTTAAATGTAAAAATTGTAAAAATAAAACTGTAAAATTTGTCATGCCTCAGTTTTTATTGAGGAAACAGATCTGTGATCATTGGGTCGTTATAATTGTGAGGGGAGGTTGTGCCTGGGTGGGGTGTGGGGCTGGGCCATGATTCACTGCGTTTTGTACACCATGGGGGAAATTTATGCTCGGTGCAAAGCAGACAGTATACAACTTACAAGTGCTATTACGCAAGCTGATGACCCAATTATAATGTGAAACCAGTGAATTGATTGTTCACACTTTGGTTGGAATGTACATGTACATACAGGTACATGTAATACTAATAAGCTGTACTAATACACCTGTACATACATGTATAGCCCTATAATTGAATTGAGCCATTCTAACAGAATGGGAGGAAGTTTCAGCGTGACATGCTTGAAAAACAGAGTTTGTGTACATATCTAGTTAGGATTCCTTTGTCAACTCCTTTCTCTACAGGCACTGGCTTTCATGCACATACATACCGGTACATACCGGTACGATAAGTCACAACAAGAATAATCTCATTAAAATTTATTCAGACATGCTGCCACTGGTTTTCACTAAATAGGGACCAACTAATACAATAGTAATATTCATAAATTTTTCATCTAAGTTAAGCAAACTCATAGCTGTAAATAAACCCCACTTTCCGCTTTTTCAAAAAATGGTCTGACATACATGTAGTCCATGGATGTGTGCCTGTGTGTATGTTCAGCTGCATCTCAGCATCCATCATCTATTTATAAACTTCCACATCATACTTTTTCAATTGTAGCCTTCCATTCATATTGACTGCAAGTTACATGTAACCCCCTTTTCATTTTGCAGAGGGCAAACCACATTCAAAATCCAGGCTGCCATCCGATTCCCCTCGCAAGCCAACAACTGCAGGCAAGAAACGTCCAGACCCCCTCCTAAATGGGACAGGGCGCAAGACTCGCTCCCCTCCCCAGTCGGCTTTTACCTCACCTGTGCCAAGGTCACCGTCAAGAGGGCAGTCCAGAGGTACACCTAGTGCCACGTCTTACAACTACAATTCCTTCTTTACGCACAAGTAAGTGCAAAAATTGAATTGAATTGTGAATGATTCCACAAACTTCCAGGCAACATCCAAGATGTAACATTGCCACACAGTCTATACTACAACCCCAAGGTAGCTGAAATTATTTTTTGTGGTACCTTTTTGTTGGAGAAGTACAAATTTCAGTTGTTAATGAATATTCAGTGTAGCATCTTTTGTAAGCTCAGTCAGCATGGACTCTTCCCCCTAAGTTTTAACATGAGAAAAATGTAACCACGGCACTTTACAGTGTGCAGTAGTTACCAACAGGTCTGCATGGATAATTGGATCAGCTTGTAATTTAAGTCTTCAAGACAAACAGTTAGGTCTCACTTGTTCTAGTATCAAGTTAACAGTGGGGAAACTGTTAACAATTGCATGGTCCCAGACAGTGCAAACACTCTTTACAATGATCCCTCTTACCAATAATGGATGTAATGGAATCCTTTAATTCCATCCTCTCCCTGGTTGAGTTGGCATACTTCTTGGCCAATTCATTCAGTTTTTGCTCCCACCGAAGGAGTTGTTGATTGTATTGAATTGTAAGGGACAGACCCACACTTGTTAGTAGACCAAACAGGAGAAATATTTCGAGGCTAGCATAAGGCAATTGTCTGTCTGGAGAAGTGGAATCCAAACGTTTCACTACTGCTGTTCATTTGGATACTGGTGAGCGCATTTTCTGAAGCTACTGTAGGAAATGTCCTGGAATTAGGCCAAGTACATATACATGTACATAACACCAAAAATGTTCAAACAACTCAGATCACAAACCATGCACACGTACATGTACTTGCACCTTTGCAAATTTATGTGCACATGGTTATACAATTAATATCAACTCAAAGAAAGAATTATCTTAATCTTGCTGTTCGTTTTCAAATTTGTTGTGTTAATGTGGAGAAGGTGTTTAAATGAAAGATACTGAAAGAATTTTCCAGTAAGGTGTTTAGAAGATCTAATGCAGACAGATTTATTTCATATTCAATAGAGGCTCGGTCCAGGATCTTTTCACTTGCTGTGTTTGTTTTTGCATGCTGTTACACCTCTGAACTACATGTTATTTATTTGGTCTAAGTTCACACATCTTGAACACATCATGCATGAACTCACACATTGCCATCGAGACGTCCTGAGATTGGGTTACTGACATGTTTGGGCTAGCTTTGTAAGTGATACAGGCAGGCTCTTGCAGCCTTCACATTTGTGGTGTAGTCCCAACAGAGGTATTAAAACACCCAGATTTTCTTTCCTCTTGGTACTGTCATTGAAACTCACTTCATTGCCATATAAATTTAAACTTACATTTTCAACTTACCCTGTTAAAATAATGATGGCTTTTGTGGAGGTACGTGTAGATGTACATGTACATTCAAACAACTCTAGGTTAGTGTTTCTACGTCTTCTCTCTTTGTTGCTCTGAAGTAAAGATGCTGAACAGTCTCCAAGCTGTTACAGGTCTAGACTCAGTTTCTTATTTAAAGTGTTTTAGTCATAAAAAAGAAGCCCTAAAGAAATAACATAACAGCAAGCACCTTTGAGTAATTTTGCAATGATGGAATTCCTCAAGTTTGTTCTTTCTGATTCCTTTTTATGTTCCAATATTAAATTTATGTAGAAGTTGTCTGCTGTACATGCATGTATCAGTATGGAGTGTCTTATAAATATTTCGGATTGGTGTCTGTCATCACCTGTAGGAGTTCAGCATTTCTGGCAGGCCCTCCTGACCTCTGGTCCATGGGCAACAAATATTGGCCCCAACATGGCACCCCTAATGATCGGCAGAAACTGGCCCCGCTCCCTCAGAGTGTAGCAGCAGAGGCGTTGGCCCCAAAGCCAAATGTTCATGTCTCCCAGCCTTTCAAGCATGACGTGAATGCGGAAGTGCCATTAGTAAGTAGAAATCAAGCGTAATTTATCGTTGGGTGTTTGGAATTTTGTCAGATGTCACCTTTTTTTAGCCTCCTGGTAGAAGATGAAGTTCCAGATGTCAGTGAACTGCTATTAATAAGAGAACTGTCGTCAGCAAGCCATAAGCATACTTTATGTATATTACCATCAAAGGAAAATAAAGACTGATTCTGTGAAAACTTAACTTTTTTCATCCAGCAGCTGACTTTTTTTTCATGTTTTGTTAATGAAAGAATATTTTGCTGCTGAGTCAACTTTCTGTTGGTTAGTTGTGAAGTTTTGTTTAATCATGGCAAGGAGTCTTCAGCCCTGGTATCATTTTCCCATGGGATTGATTATACCACAACAGAATTTCAGCAGGTTTGCCCTACACTATAAAACCTGAATGAAGGTTTTGCCATCATCAGTAGGAGAACAAGATTACTTTTCTCCCATGTGTTTTTGTACTTTTACAAGTTTGTGGACCTGTTTTGTCCATGATATATTGGTACACATAATATGTACGTACATGTATATGTCATGGAATGAGCCACAGGCTTTCCTGTGGTTTGTTCAGTCAGCACAACTACACATACAGTAGATAGCTTTTTTTCTCAGCCCCTCCCCACCACCTCACTACTCAAGTTAATCTAATCATCTTTTTTGTCAGTGGTTCCTTGTTGCCCATTGTGTCTGGCGCAAAGGCCTTGTTGGCGCTAGGCCATTCTTCCAACAGTACGTGCTCCATAGAAACTAAGTGTTGCAGCCTTGCACACCTGCATGGACTTTTAGCTGGCTTTATATCCACCTCAGCAACTATTTTATTGAAGTTAAACTGAAGCTGACAGCTGCCTTGGAACAGGGATGAGAAAATGTTTAGCAATAATTCATCACTTATCATCCTGCCTGATCAGCATGATGGTCTATTTTATTTCAGAATTCCTTAACTTTTACCTGTACAATCAAAGAAATGCGGCTTGTTCATTTCAGAGTTGTTTTGATGGCTCCAAGTTGCTAGTGCAAGTGTGCATTCCCTTCATGACTCTGTGCCAGAAAATTTGTCTGTAATAGAGTCATGTACATCTAATCTCATCCAGTTACAAAAACTGCAGGAGTAGAATTTCTGTATTTGAGTGCAAATGTCTCCCGAAGTTCAATTTGACAGAGAAGAAGAGAGGCTTGTTTGTTTATGGGTGTGACTATTTATGTGTACACATGTATGTTAACATGTAAATTGTCATTATCAACATCCAGTATTAAGCTGCAAATTATCATTTTTGTTCAGGTGTTTTGAACTTGTGTCAACTTGGACGAGATTCATTTACACTATCATTTTCTTGCAGCCTTAAAAGTCTTAACAAATAGGCACTGCACATTCCTCAGTACATGTATAAATATGAGTTGCTGTGTCTAATTACCATCGCTATTTTGGGAAGGAATTTTAGCAAACATCCCCAGGTTTCTTTAAATTCATTTTAGCTTCTCAATGCACTGTCTTATATTCTGCCCTCATCATGTCACAGGATCGTCCCGTGTCACCCAGCCAAGACCTGAAGGAACGTAGCATTTATGCTCTGAGGGAGGTCACTAGAGGGCTGAACCGCCAACAGTCCCCTCCACAGAGCAGGAGAGGGGGGAGATTACTGAAGGGGAGGTATGGCAGTTACAGGTTCTGTTTGGTCATTGGACTTAAATTTTCTTAGTGAAAGATGATCTTTGTTTATAAAGTTCAAAGCACTCGCAGCAAATTTCAAACTTCAAGAAATGATTGATTTACATATCAGTATTAAACTATTTATGCTTCTGTTGTAGGTTGAAGCCACTGCATACATTTAAGCTTTCTGGGCCTACCATTGATAACTGCAAAGGCATCCAACCAGGTAATTTTTAACTTTTTTCTGATTTAAAGTTAGTCTACACTAACAAAATTTGGAAAAGGCGCGCGTTTTCATGATGATTTTTCCAAGATTTTGAGCAAATCTAACTTGAAACCTTGCAGAGGAAATGGATCATGGACCCAGTGAAAGTCGGATGTTGCAACGAAAGCGAGAACTTCTTAGCATGCTTCCCGCTGATATATTCCAGCCGCGACCGATGACAGGAGAGTCTGTCCATCGCACGTCCATTGTCTCCCAGCTATCAACAGACAGAGACAAGCATCTTGAAGATGAATTGGGGTTGGTGCTTGCCCTTTTTTATAAAGTTAACTTCAAGTGCATTGCTATTTTGAAAAAGATGCACATGAATATTAAATAGGCAGATGTTAAAATGAATATTGTTCAGAAAATATTCTAATGATTAAGCCATAGGCTCAGCACTGGCATACAAGCAGTGCTGTGCAGTTTGTTATATTATGGTTAAAAGGTGTCTTTGAATTTCTTTTTAATAGAAAAACAGAGGAAGGAACTGAAGACGAAACATGCAAACTTAGTCAGGTCCTGTCTGGTGTCCGAAAGCCACCAAACAGCTTAGCCAGTCTCTCGGGTGACAACGTATCCTACCTCCAAGATGCCCTGACCAGCCACATGGAAATCCCAGGGGTACCCTACAACAGGGATGCAGCCAGTGAACACCAGCATGAGGACAAGGAGAGCCAAGATGACCAGAGCAGAGTCCCTCAGATCTCTGAGGCCTACGCAACCAGCTATGAGAGCGGCAGCAAGATAGATCTGAGTTCCCAGCAGGTGGAAGAGGAGGTGACTGCTTCTGGGGATGCCCCTGCAAGTGAGGACAAGATTCCAGAGGAGAAAGTAGAAGATGAGAAGGAATCAGCTGTCAAGGATGAGGTGAAAGCCACCATGAGCGATTACATGAATGAAGGAGGGGCAGCCAGGGTGCTCAGCGACATGGTCCAGAGGGTCACCAACAGCGCCAAGAAGAGCACAGTGGAGGAAGACAACGCCTTGGACCAGAAATATGACACCTATTTTGCTGATACGGAGACAAGGTCTGACACTCCGACCAGCCGTACAGGCAGCAGCACACTGATGAGGCGGCAGAGCTCAATGGATGACATTGAGATAGATCAGGCCAGCTTTGAGCTGACCGACATGGTGTCCGAGGATGGCTTGGGAGAGGATGGAAGTGTGAAACAAGCTGGCAAAGAATCAAATGTCGAACGTGGATCATTAAGCTCTTTAAGCAAAGCCAAAGAACCAAATGAAGAAAACAGTGTAACCAATGATGACACCGAGTGCCAAAGCAGAGAATATGAAACCCCAACAAATGAAGACTTTCAAAAAGACATTTCTGTACATACAAATACATCTGACAATTCTTCCACAGACAAATCAAAAGAAGAAAGTGTAAAAGATCATGGCATAACAGCAAGTACGTTGTACAAGTACATTGACAGCGGGCTTGTAGAAAATGTACAAAATTCAACCAGCAATTCCAGCATAAACGTAGATCAAGACCTCACATCTGCTGGAGACAGTGCAGCAGAACTGACTTTAGGGGAGACAAATGATGATGGTCAAACTGTAAATGTTAATGACAAGGGCCTTGAACGGAATAAAGAAGGAAAACCAACAGACACAGAAATTGGAAGCTCGTCTGCAAAAGATGATGTAAAACCCCTGACAATAGAATCTGGCATTCAACCCCAAGAAAATGGCAATGTGGACCCTCTTGCCGAACAACCAAGAGAGGTTGGTGAGAACACTTCCAATATTCCTGTTGCCAAGGGGGATTTTGTGGCTGCTGATCCAGAGGCTAGTGTAGATACTATCACCACTATTCAGCTTGATGGAAATGGACAAAAATCAGAAATCACATCCAAAGAAGGACCAGACTTGACTGTTGAGCAAAACCAAGACACAACTGGCCATTCAGCAGATACAGTCCTCAATGACATTGATCAGGAATCAGAGGAAGTTAATATAGCAGAAGTGGTTGATATTGCTGATGAGAGCAAGGTGATTACACATTCTCATGAATGCAATGGAGACAGAACTGAATTGCCTGATGGAGAATGTGAAAAACCAGCAGAAGAGGACAGCAGTAAAGAGGAAACACAAGGTAATGAGAGCAGCGGATGTCATGGTAACAGTTTCAAGAAAGATGATGAAGATCAGGATGGTAATCAGGGTGGGCAAGGTGGTGGTGGTGCCCGTAGTGGTGGTGGCAGTGGTTCGGCTTGTGGGGGTGGAGATGGTTCAGACACCAATGGCGTGAGTGATACTGGGAATTCGCAAGGTAACCCACCATCTGGAACGGGTACAGGGGGAACACAACACAGACTGAATGAAATAACGCATACGCATAACCCTGCTGAAGAAGACTGTCTAACTATGCAAAGAGATTCTTACTTGTACTTGGAGTCAGACAGTTTCCAGCCAAGACAGGATGATACCGTTAGTGACGATTATGAGGATGACATTCCTGAAGTAGATGAGCCAGTCCTCTTCTGTGGAATATGTGGCCTCGATGAGGACATGTGTCTGTGCCCTTGCAGCACTTTCAATGAAAAACTTGGATCATTAGGACACAAACAGACAATCAAATCTACTTCAGCTGTCATAGACAATAACCCATTAACCTCAGGTGCTCCTCAAAGAAGTTACAGTGCTGCGGAAGGCCTACAAAGCACAAGAGGAATTAAAGAAATAATGTACTCGTGGAGTCAGGAAGCAGAGATTGAAGAGAAGTCAATCCAAAGACATCTGATCCTGGAATACCAGGCAATGATAGAGAAACCAGGGCAGAAAGGTTTCTTGAGCGAGGCACTGACATCGCCCAGGTTCGGCCAGGGTAACCTTATGCTCTTACAGGGTACCAAGATGAAGTGTGGGTCAAGACAGGAGAGTGCAAAGAGGAAACCCCAGGCTTTCCTCTCAGAATTTGAATTCAGAAATGACATGTCAAGGTTGTGTAATGGCGTCAGTGAGCAATCTGAACAGTTGGAGTGCAGCATGGTGTCAAATGACATGATGGTGGACAGTGGATGCTGGAGCGAGATGCAGAGAAAAGCATCCCCTCAGAGTGAGGAGTCATCCAAGAAGCAGACAGAGATAATGTCAACAAATGGAGAGAGCAGCGATTGCGGTTCAGCATACGAGGTCAATTTGGATCAGTCAAGGTGCTTGCATTTTTTAATTTCTGAACTGGCAACAGAAGTCCGGAAAAGAACTCTCTATAGCCATCAGATTTATGTTCCTGAATGCTATAAGTGCACCCCAGATTTTTTTGTGTCTTATGTGATTTTACATGTCTGCAAAACTTTCACATTTCCGTTTTGATTTTGTGTCATGCTGCTTTATGTCCACAAAATTGAAGATCACAGCGTATTTCTGGAAATCATTTTATTTGTCCACATTTGGCACTTTTGACATAAATAATACAACTTTAATAATGCAAAAATCAATTCATTGTGAGCTGCTCTGTCTGTACAGTGGATGGCAATGGCTAACACCTGTCCAATATCCTGTTTTATGTCAGTGGCAACTACACTGCACTATCCAGGATTCAGAAACACCTGCTAGAAAACAATTGGCTGCGTGCATTTAACAATTGTAATGGGAAATTAATTCAGAAGCAAATGGGTATTTGACATTATTGCATTGTAGAATTGAAGTTTAACCAGATTGCATAATTCTTTTACTCAGTTTTCTGACACAGTCACGCCTTTTGGAAATATCAAACTAGTTAATATTTCTTTACAGAAATTGTAAAGAGAAACTCTGCTCATAGTTCATCCCTGCATTAAATGGCAGGGTCCCATGAATCACCTTACTGGCAGCCCAACATCCATACGAAAGACACATCAAGCAGAAATAGAAACCTAAATATACAATGATGTCTTGCTCCTTTGCATGGGTCCAAGTGAAAGCAATCTGTGGAGTCAGCTTACTGGCAATTTGTCCTATGCAGCTGGACCTTGTGGATAAAAAGTCTGCACTTGGAGTTTCAGGCTCATTTATATACACATATGTATATATACATATAGGCAACATCATGTGGCGATCACAGTATCGGAGGTAATATGAAACAGTTTGTATTGTTGTTCTTGGGATTGCATTCTTTGTTGAATGTGTACATCAGATTTGTTGGATGTAAGTGAATTGCATTAACACAGCATATATTGTTACAGTCTGTGGTTGCTGATATATTTTAACTTTGCTTAATTCTCTTAACCTTTCTTGTTCCAGACTTGAGGCAGAAACTTTGGAGGTAGTGGCCAAGCCATTGTCAAAACCAAGGTTAGCAGCGTTTGTACTTCATAGATTCATACAGTTTATCAAAGTTTGGCCACTCAGCAGCCTGGTCATTCATCACTCAGTTAACAGTCAGTTGTAATTTATTTTATTTACTGTGCCACGTGTTTGACAGGTATCCAAGGGACACTCATTTTCCTGCAGCCAGAGCTCCTGCTCCTCTGTGCTTCAAGATCAATGCCAAACCACCATCAGGGTTCCTTTACTACTTTGCATATGGAGCCGACATGAATAAGAGCAGGTTGGTCAATATCTTTCATGCTGGGTTTCTCATGGAATATAAAGGGAAAAGGAATATAACTTCTTTGTTGACTTGTTCATTTGGGCAGTGGTGAGCATTAACAAAACAGAAAATATGGCAGCTCTGTCTTTGAGCTGGTTGGAATGTAATCACAGCAGATGTCCTTAAAAATTTGTTGCAGATAAAGTATCCGGTTCTTTTCAGAACCACACATACTCAAAAGAGATATTTTCCACATGGTGTATCCGCAAACCCTCTACCTTAAAGTATCCACATCGTGGCACTGAATGAAGAAAGTTATAAATTTGAAAAATTAAAACAAACATAAAATGGAGTAGTCAACTCTAAATGTGCATTTATTTAACAAATAAATGTACATTTAGAGTTGACTGAATGCCTGTTACTGCTTTTTTGCTTTTTTAATATGATTTGTACTGTGATTGTCTTCAACCAATGCAGAGTGATTACTTTGTCCTGTTTGCACGCAGAATGTCATCTTACATTGGCAGAGAGGCAGACCACAGACTCTGGGGTATCTTGTTTGGCTTCCAGTTGACATTCAACAAACGAGGTTACAGAACATCTCATGCTTTTTTTTTATGTCAGAGAAATATCTCCAAGTCCATCTCATCAATGCAATCCATACTTTCTGAGTTTTTACGATAACCTTAACTTGCACTTAAGCATTTGAATTTTTATGACCAAAAGCAAAACTTATAAAAGAGACATTAGCATTTGCGAGGGCATTTTGATTCTCAGGTTTTCCTTTTGTAGGCCTCTGTCATTTTTGTAATGTCTCCCCCAGGTGCTGACTTGGAAGCAGGAGGATTCCCCAATATTGCTTTCAGCCCAGACAGCTCAGTGGAAGGGTGTGTCTATCTCATAACACCCTCAGAGCTGCAGAAGTTGGATGGCCACATTGGATGCCCAAAGGCAAGGACTGGATTTTTTGGATATTTTTTTAGAAAGATATCTTGTTTTGTAGGCTAATTGGAGTGATTTATGATACAAAGCACCAGGAACTTTTTTTTAAGAATGCATTGTGGGAAGAAGTAGATTTCCTCTTTTGTGCACAAGAATTTTGCAGGTATTCCTTTTCTGGATACCCGACATTTCCATTTTGTGCATCGATAGTAGTTCATAATCATTTGGTGCAGTTTTGCTGAGATGTTGACAAACATAAACAAAAAGGCACAGATGTTCATCTGTAGGATAAGTTGGAAAATGATGTCTTTCAGACATTTTTTACTTGAGGACAACCCCGTTTGTTTGCGTGGAAACTAATGCAGGGTGGCCCTTATATGTATTTCTTTTGCAACAAGCAAAGAAATATGATCTTATATGCAGTGGAATAAAAGATATTCCTGTATCATACTTTTGAGAAATCTGTCCCCAAAACGATTTCTAGCGGAATGTTTTGAGTTCTCTGTAAACTCCCAAAACAGGCCAAGAACCTTTGTCTGCTGGAAAATTCTGGGTTCTATCAAGACTGTTTGTCAGCAGGGTTGAACATATTTCAAATTGGATTGCTTGTTGAAGGACAGTAGTGGCTGTACCATTAACCCTAACACTCCTCAGTCCTCCAACAGGTGAAGGATTGAGGAGGGTTTGGGTTAATGACCTTGATTGCAGAGTCCAGGGTTGTCTTCTTATCTTTCATATGACATAAAATCACTGCTGGTTATTAGAATACACACTTCAGTTATTTGGGAACTTTTGCAAGCAAATGAAATTTAGATCCAGGAGTGTTCTACTGCATTGTGTGAGTCATTTCAAGCACCAAAGCCTATCATGACCATATCGTATGCTTCCTCAACAGTTCTACACGAAAGCCGTGTTTCCAGTATGGATGATGAACTGCGCTGAACCAGATGAACTGGGTGTGGCTCAGTACTGTATCCCTGCACTGATGTATGTGGCTCAAGATAAGTGGACCTTGAACCAAGGTGCATATGTTGTCCTCGGTGCAACTTGCTCACTGTGTGACCTGCAGTTCAATCTGTTTTAACCTGATATCTCCACTGTATATATTGATCAGCCCTGGTAAAATTTCCATTCGGTTTTACAAAGTTGAGAAAAATTTAGAGGTTCTGGGGCCAATTTCATAGAGCTGGTTAAGCACAAAACTTGCTTCAGCGGAAAAAAAATTTGCTTAATAAACAAAGGTTACTGGCTCAAACTCTATCTGATTGTCATGCTAACCCCAAAACAGCTAAATACAACCCCAGAACAATATACATCACATGGAGTTTTGGCTGGTTACTTGATTTATCAAGCAAGTTTTTTTCATGCTTAAGCAAATTTTGTGCTTAAGCAGCTCTACGAAATTGGCCCCTTTTTATATTGAGATATCAGGGATCATGTATAAGCAGAGTTTCAGGTCCAAACGAGAAATTCGGTTATTACTGTGCAGTTTACATTCTAAATATGAGAGTTGTTTACTGTAATAGTCGTGTAAGTCATTGCCTGGGGGCAATTTCATAGAGGTGCTTAAGCACAGAAGTTGCTTAAGCACAAAAAAAAACCTTGCTCAATTAACAAAGGGTACCAGCTCAAACTCTATGTGATTGTCATGCTAACCAAAAGACAGGTAAATATCATTCCAGAACAATATACATGTAATCTCATACAGGAAGTTTTGGCTGGTATCCTGATTTGTCAAGCAAGCTTTTTACACTTAAACAAATGTTTTGCTTAAGCAGCGCTACGATTTCATGAACATGTAATCCTTTGGCAAGGAGAGATGGAAACATTGGGCAATTGCCATCATGCAGGGCTGGGCATCTAGGCAAAGTTAGTAGAACATAGCTGTGGTTACAGGGTTGGTTTTGTGTTGATCCTTGACTAGAGAGAGGCATAGAATTTAATTAACCTCCGCACAGAATTTCATTGTGTGGTTTTGAGTGTTGCAAAAATGGATTATTCCAGTTCGTCTTGGAGTGTAACAAAAGATGTTCAAACCATTTTTTTTTCTGTCGCCTTTACAGAGGAAAAAGAACAAGTTGAAAGTGACTACAGCGTCGGCCAGTGCTTAAAAGGATCAGAACTCCTGACACCATCCTATGTCCAGCATATTGCCAGTTTACGTGTACACTGATAACGTGAATTCAGTGTGCTCATGAATGACCAAAGCAACCTCCAAAGTGAATGGATTTTGTGGTATTGAGTTTCTGAAACTAATATCTGAAAACTTTTTTCGTGTAGTCTTTTCTTGGCATGAGAACGGTGTAAACAATGCAAGGTGTACCCCTGTGCTCTCGTTGAAACACACTCAAAACATGGAGTGCCAACACGATACACCATTTGCATTGTTTAAGCCATTCCAGTTCATTCCTTGTTTGGACTAAAAATGTCAAGTAGTCAATTAATGTAATTCAAGCCAAGCTCGTAAATGCCAGTGGCCATGCAACCTGATGACGACACAATGCGATAGACAAAAATCAGTGTCGTGTTTTGGTTGTACTCTGTGGAACAGAAAACTAATAAGAAACTGACCGTCTGTTGCGCTGAATGGCCACTGCATTTTTAAACACATATTTTATCCATCTATCTCAATCAGTACCAAGGGCAAGATAAGTTGGCAGAGAACAGCAACTATCTGAAGGTTGCTGAGTCTTTGCTCTGATGTTTCTTGGTTCAGTATTTACAGTCATGTGTAAAGCTGTTCCATTATTGTTATCTCGCATGCACGAAGGTGATAATGAATTTATGTTCAAGCAAACTTGACGCACAGTAAAGATGTTATATAGGGGCCTATGCACACAAATGCACTGCCTGTGATTTTACAGTAAAATTTTGCAGCTGTGCATTTTGCTTTTGGCGTAAAAATAGCATAGTGAGTAAAGTCAGAACAGATCAGTACGCTGGGTTTGACATGGACCATGCAACAGTTACACATGTACATGTATGTCACACTGTTTGTTGCCATGGATCAATAAATCAGAACTGAGAATTCAAGTTTGCTTGAAAATAAGTAGCCATCAATATATTTATCTTGGAAGTAAAATCTTTTCCGCCCTGTCGGATAGCGAACTTGTCCACTTACGAAGGGTTTCTTAATGTATTCTTTTGTATAAAAACTTGTGCTTGCTTGTGCATGTTATTTAGCTTGGATGCTTGGAAACTGATCATGTCACATTTTTGTCACTGAAATATTCTGAAATATTTGACAGTTTCAAATTTAGATTTTTAGTGAGTAGAGCTTTCTTTGACTTCCAAATGTCTTAAGATTTGTAGAAAGCAGGTGATCTCTGCAATTCTGTGATTCTTCAATCAAGTTATAATCATGTACATTATTCGTAGATGCCGCATCAGTATCAATGATGAAAACAAGTAAGCCATACAAGGTCTTGTGAAACAGGAATTATTGGCAAATAGCTTTGCGACATTAATGTGACATGGACAGGATTGATGTTCAAGCAAAATGAATGAATAATTGAGTTTTCATTTTTGCAGTTTGGTTTGAGGCAATACACAGTGCACAGGAGGATTGCATGCATACAGAGCCGCACTGTTCAGCATTTTACAATCGCACATGCAGCATTATGAATGTGAAGCAATAAAGACATGTCCTGACTCGCGTTCAGTTTAAAATTTGCAGTGATATTAAATGACAACACTTTTGATATTTCACATATTTCAATTTGGCTTTCAGATTTTTGGTTGCATGATTTAATTGTGATTTGGAATTTTGTTTTAATATCGTTTGCATCCACAGACAATCTTTAGTACAATGCTAAATCCCAAAATGATCAGTTTAAAACTAGATGATTTCATTAGATCCTACATCCATTCCTGGATTTTTTTAGTTTTGCAAAATTGCAATTTGAGTGTTTGTTTATACCAATCTGCTTGTATGAAGCAATTTGATTGTCAGCAATTTTCAAATTTCTTTTGTTAACTTTACTGAGATGCACAGTATTTTTATTTTATGCTATATTGGACAAAGCTTGTGTAACCATCAAGAATTTCTGAATGTGCTTACTCTATAGCGATTTTATAATCATGTACATGTACATATTGTATTTTTGCAAGCGCAAATGTTTTCATAAGAAAGCTCTATTTATACTGTTGAATTTCCCACTGGTCATTGATGTGTGCAAGTAATCTAAATGCTGTTTTATTTGAAATAAAGCATTCTGTGAAAATGATAAAGCTTCATGTCAAAAAGTCAGTTCCTGAATTAACATCAGAAAATGCTGTGTTCAACATTCACATCTTCTTACTTGTAATATATATTCAGTTATTCTTGGAAATCATTACTACAGCGGTATGCACCTCAAAGAATGTAAGTTTTTTAATGGCAGTGATTTTGTTCACGGCTTTCTTCATGAAAACATTGTGACATGTTGGACAGGAGGAAGCTACAGAGATCTAAAGATTTACGAATTCAAATTCATGAAGTGCATCGATGATTGATTCTTTGAGACTCATACTAGAAATTGCCGAGTTGTAATCTGACTACTTAGATGCGATTGCCTCACCCATGTTGACTCGGACTCGTTTTGCATTGCGGGTGCTGTGACCAAAGGTTGTACCATAGCGGAACTTCTGGCCTGTACAAACAGACGAAAAAGGATTTCAAATTAGCAAGAAGCCCTCATGGTAACATCTCCACAAAAATTCTTAAGTTCTTAGCATCTAAAGACTTCAAGGCATATTCTGCAGCCTTGTACTTAGTACTCATTTTCTAGATTACAAGAAATATTATTGGCATGGCATATGGTAGCTTCATTGCCAATCTTTGCTGAATGAGAGCTAAATATGTCTCGAGTTTCATGCTTTCCAAAAGTTTCAAATTACAGAGTTAACCTTGCTTTTAAAAGCAAATTTTGATTTAAAGTACATCAAGAAGTTAACGTCGGATTTTCAATTAACAGTCCATTGCTTTCCCCAATGACATACACGCAACATTTTATTTTAAAAAGTAGTTCACTATGTTCAAAGTTTTTTTGAATGGTTTTAGCATGACGGCAAAGTAACAATTGGAGCCCTAATTTTAAAGGGTTAAAAGTGAGACCGATTGTTATCTTAATAAATGTTAAGGACTAAACTGTTTAATGTCAGTTGTTAGAAAATACGCAAGGGCTTAGAACTTTTTAAACAATCTATGCCCCTTTTAAAAAATTAAACTCTTACATTTTCAAGAAACGTGGCAGATATCACCTTACAGTGTTTTTTTTTTTCATTTTTCATCCAGGGTGAGGGGGTGAACCTAAGATAACTTGTGAATTCTAGCAACAACATTTTGGCCAAAATATACATGTGATGGCTTCACTTGAGATCCTTGATAAAATTTCAAGGAATTTCATGTTCATATAGTGAGGAACTTCATTTGGACTATTCGAATTGAAATTTTTATCCTGAAAAATGTGAGGCATTAACCTCAGAATTAACCCTATATAACCCCCTCGGGTGTATGTAAAATCATATTGAAATCGGAGGATTTGGGGCTGTTATGGCTATCACGGTGAAATAGAGACCAACCTTAATTTTTTTACTAGTATTGGTTGTTTCTGGGTTTTAAACATCAATTTCAATTCTGAAAAGTGAGGCTTAACCTCACTTTTTCATCGAAGCTATGCGCAAAAATATATGTGGATTACCTTAATACACTTTAAATAATTTGAGCCTTTTCAGAAACTGCACAACTGATTAGATTGCTGTTGGTTTGTATTTCAAATTACGGTCTGCCTTCTACAGAGGTATAGATTTAAACAAAATAATCATTTTTCTACTTCTTCTAGTCAAGTAACATTTGAAGCAGTTGAGTTTCCCGTCCTGTTAAGTATCTTGTTTAAATGACATACCTGGAATGTGTCCCGTGTAGTGAGGAACAAGCCCAGAATCGGTTGGGTATATGATATTGGGGTCCAACCGAGGTAATTTGATGCAACCTCTTATTACTGTCGTTTCTCCTTTCTCTGGTGCCCCCTGCGAAAGTACAGCATTGACAGCATTATACTTCGACTAGACTGTAATTGTACAGAGTAAGTAAAGATACATTTCGAACATTAATACGCCACGCACATCCCTTGGTTAAACATTAAGATTAGCACTAGCAGTCAATAAAAGGTAATTTGTAGCATCATAGTTTAGCCAACAAATACCATACGACACTTTTCAATATTAAGCTTGCCACGTCGTCGGTTACCTTCAGAAAAAAAAAAGTTCAGAAAAACAAGAAACGGAGCGGGAGAAGTGCAGTACAAGCCGTCTATGCTTACCTGCAAACGGCTTATTGCATGACGAGGATCGCTAGTGAATTCGTTGAGGGCGTAATTGGTGATGATGGGATAGCTCATCCCAATCAGCCCGCGGGACTTTGGGATAAAACCAGTGTAGCCTGAAACATATGGAACGATGAAATATGGTAGGAATGGGGTGAATTAATGGAGGAAGTAGTTCTTGGTTGGGTGTGCATGGTTACAGCCTAGTGAAGCAAAGTATTACTCTTTGCATGGCTAGAATGTTGCTATGTGCATTTTCCCATGAATGCTCGTACGTTGCCTTCGAGCAATACCGGTGCACAATTGGATTTTCATTTTTCCACCAAGACCGGCGCCTCTGAATGCTTTGCAGATATAGTGCGCCTTATAAATGCTTTATTATTATTATTATTATTCATTCCATGGCATTTACCTGACATGAAGAATTTCTGAGGATCATGCTGAGCCATGTAGTACGGTGAAGTGGAATGTTGCTGCTCGTTCGGTTTTCCGTACACAAGAGGTGCGATGTCTTTCTTGATCGGCTTCAGAGGACCACGGCAACGCAATGGCGATTCCTAACCGGGAGGAAAAGATGTCCTTTTTTTAGAATGACCTTTTTCTAGAGTCACAAGGGTCCCCTCATCGAAACAGTCGATTGTCAGTGTTTTGCTTTGCCCGTTGAGAAAAAAACTTCTACTTTATATTAAATAACGAAATTGGGCTATGATGACTCTAGAAAGATAATACAAGATTTGAAAATATTTCCGGAACAGCATTTAATACTTGGTCTCGACTTTGTTTGAAGGGACATTAAACACTAAACGCAAAGCTTGCCTCACGTCAAACAACTCTTGACGGTATCGTAGCTGGGGTGCAAAATGGAAGAATTACAACAGGACGCTGGCAGTTTATTCGGCACAATTAGGCCTATGTAGGCCTACAACCCTTTTCTATGCCGCACACCATTTTCTGTCTTTCGTTAAATAAAATGTGACGATGATATCTGTCCTAATACGTATGTTTTACAAGCAAGTTCAAATAAGTGTAATTTACATTAACGACAGCATCATGGAGTGATAACAAACGGTTGCATACAAGTCATGTACCTTTTTCTCTTGTTCCGTTGGTTCGATACGGCCTGCCTGGATGTGCCGTACCCGTTCCATAGCAGTGGTCTTGGACTTATGATTTCGCTGTTCAAGCTCAAATTCAGCGATAGCGTTGCGACAGTTTTCGGCGTAACGATCCCCGAAGTAATGTTCACCTTTCGGAATGTAGCCTGACGGAACCAAAGGAGAAGTACCGACATCAGCCATAGAAGACGAACATTTCGTTATGGTCGGGAGTCAGTTAACTTTGTGAGAACTACCATACTCTGGCTAAATCGAAGGTCAAGGTATTGTCAAATATGCTTCCAACGGATAGACTAAATGACTGTTGAAATGTCCCTTGCCGAAGTTGAAAGAACCGGGACTACTAAAATTTGTCAAACACGTGGTAAATTATACCATACGCCAGCGCCATCCTAATAAGAAACTGTTTCATTTTTCCACGAACAAATAGTAGGAGTTATTAAGCCGGGCTGCACTTTGCATAAAGTATCTATACACGAATTTCTAAACAAAACATCCCGCTAAGGGATCTTGATTACCTGTATACCCAGGGACCATTGTCTCTCCAAGCTTCTGGTCTCCAAAGCTGGCCCGTCTACTCCTCAAGACATCTCCTCTGGCAGCGAGTCGCTTTGTCTCCCCTGTAACCTGAGAATCCGGGCCTTTGACTGGACTGATGTCGGCCAAGACGGGCCGGCCCGAGCTCGCCACAGTTGGGTTGGTCAGCAGGCGAGAGGTGGTCCGGCCGAACGTCTCGCCGATCTGAAACTTGAACTGGGGACAAAACCCACAGTACCTGTTTGGCCAATCCAGAAAATGAGGATAAAATCCAAGCTCATGGAGGGCAGAGCAATTTCCTCAAATTAAAACATTCTATAAAGGCAGACTTACCCCGGTGTGTGGTACGGATCCGGGGTCATCAACACACTCTTCCCTTTACTCCACTGCGGCATTTTTCCAGTGACCAGCCGTCCTCCGAAATACACGAATTTCGTGGAGAAGGAAGCAAAGAACAGCTCGATTTTAAGGCAAAGTTCTTTGCTGTTGCTTTGCCGTGTACGATTTCGGACGTCGTGAAGCCGGGTAAATTGAACTCGTGTTGACGTTAAACGCAAGAAACTAGAGCGTTACCAACCGTTGCGCACGGTTTGTGCGCATGCGTCAAGCAGCAAGTCACAGAGAGCGTTACGTCACAAAACGGTGTGCACTGCGCGAGGTTCGAACGAGCACGTGAATGCATGGTTTAAATAGAGGGCTCTTTTAATATATCGATACTTCGCAATCTCCAAACTCTTTTACTAAAATGATTTGGGAATTTGAGTTTTCTAGTAGAGCAATATTTACATGTTTATATAATGTAGTACAGTCCCTCGATGTGGCGCACTTCCGACTTTCCTCACACAGCGTTGCCAAACCTCTTGAAGAAAACTTCAAATTCATTTGGTTAAATGCTGGTACCGTAACCTTCATAATACAAGCCGATGAATCTTTGTGAACAATTTCAGCGTGATGAAATTTCCTCCAAAAATTAAAAAAAAGCGGCATAGTGAAATTGGGCAACAAGGCATCTCAGTGTTCCCTAAAGTTGCGCTCTTGAAAAAAATCTTTGAAAATCCCACATAAACCAGTTCTTTAAAGTTGACAAATTCTAATAATTTATACCAGTACTACCTCCACTTCCACCAGTTTGTAAGAAAATTATTTTCGTCTTTTGGGCGCTTCGTAATGGAGTTAATTTTACACTTCAGAAGAAAAAAGATCGGAAACTCGAGCCAATTTAAAAGTTCTTCGGAACTATGTAGTGTATAAGTATCGACTTTGGAATCAGAATAAGACTTTGATGAAATTTCACTCATACACGTAATGACATTTGAGGTAAATATAATGCACCAGCAAGGCAATAGAGGTGAAAAATCAAAATCAAATTAGGAGCCGCACCACGTTAGTAGGGTACATCTACGATATAACTATGAATAGAACCATCAGCGAGAAGTAAGCAGGAGCGTAAACAGTCCGTCGATTCTACATTTATGAGTTGGTCAACTCCTAAGATGGGTGAATTACTTGTTGGAAAGCGAATGTCTGCGTATGACTGGAAGTAAACAGTAGCAGTAGTTTACATGTATTTGAAATGACGTTTTATCTCATGCTATTCCTGGGCGCAATTAGAAGATGAATTATTGATTACGGCGCAAGCAGTAACGGAAATTGTCCAGTACAAAACCTTCATGAAAACCAGTCACACGCATGCGTACGTAGGTACAAACGTTTGGTAGGACACGCGCGCTCACAACCCTTGGGATACCATCAAAACTTCAACAATCGATCGGATGGGGAAAACTAAAGAGCAAATGACCTGGTTTTATATGCTTCACTACTTTATTCACCTTTCCTTGCTAAACAAGTTACAGAACATCAAAGCCAACACCGGAAAATACCTTCAGGAATTGCTGGTTACAATACTCGTGTAATTACGTTATCGCTAACGACGCCAATTATGAATTATTTTGAAACAATTTTTAAATCGAAACTCCACAGTTGTACGCTTGCTTTACTTGAATACTTTCTTTGGATGTCGTAGCCTGAACCTTCAACCACACACTCCTATTAAAACACTGATGTAATCGAGGTGAATACTTGTCACTGAATTACTTAATACAAGTCCATCTGTCATTCGTCCATTGGTTGTTATCTCCCCTTTACCAATAATTATACTTTAAAGACCGAATGTTTGCCAGGATTTGTTTTCTCATCAAATACACAATGATTTACTTTGAAGAACAATTTGCAAAAGACTCCTTCGCAATACACCCATTAGGGCTTTCTTAACAACGTGCAGAACCTACTTATTTTAGAAAAAAATCTACAACCTCAGTATTACATGGGTGTAAAGATCGTATTTTATTTTCACACGAATAACGGTTGGCTGTATTTTTAATATGAGCATGAAATAACTGTTGCATGACTAACTTGACAAGCTCTACAGTTCACAAAAGCGGCATGTCCTACAGCCGATGATATAATTTTAGGACAGGGTTTTGTTTCATGAATAGTAAATGCATTTTTGTAACATCAAGCAGATTACACATCAATCGAGCTACGATCATGCAGTATTAAGCATTGTTACATTACACCTGCGTGACAGTACTGATTTCTTTGATGAATGTTTTTATTTCTGACGATTCTCACCACTGCCTACTACTTTTACTGCAGAGAGTACAAGTAATGACTTACAGTTACAATTTTAATAACTCCACACCATTCAAAGAAATACCAGTCAAGTTTTGATGATTGATACATAAAAGCCTCTTCAAACATTAATTTTAAAATGTAAATTTTTCAATATTGTGCATGAACTAGAAATACACGGACAATGATCATAATGTAGAGATGAGAAAAATTTTCATTCATAATGTGCATTACACTCAGGTAAGCATCCCTCCACTTGCTTTAAGTCCAAGTGATTTGTTTGAGAAAATCAATTGTCTTTTTACTTCCAAGATACAGATTACTGGATTTAAATGTAAAAGCATCCATCAAACAGCTTGCCTGAAAACTTCTCTAAATGGGAAAGGTGAACCTAAAATCTATGACCTAAACAACTGATCAACTGATAACAAAAAAAATTTCAAGATGTGAAAATCTGCTCCTTCAACCTACCCACTGAGGGGATGGGACGAAAGCAGATAGGGCCAGGTGTTAGTTTTGGAACATATCCACGCTGAACTTGACATAGTCCAAGGCGTTGGGTATTTCCCGACCCTTGGAATCGCGAAACGGCTCCATGCGTAAAATGCAGTACTCAGCCAACTGCGTTGGTAAGTTCTGAGGAAAGATAAGAGAGAAATGAAAGCTGCCTAGGTGAGTGGGTTGATCAGAAAAAAGGCAAAATTATTTGTTTTGGTTTTCACAGTTTCGAGATAGATGATGAAAAATTCTGCAGTTACATAAAAAAATTATGATCAAACCACATTCAATAAAATTTGTTTGTAGGAACTGTTTTCCTAGGTCTCAAAATATCAGAAATCTGTTAAAACACAGGGCATCTTCCTATCCAAGAATTACCAGTACCTTTAGATACTTCATCAACAAGTAAGAAAGCAACACTTTTAATCAATGTACCATCGAATATTAAAACAATTATATGAAAAATATTCTGCAAGCAGCTATTCAAATCAACATACTACAGAACTACAACAGTGAATATTACGAGATGACAAATTGACAGTAACTCAAAATACTATGAAGACATTTCATCAGTGTCAATTGATGTCCAAGCAAACAAAGCAAAGTTTCAAATGCCAACTTACGGAATAGAGCTCGTGTTTGGTGACGTAAGGTTTGCCCTCAGCGCTGAGTGCACGGAAGGCGTTTTCGATCTCGTCTCGCGAGTGGACATTCTCAGTCTCCCGGCTGATCATGAAGGTCATGTACTCCTGGAGGGACACCACTCCATCTCTGCAGACGAAAGCAACAAAAATCAATCAGCATCTTCCCCAAAACGGTTTATCCATCACTGATCTATCTTGAATCTTCAGTGTTTCTCCACATTCTCCATATTACCCTTTCCAGAACACCCACGCTTCTTATTTTTTATTCCCTCACTTGTTTGGATCCACAGTGTCCAGGATGGCCTGGAATTCCGGATCCTCCGCTCCCTCCTCCACCATGGGCAGGTCGTATCCCAGGGAACGCAGGCAGGACTTGAACTCCTTGTGCTCCAGGAAGCCCGTCTTGTCCTTGTCAAAGTGCTTGAACATCATGCTGAACTCCTTCAGCGACTCCTCGCTGACTCCGGTGGTGTTGCTGCAGGGGAAAGAGATTCAGGCCACAGAGGGCCATCAGCATGCCAAATTAAGCTGCAGTCAAGCAGTATTGCTTCTCTTATGCCACTGCGACAATTAAGCGTTGTCGCAGCAAGAGTGGATTTATGAGCGTGCTATGAATACTCTACTGTAAAGTTAAACAAGTTGGCACACCCGTTTCCACGCTATGACAAAATAACTCAGGCTAGATTGGATGAGTTTTCTTTCTTATCATATGCCAGGAGTTACAAGCATTAATTGCTTTGACCTGGAGGCAACTCTTGCCCGCATGTAGTATCGGCTGGTGAGGTTGGTTGTACTTACCGTGCCTGTATCTGTTGTTCCAGGTTGTGCTGCATCCGCATACCTAGTTGGTCCAGTTGGTCCCACTGCTGTGCCAGGCCAACAGTGGAATGTTCAGTGTAACTGCAGGATGAAACAAGAAATGAACTTCAATGGAACTCAGATTCTCTCCTTACTTGATCCAGGAACTGAATAAACTTGGTGCCCATGTAGACAGACTTGCTTCTTAGACCTTCATTTAAACTTCAACTTTTCAAAAGCATTTTTGGGTCGGCCTAGGAAACTAATTTTCTTATTCAGCCTATCATGCAAAAAGGGCATTAAAATCATAGCCTGCACGTGAATGATACTGCATGGTGCGTAGCCGATTTGAATTGAAAGCACACAAAACCCAAGCAAACGTGACCAGCCTCTGACCAATAGGAGTACTGCAGAATGCACCTGTCATACTGCAAAGCAGAGCCGAGATGCCATTCACATCGACGTGTTTCTCTTTTAAAACCTGTTTCTCAGTAATAAAAAGATCACCATAGAGCTCATAACGTTACTGAAAGATTTCTCACCGGTTATCCAAGATCAGCCTCTCCTCCATCTTGGCTCCAAGGTCCTCGATCTTCTTCAGTTGGCTCTTCTGAGATCGAACCTCAACGATCTTTTCCTGTTAACCATAAAGTAAGCAGCAGTTCATAAGCAACAAATGCATGCAATGTACAAAGGAACCCTGTTGCTTCAGGATCCCTGTATACATTACAAATTCTCATAAATTGCAATGTACGTGCGCAATTATAAATACACAAAAATAATGCGAGATATCTTAATTCTACATTACAGAACAGACTTTAAGTTGTAGGAAACATTCTGTGAGGCCAAGCACAACGAGACAGTGCCAAAGGCTGTAGACTATGCAGGAAGTGATCTACAGCAGAATGTATACAAATAAAGCAGTCACTTACTTTGAGATTCTCCAGTTGGTTCTCCAAATTACCAGATTCCTCCACCATGGCAACCCTAAAACAGATAAATCATAAATCAATCAATCAACACAATCAGTGCAGTTGGTATCTTCATTCACTCCGGTGCCTCTTGGAGGCACTAAAACACTTTGCATAGCCCCTCATTTGTCCCTTTTTCTGTCACCTGACATGCAATGCCCCCACAACTTAATTCCATCAAGATGCTGAAAAGTGCCTTCACTGCTTTATTCAAAGCCAACGTCAAATGCCGCTTTTGCCAATAAAACTGACCCAAGTTTACTGCATACATTTAAAAGGTACAGTCAATCGTCTTGGCAATACTGTTAGTACACACAGTTTCTTTGAATCTCTGTTTTGTCGAGTCTGATAAACATGCATGTTGAGAACTGCAAGCTCCATGCTCCTATATTCAAGACTTTGTCTTATTACTAGTCTTTGGAAAGGGGAAAAGTCTGTGTCAGTAAAAAACGTATTAAGACACAACGGCTGTTATTCAGGAAATAACACAAATCCTGTGCTCTTTGCAGATACTTTGACATCTAAATACAACCTCATAATTATTCAAGTACAAATTTGCTTGATGTAAATGAGAACGTAACAAAGGCTGACAAATCTGATGAGGGGAAGAAGAATGATAGGTTCAGGACAATGTTAGAAACTCCTTTTAAAAGTCTTCAACGTTTGACATTGATATAAAAGAGAGATTTCAAGTGGAAAGTTCAGAAAAAGGAAAACAGGAGAAAAAGGCCAAAGGGAACGAAATAGAAATAGCTATGAAAGGTACTCATAATCAAATAGATGGAAAAACTGAAGTTAATGATCAAATGATTCCCTTTACCCATTTTTGTTAAATAGACTATAAGTCAAGAAGGTGCTACAAAACAGTGTCAGGCAAGATGGCTACTGACACCTCGTTTTTATTTTTCTTCTTCCCTTTAAGTAGAACTGCATGCACATCGAGAGCTAGCAAGTCTTTAGGTCAGAATGTCTAGTCAAATCATGCACTACTTCTACCTCAAGAACAAGAAGTAAGTCTGTTCTGATCGTAAGGCCAGCAACTGGTTGAACTGAACCAGTGTGCCTGTTATGTTCTGTAAATGGCAAGTTCTTTTATTTTTTGAAAGCTTCTGTTGAGATGTCACGCTGTTCAGTAAACTTTCATACATAAATGAATCACGCTGTGAGATATTTTTGTCTCCAAGTCTGTGTAAAGCTCACTTAGGAGAGGAAAGGATTCTAACCTTGGTCTGCAGATACCATGCACCATGCACTTTATCTACAACTAAAATGAAATCAGAAACTAAGAAACGGGGGAAATCAAAGTAGTTTCAGGCCAGGCAACTCAAACCAAAGAAAGAGAGAAAGAAGTAGTAACCGATTGATGATGGTCCTGGCGTTATTGCAGCCACAGGTAGCAGGTAACCGGGCCAACCCAAAAAATAGAGACAATTTCATTGGTCAATGAGAAATGAATGAAAAATTCCTGCTGTGACAGATGCTACATTTTTGCAAAACTGAAGAGTGAGAATTAAACCTTACAACTCCACATACAGTCATCAAATTTTGTTCATATTTGCTTCCACATCAAGTGTAAATAGTGATCATTACTGGTATCAGCAAAGTTGCCTTGATGCCAATTTTGGTTCGGAAACAATTGTTTGCACTGTATATTGGACAACTGTGGGTTTCCGCTCCATCATTCACATCATTCACATGTAACATCAGTCACAGGCAGGTTACCAGGGAAGAGACAGTCACCATGGGTACCACAGATGCCAACAGAGAATGGGTAACAGAGAGAAACAGAAACACAGTCAAACAAAGAGAGAAAAAGAAATATCAGATTATTGATCAAGATTATGTTCGGTGGGCACGTCATCAAGTCAGAGGCTTTCTTTCTATCATATTAACATTGCTATGTTAAGGATGAATTGTGCAGCCTTTCTCATTTTCTTGCAGTTATGAATCCAACTAGTTTCAGACTGAGATTTCTTTTTCAAGTCACTTTCTGGCATATCAAGAGCCACTCAAATGCTAAGACAGTATTAAATGTATCATTCCCTTCCAAAGGTATTAAAGAAAATTAAATAAAGCGATGAATTTGAAGTGTATGGATGAAAAATATGGTACTTAAATAATATGATAATCAAATGCTGTATGAATTAATGGAGTGTTATTTGAACGTTTGAACTTTCGAAACATTTCTTTTGACAAAGAAACATTATTGGAACAATAGGAAACACTTTCATACAGCAGTCAAGGAGTTTGCTGTCTGCCTTGGAAAAACACAGCAAAGATTAACAGTTCATTATGTTTGCTGGTCCAACTTGTATTGGCCTACTTGTCTGAAGGAATTTCAGATTTTCAAAAATGTGGTAGGATGCTCAAAATTATGTGGACACTACAGATGCTGGGAGTGTGCAGACTAATTTAGCAGTAGTATGTGTCAGGAAATCTAGTCCTGCTATTCCAAACACAATTTCGCATACAATTTACATATAATTTTCCTACATTATCAACAGGATCCAATAAAATCCATGGAAGGGACAGCCTCAAGAAATCGCAGAAAGGGTTATAAAACAGGTGTATATCCCCTGATGGGATGGTCTCTACGAACGTACCTGGACTCAGTCAGCCAGGCATGGAAGGAGTTGGCCAGCTGGGCAAACTGCTTGCGGAAGCGGTCATTCTCCTCTTGCCTCTCCATCTCCTTGTTCAGCTCTACCTCCCGCTCTCGGATAATGCGCTGCAGGTTGCGCCAGGTCTCCTCCAGCGCCTCCATGGTGAACCAGGTGTACCTGCGAGGTTATGGAAACAAAGACAGGGAGGCGGGCCGTGTCTGAATTGTGTGGCTGTCCAGATATAATACATGAGTCTACGGGAAATGAAAAAGCTGCAAGCTGGAAAGCTTTTCCAGGGGTATCTGAAGCCAAAAACAAACATGACCACATACAAGCCTCACAAACCCAAACAGCTGGCAAAACATGCATTTAAAAATACCACATCAAAATCCATGGTATCAACCGCTGTGAATAGGTTATATTTTTTTGAGCTAACTTTTTAGAAAGCATAAATTTGAACGAGTGTACCAAACACTTCAATCAACTCTTGATACTTTGCTAACAAAGCTTTAAGCGACGGACATTCTTTTACCCTACCCTCCAAGATGTGTAGGAAAGTATTCTGAGATTGAGAAGATTCAAAAATTCTTAAGAGTTTATGTAGTTTGGATGTCCCATCATACTTCCGGCCTTGTGCTTTTCTTGGCTCACAAGGTAGACAATGCTTACTACATGATAAAAATTCTCCAATTATCATACTTTCTTGGCTTGATAATTCACATCCTTGGGAAGAACCGAACGGACAAGCTTACGGGTTGGATGTGACATTGTAGCTCTTGATTTGCTTGTCCAGGGCAGCCAGCTGCTTCAGGTCATTCTGGGCGCTGCTCAGGGAGGCGGTGAAGGCGTCATGGGCCTCCTTCAAAGCCTGATCGAATGCGAAAGTCAAAGTTTTTAATCAATTATTCTTCACGACAGATGAGATCAACACGCAAGTGCTTAGTAGTCAAAATTAAAAAGGAAGCATGCATGCGCATAAAGATGTATCCGCCAATTCTTAGACATTTTGAAAACAGTGAATCAACTACCAACTACCATATAGCCAAGTAGTCAAACATGTCAAACATGTCAAACTTAAGATCTGGTGGATCCCTTCTGTAGTTCTCCAGATTGTTATCTCAAGTCCCCAAAACAGCCCAATTAATGACCTGATATAAATAACGCATTAGTGAGACCCTGCATCACTTGAAATATTCTTTTTAAAAATTGGTTCTTGTTGTGGCTGAGCTCAGATACGACACAGTTGACCCCTATGTTCTCTTTATGTCCAAGACAGCATCAAGAATGTTTTACGGGTAGGTCAATCAGGAGCAACAATTAGAACAGAGAGTGGGCAAAGTCAAGGTTGGACGAAAACTGAGATCTTTAATAATGAGAATGTGCCAAGGTTGTTCGCATCACAAAGAACACTGTCTATTGTCACTGTCCCATCCACATAGCCTACCTTGATCTCTTCCACGGAGTTACAGCGCACCGGGTCAGTCAGGTCCTCTTCAGCATTCTCAAACCAGCTGTTGAACGCCGAGGCCTTTTTGGCGAAGAGAAGGAACAGGTCCTCCACCTCGCGGTACTGCTCCTGGGCACGCAGCAGGCGCTGGCGACGATTCTGCGAGTCCGACAGCAACTTCTCCCACCTAACCGTAAAAAAAAAGCAGGGAGGGGATGACAATACATGTGAAATGACATCTCAAGGGCGCGATGATGACCAAATCAGTTTTGGGGGAATTGGCAGATATGTATCCTGGAAAAAAACAGGTACTGACAGAAAACATGATGAAAGGAACGGTTACTGCAAAAGGATGGCTAGTGTTATATCCTAGGTCCTTGCTCCTGAGTGAATTTCTGCTGTCGTACCTAGCCATGAGGTTGGCATGACGTTGCTGTATGGCTGGGGTCTGGACGTGATTGGCCTCCACCAGTTGGTCCTTCAGAGTGGTGATAGTAGAGATGCCTTCTTTCTCAAAGGCTTGCAGGCCGGCATCAAAGGTCTCCTACAGTGAAAACAAGAAAAAATATATATATACACCACGTCAGCAGAAACTTTCTTATCTGCAGTTGGTGAAGATTCATATTTGTGTAGTTACCAGAATTTGCATAGAACTGTAAGTTCGTTCTAGATGCGTCAATCAAGTAAACTACTCAGTTGCCATCCACTTCTGACATGCATGTACAGTACATGCATACTCTGCCATCAAGGCCAATTTTTAGCATGAGCAAGCTCTCGGGCTATGTGGCATATGCTGAATAAAGCACGTAAATGTTTCCATGTCCACGGGGAGGATACATGGGCTGAATTGGATGGAAATGATTACCTTCTTCAATTACTAAAACTGATACCTCAAGACAGCTCTGGTAAGTGTGTCACATTTAAAGCTCCATTGATAAAGAAGTGAGTATGTTTGAAAAAATGGTTGAATGTTTTACTGTTGAGTGTGATTATGCTTGAAAAATCCAAGTATACCAGAAGAACAGGTGTTCCTTGTAGCCTGAGTTGCTGCTGCTTCGGCATTCATGGGGACACAGTTCCAATCTAATTCAGCAAAGTTCTTCATCTTCTTGTGGCCTTTTGAATAACTTTTGTGGAAGCGATGCTACACAATGACCTACCTGCTTGGTGAGCAGTGTCTGGACGGACGACAGATCCCGTCCGTAGTCGTCGGAGCGAGCCATGCTCTCCTTGTCACCAATCCAGGACTCCACCACGTCCGCCTTCCAGATGAACTGCAGGAAGGCCGAGTTCTCGTCCAGCTTGGCCTTGCGGCGCTGGGACGCCTGGCCCAGTTCTTCAAACTTCTTCTCCAGGGATTCAATGCGCTGGCCGATGGCCTCCGAATTGTGGTTCTCCTGATCGAAGACAGTGGCAATATACGCAATATCATGAGTGCTGCAATTGGAAAACTTCTATTGGCTAAAATGATTTTATGAATTTTAGAAATAATTTGGGTATTTGGAAGGCAAGGAATGTGAGATATGCAAAAAAGCTCTTCTGTTAGGGAAACACAATCAATTTCAGCTTTGGATTCTAATCAAAAATGCTAAATGCGGTTATGCTTACAGCTTCAATCAGAGTCTCCCCCTGCCGTTTGATGTCATCCACGCGTTCCTGGTGCACCTTGTAGTCCATGTCAAATGCCTTGTGCTTCTTTTGCAGGCCCTGTTGACAAGCATGAACAATTCATTTAACAATTAATCATTCCTTAGATTTGTTGGTTGTCACTCATGAGCGGACCTCATGGGCCAAATCTGACTCTGGACGATTCTAACACACAAAGAGCTTCATTCTTGAATCACTGGCATTCTGTCACCAATATCAGTCTACCATATGCAAATAACGCATTGGCACTATACTCTTGACAGCAGTCCAGCATACCTGCACAGCGGCCAGTGTGTCTCCATAGTCCTCGCTGGACAGCAGATTCTGCTTCTCGTTCACCCAGGCTTCCTCCTCTTCCACGCTGGCCAAGAACTCCTGGTAAGCCAGCGACTCCTCAAGCTTCTTACCTCTGTTGGTGGAAACAAAATACATGAATTCAGATAAAACTAAGTCATGATCTTCCATAATCCCACAGCATGATTTGCATTTACCCCCAAACAGATCTACATACTCGGAAACAGACGCTTTCTTGGAGGACTACCCTACTCCTGCTTAAACTTCCTGTAGCTGATGACTTCTGCAAGGCAACATTTTATTGACATAACTTTCAGTAGGAAAAACAGACTTATGTGAACATACAGCGACGCATCAACGTTTCCTTCTGACCTCTCATGACTCTGGATTCTGAAATATTTAGTGAAAACCTCACAATTTTTTTTAGATCATTCCCTCTAGCCTTTCTAAGATTTTTAACAGGGTTGACCTTTCTAGAATTTCACGACCTCTACAATTTGGTGCCCTACTACAGCCTGAGCAAGTTACTTGAGGAGAAAAAACGAAGAGTGCACCATGTTACGGAATGCACCATCTTTCAGTGGAAGCCCCCTTGTGACTGATAGATCAGTCTTACCTGTCCTGTGCCAAGTTCTTGAGCTCGTCCCAGTTGTAGGCCAGTTGGTCCAAGCGCTGTTGCACGTTGTCCCTGTTCAGCTCTACCTCCTGCATCAGAGTGGCACCCGAGTCTTGGACAGCCTGGGGTTGGGAGGGAGGGGATTCAAGTACTCGGATCACTTCACGCATTCTTATCAAGGATGCCAATTAGTGCAGAACTGTTAGTCTGAACTGTTAGTTCACTGTAGCCTGTTTATACTGGGAAGTGTTAATAGTGGCAGAAAGACCCAAAATAGCAAAAAAAAATGACGTTTTCCGTGTATTCAGTTTTGAACGCAGCAGAGCCAAATTTCCCCCGAACCACCTGTACCTGTCTGGCATTATTTTTTTATTCACAGCTAGGAATCAATACAGAGTAATAATCAAGTACGCTCAGTCAAAGATATGTCATGTCGAATTTCTTAATTTTGATTGCTGAATTTATGAATGTTGAATTTCTCTACTTCATAAACAAAGTATGCTCATGAAGTGGTTGTGTGCACTGTGAAGACCTGATACAAATTTTTATACCAGATCTGAACAAGCTTAGTAAGTTTCAGTTCAAAATTGTTTCCTTCTTAAATGATTATTTACTAGTACTAGAAAGCAGTATGTCGACATTTAGACTTTAGTGGACATTTGAAGTAACTAATAATTCTCATATGGGATCCAAATGGTAAAGAAAACCATATCTGAACTACGATGTAAACAAAATGATTTATGGTTAAATGATGATGAATCTAATGATGAAACTAAACTGTAACTTGAATCTTAAAAGGAAATCATTGCTTCAGGACAGTTATCAGAGTTTACTGGCATTTGTAAGACTATGGCAAAAGTTGGTTCACAGGGTCTGCAAATCATCTCTTTTGAAGGAAACAACTGACAGCCTGTCAGTGCCAACAAGCAACACCTTTGGGTGGCAAATGGATAATGTGCATGATTTTTGCAAACTACTGGCGGACCTGAGATTATGTCAGTGATGTCAAACTGAACCATGTGTAATGCCGGTCATGAAATTGACAGGTGTGATTGCGATGTCACTGAGGATTCTTCACTAACAACTAATGACTTCAAATTTTGTGTTATTGTGGACTCTTGGTTATCACTGAAAAATAGACAAACAGGAAAGAAAAACAAGAAGTATGTATTTACTTCAGGAAGTTGAATAAATCACTCTACTAGCAAATCCATGGTAACAAGAAACAGCCTGCGTAACGCTAACACTGCATGTATGAGAGATCCACACTAACTCGTGCTCAAAGCACATTTTCTTCTTCAAAAGTAGACTTCAAGAACAGTTTGAACAGGTTATGAAACCTTGGAGTACCATGCATTGTGGCCTCTCAATTCATTGCACAGAGCTTTAACCTCCAAGAATGCGAATCATAGTTACTACTTTGATGCTCATATGTTACATGGCCCCAAAGGCATGAAATGGTGCATTTCTGGGTGGGACCCCTCACAACAATTCAATTACATGAATTCGCACCAGTTCTCATGCTACCATGGATCAGCTTTGAGACTCCGCCCCTTTCCCAAGTCCCAGAGTGGAGAAAAGCAGAGGGCGCTCTTCCTGGGTAACAGGGATCTAGAGTTGATTGCCCTGCCACTGAGCACTGAAGGTTGCACACACAAGTACACACATGTTTTACAGACAAAGTGTGGACATTCCTTTGTTCTCCTGTGGTTAAGGAAACTTGAGGAAAATGCTCCTTTTTCTCCAACTAGGTCCTTTGAGCTGGATTTTTGATGATGATTCCCTGGACTGTTCCTCTTTATTTTGCCACTGATAACCTTGACCCCAGAATGCCTCTGAAATTTTTTTTCGGAGAGGGGAAAACGTTGTGTGGACATGTGAGTCCACACAACGCCATCGCACCCTACGTTATGTGGACTTCTTTTGTGCGGGTCCACACTATGTATGCCACACCTGCACAGTAAACATACACTGCCCACGGTGACAGGATGTAAACCATGAGCATGTGTTGCTTTGACTCATCACTGTTTCCCTCATGAGGAAATTCACAGAGATGTGATATTCAAGGGCAGCATACCAAACACCTACTTTCTAGTTCAGGGTTTCTAGGGCTGGTGTTGCGAGTTCATCTTTGGAGAACTTTACAAGTATTTCCAATTCATCCAATAACCACAATTTGCCCAGCAAACACAGAAAAGCCAACGGTGTGACCATCAATGATGTGCATGGAAATTTCTTTGCTTGTGTACAACCTTACAGTGCCCATAGTTTAGGAAGAAAGCTTTCTCAAAAACTTCCAATTTTTGTTAGCTTTGGTACTAAGTATTGTAGGCTGGTCACAGCAAAGTGGGGATAGATATTAGGTTATAAATAGACACTGGTCAAGGAAGGGAGTATAAAAAAGATACGTCTTGGTCTGAGGAAATTCACCCAAGCCTTAAAGACACAGCAAGCTCTTCATGTCCATGAAACTCTATGGAACTCTACGGTACATGGAGTAAGTGGTCAACAGTAATAGCCTCCTGCACTAGTAAGCAGGAGGTCGTAGGTTCGAGTCCCACCCGAGTAAGCTTGTGAGGTTTTTTTCGCAAGTTCTCGGGCAAGCACTGAGCATACAGTGCTTATAAATATACGTTGGGTAAGGGCAAACCCGTTATATATAAGTAATAGCTAGTATGCCTGATTTAAAATTGTCTTTGTTTTGAAGACTGAAGTATGGAACTGCTCAATTGGTTTCCAAATTTGAGAAAACAATTCCAATCCCAGTGTTACTTGCTGTGCCTTTTTCCACTTTGCCTTTCATTGCTTCAGTGGGCACCGCAGGGGTTAGAGCAGCTGGAAAAGAACTGTTTTGCTGGGAATAGAGAGGTGTCGCAAGTGTTAACAATACACTACAAACCCCGGTTGGTTAAATACATAACCACCAGCTTCCAACAGAGCGATCCCAATCCAAAGTGCTTTTTGGGTACAAGGAAATTCACAATCTCTTTCATGACAAACACAAATCAGGGACAAAAGCATTCCAGACAGGTGATTAACTCCAGGTATTCAATGGATGATTACAACTTCAGTTCAAGGAGAATGAACATTTGCATCATACTAGATAAAGCCTCACTGGGCAGCCAAGCATTTCTTATCGAAGCACCTGCTTCTCCAAGGACTTGGGATCGATCTGTTCAAGCAAAATGACCCACTGGTACAGCAAATGCGAGTGGAAATTGCCTGCTTCACTTTTATTTGGACAGTTGGCACGGGGAAAACACACTGTGGAGATGTATGTTGGCGTATTATGGAATGACGTGTCTATAAACAGAGCACTACGTGTACACGGAAAGACTACTGTAAGCTGGAGTGATTGTGTGAGGTTGGCTGGGTAAGTATGAAGACTATACCTGTAGTTTCTCCATCAAAACAGCACCTGCATCATGAACAGCCTTCAGAAAAAAATCAAGTGTTAATGAACGGAAAAAACAAAACAAAAAAACCCAAAAAAACATGTATCACTGAACTAAACACAAATTCCAAAATAAATGGCCACGACAAAACTGGAGACAACGTGACACCTTAAGAAAAACAGGTTTCAAGATTTGTAATGATTACATTTTCCAATTGAAAGTCTAGGTTTACTTAAATGTAAAGGATCAGTTGAAAAGCCACCAAGCAATCGACGAAAATGTGTAATATGGTATATAACCGGCAAAATTAAAATGTTGCAGCTGTCCAGAGCATATTCTAAGCAGTATAAACCATCCATAATCATACAAATCATATGTGCTCCATTAGAAATATCCCCCACTGTTGGTGCAAATAGCCAAATACATTATCTGATATGAGATTCAAACACTCACTACTTGTAAAAGTAGGCCTTGTATTGAAGTAATATGTCAAAAGGAATTCCGTTCAGAAATATCTCCAAATAATGCCACACCTACTTCACGGTACTCGAGGGCAATACACCCAAACTTTCTCAACAAGTAACAAAGGGATGTGGCTTGCATACCTGAATGGCGGGCTCGTGGCCACTGATCTCAGCCTCCAGACGCTTGTGCTTCTTGCGCAGGTTCTGCACGCCGGTCAGCTCGCGGCCGTAGTCATCAGAGCTGGTCAGGAGTTTCTTCTCCCTATAAATGAAACCAGAAGATTGCTGGATGTTTCATTCTGACACAAGGAAATCTTACAAAATTATCATTATTATTATTATTTATTCGGCCATCAACAGAATACCAACAACATACAATTCCAAAATACAAATAGAAAACATAACAGTAAACAAACTAAACAAAAACGAGCAAATCCAAGTTGGCCAGAACTGAGAGTTCAAGAGTATAACCAAACACTGTGGCTCCAAAGCCTGTCAACCCAGCAGTAATACCACTGCGTCAAATCTATCTGAATACAGCATTTGGCCCAACCTTGTCAGTTGGGTTTTTATTCTTATGGAGATCTGTGGTCTGAAATAAGACAGGAAAACCAAGAACATAGCAAAAAGCAACTTAAACTGCCCCATAACCTAAAGAATTTCTTACTTGATCCAGGCCTCCTCGTCATCAATATCTCGGAAGAACTGATGCACACGGTGTGACTCGTTCAGTTTCTCACGACGCAAGATGCTCAGCTCTTTGACTCTGAGAATTGAGAGGAAGTCAAATTGTTAGATAACTTTAAGTGAACAAACTACACTTTTGCAGTGGGCTCTGCAAAACAGACCAGTATGATTTTGCTTAAACAAATTTTTCCTATGCTCAGCAAATTTCCGTGCTAAATAATTCACCCAATTTATCAACTGGTGTCAACAGACCCTTATTTTATGGCTCTGCTGACTGGAATAGCAATTCTGTGCTAACAGAGCAAGCACAGCAAATCTGGGCTGACCTGGTCAGAAAAGAATCCGTATATGTAGTTACTGAAGTCAGCTTGCACCCTAAACTTCTTGCTTATCCCTGAAACATGCTAACCATGTCAAGAATCTTTGGATTACAGAGAGCTAAACCATGTACGTTTGTGACATGATTTGCCTTTCTTATGCGACCATTTCACACTTGCTGTCAGAAACTTCACAGTCATCGATTCTGCTGGCTTTCCTCATCACTGTGACAATGTTCTTACTTTTCATAGCGAACATTGATGTTCTCCTTCTTTTCTTTGATTTCCTGGGGGTCAAAGTGACCGGCTTCGATGAAGGCATCCGCTTGAGCATTCAGGTCCTTGATACGATCCTGCATTGGTAAGAAGCCAAAAGAAGCACACTTCAAGAGTGACACCTCAGTAATGTCTACAAATATAGGTTGGAAAACAAAAAAGGTCCAGGACTGAAACAAAGACATGAATTTAAATCGTTACCACGGCATTCCTCCATCAATGCATTTTTAATTTGTGAGGAATCATTAGCTTCCTTGTCTGCGATGTTTGTCAGTCCATGTCTTTTTTCTCACCTCATGGGCAGCAATGTCATCCTCCAGCAGCTGGTGCTTCTTCAGAAGATATTGCACCGAGGTCAGGTCACGACCTATGTCATCCGACGACAGAGAGGCCTCAATCTGACAAGAGCAAGTGGCAAATTGTAAGAAAAGAGTCAATCCTAGCAAGCACAAAAGCACTCAGGACAAAACCCACACACAATGTAAATCCCAGCGGTAAGAGTGCAGAGTTTAACTGTTGACGGGGCATTTTCTGTTACGCACTGAGTTTTCCTTAATTTCAAGTGGAGGTTTTCTTAAGCTTAGCTGTTGCACACAAACAAGGTATACAATGCATTTTCTTTCACTTGATTACTTATCAGTCCTGCAAAATGTCCACTCCATAGATCACTTCAAGTAACACCACTTTACAAGTGCAGTTTTGCAGACCAATAGACGGAACTCCTTTGCAAATAACGTTTTTTGCAACTGCAATTCTACCAAAGCAGATCATATTGAACAATTCAAGATTCAAAGGAAAAAAGGCCGCCGAGGAGTGCAGAGTCTTGGAGAAAGCATGCAGGGCCTCACCTCACTGAGCCAGAAGTCAATGTCCTTGATGCTGATGTGGAAGGTCTGCTGCTTGTTGGCCTCCTTCAGCTTCTCGCTCTTCTCGGTCGACTTGGTGACCAGCAGCTCCCACTGGTTGCCGATGTTGACGATGCGATTCTGGACCGCCTCCTCGCTGCCCACGCACTGGTGGTTGTCGATCAGCCCTGGGCAGATGGACGGAAGCAAAGACTGTCAACGTTTCATGCAACATTTACTACTGCAGATGGTTCTCCTTCCAGGTACACAATTAATTTAGGATTTAATTTGAGGGACGTAACACTCCTGTGTTATGTTATACTTTACTTCTGCAAACAAGTCTACAAAAGTGGCTGGTGATGAATGCTCCATTTGAACCAATGTCAACAAAACTAGTTTGGAATCACAGGCCTCTGAACAAACCTTACACAATAGTAATCAGTAGGAAATGAAAGTGATTCTACACAACTAAATCTAAATGGCATGGACAACTAACTCACTGAAATTGATTAAACCACTGTTTTGTTGCTGGCTATTCAGTGGTAGCCTGCGACATATGAAATACTGGAATACAAGCCAACTCACTCTGTCCGACAGCCGTGACAGCTTGGATGCGTTCGGCGTTGGCCGCAACCTCAGCCTCGAAGGCCTGGTGCTTCTGGTGCTTGCTCTGGATGTTGGTGGAGTCCATGTAGGACTTGTCCGTGGCCACCTGGTACTTCTCGGTAATCCAGGCCTCCACCTCGTCGGCATCCCGGCTGAACTGCTGCAGGGTGTGGGACTCGCCAAGCTTGGAGCGTTTCTCGATCAGGGCAGCCTTCAGTGAGTTCCACCTGATCACAAAGGTGGGACAAATGGGAAATGAACGTAGAGACTCGCATCATTAATGAGGGGAAACTCGGCATTGCAGTAATGTAGTCATCCCATGGCTTTTCAGTCCACTACCAACCATTCAGTATGAAGTAGGTACAAGCTGTTCATACTTGACAAATGCATTCCTTTAGTACTGTTTCCTCTTGTTACAGGACTTGTTGTTTGATTTGATTTGTGATAAATCTGCCATGGGCTAGCTCATGGTTCAGCACCTGTGGCTGTGTAAGGCATCAGTGTATAAACTGGCAAAATGCACCATTATTGTAATTATGACCACGATTATGTAATGATGAATGATGATCGTGTTGCTGTCACCCATTAAGGCTTTCATTGCTCATCACATTGAGTAACACAGAAACAACCAGCTATCATGGCTGAAAAATATCTTCCTGGCACTCTACCTTTCAATGACTTGGTCCCTCTTCTCGGCGATGAAGGGTGAGTCGTAGTGGTCGGCGTTGATCAGCTGGTCGGCGAAGGACTGCAGCGTGTTGATCTTCTGCTCCTGGGCGCTGATGGCCTTATCAAAGTCCTCATGCTTCTTGATGAGTGCCTCCACGCCGTCCAGGGAGCCTGTGATGTCCTCACTGGCCAGGAAGGCCTCACGGGAGGCCATCCAGGCCTCGGCCTGTTCGCAGTCTCGCAAGAAGAGCTGCAAGAGTTAGAAACGGGATTGACAGCTCAGCAAGAAACGTCGCCAACGAATCTTGGAAACAGAACAGAAACTTGTTCATTCAGGTAATAATCAACTATCAATAAGATACGTGCACACTTCCCAAAATTGGTTTTCATCTTCGTACAATGTATATTCACTCAGTAAAGTTAGGCTGAAATCCACAAATTCTGCAGACTGAAGTTCACAAATGTGACCAAGTGTGTTAACCAAAAACTTGCATACCTGCAACTCCAGGCACTGATCAAGCTTGACCCTGCGGTTGGTCCATTCTCTGTTGCAGAAAAAAGTGAACAACGTATTGACAGTTATTAGAAGGAGAGTACAGAATTGTACAGGATTCAAATGATGCAGAGAAAAAGTCTGGTGCATGGCGACAAATGCAGAAATATAATATCAAGAGTTGTATCAAGTCATGAAATGTCTGTTGTAATTGATCATTCTTTACCACAAGTAAATGGACCCGAGTTGACATGTGAATGGACCTGTGAAGGTCTAGCTCGTTCCATTAAACATCAAATACTTCAGTGCTGAACTGTCACGTAACTGGTTACTTCTTTAGTAATTTGCACATGACTGATCTGCCAATTTACAGCTCTAGAAGCATGCTGATTTGACAAGGAATGACACTGGTACTGGCCCGAGAAGACACGATACCTGTCAAATGAAATTTGGTTTCTTTGACCCTTTTGCTTGAATTTTATGAACTTACTTGTCCAGAGTCTCCCTCTCTTGTTGGAGGGTGTCCAGTTTCTCCTGGATCTCAGGGCTGGCGTAGTGCTGGTTCTGCAGGAGCTGCTTGCCAAAGGCTTCGAAGTTCTGGAAGGAGCCAGCGCGGGCCTCAATCTCAGAGTGCAGTTCCTACGAAACACACCCCCAAAACAGATTGTTAAATTATCTTCAGCTTTTCATACTCAAAATAATTGATCAAATATATAGCCTGATATTCATTATCGAAGAAGCATTATCTCAGGGTGCCCCATAGTGCTTCGCATATATTACGACAGTAATGGACAGGTTAACCACTTTTTTTGACTAAATGTGCTTCTCAGTACATAAACCTGCTCAGCAATGGAAACATCTGCTTAGCCAAAGCAGGGAACCTGCCAAAATGCCATACGATGCACACTGCTTGTCACCAATTCTCAGCCTGCTTTTGCTTAGCACCATCAATATTACCTGGTGGCGTTCCAGCAGAGCCTCGGCGCTGGTGACGTCCTTGGCCAACTCATCGCTGCACACCAGCGTCTTCATGCTGCTGATCCAGGACATCAGGTCGCGGTAGTCGCTCAGGAAACGCTGCAGGTCGTAGGAGTCGGTCAGCTTATTCTTGCGATCATTGGCCTGTGGGGGAAAAAAGGAGGGCGCAAGGCTCAGGTGTGAGTTATTAACAAAGAGCAGAGAAAGATTGGAAAATTGGGTGTCATACTTTCGCGTCAGTTTTTATAATCATACAAACACATACAACAAACACAGTCCCATCTAATCAAAGGGAGAATTTCTCTGTTGTAGATCTGAGACTGTAAATCCTTTAGATAATGCATAAAGATGATGAAAAGCATTTCCTTCTCAAAGTCAAACTCGTGACATTTACTAGTGAAAGTAAGCATTGTCACACATTGTGGAATTTTATAGATAACCATTCTTTAAAATCCACATGAACTTCACTGGGTCACTTTCCAAACAAAGACACGGAATCATTATGTAAGTACATGTACATGCAAATCTTTACCCTCTGCTGAAGGTTGTTCCATGCGGCATCGATGTCCTGGCACTTCTCTGTGATTGGCTCTGCCTGGTCAGGGTGGGTCTGGATCAGTCTGGTTGCGGTCTCATCCAGTTTGTTCACCTACAGATAAGAGAAGATGACAGAGCTAACTCAAAGCTAACGAAACTGAAAGAGACTACTCCGCAACGTGCATCTCTTCCACATCCGTAAGTCACACTCCCTGCTAATGCCATATTCTGTTTTTTTGTCAACACAATGACTCCTTCTGCAGCTGGTGTGTGCTGCCATCTCCCTCCCTACCTGGCTTCCCAGGGCATTCAGGTCCCTCTCCAGCCCCTGGTGCTTGCGTTGCAGGGCCTGTACACTGTGCAAGTCATGGCCCAGGTTCTCCGTGTTGAGGGATTTGTTCTTGTCATTGATCCAGTCCTTGGTCTCGTCGGCATCTCTGCATAAAATGCATGAAACTCACGAATGTTAATGAAGGTTCAAAAATGCTTTGTTTGCTGGAAATGTTCCACCAAAATCTGGACAGCACTTTGTTCAATTTACTACATAAAATAGGTGTCTGCACTGTGGAAGTCAACAATACACACGCACATGCAGGTGTATCCATTCATTATGCAAGATATTTGCATCTCAACTGTGACCAATCAGCATACAGCTAATCAAAAGCCTTGGTGCTATTTCTCACCAAAGGCTCTCATTGACTGGTGTGTAGCAGGTTCATGTAAGATTTGAATGCAATAGTGCACAGGGACAGGACAACCAAGGAATGCAATGTTCAAATCTTTATCTCCATTCTATAAAAACAACGTAGGAAGGGGAAAAAAATATTAATTGACAATGCTATCCCTGGGTCCAATCTTACCTGAAGAAGCGCTGGACCTCATGGGCCGTGCCGAGGACCTCGCTTCGCTCTTCAGTCAACCTCTGCAGGGCCTTCCAACGTTCGTTCAGCTCCTGTGTACCAAGGGGAAATGATGGCTTCGTGAACAAGGACTGACGAGTAAATTACACCGTTGCATCAAGTACGCGTGGCACCACACACATCAAAGTCATTCAATCAAATCAACTAGATATTAACAACCTACGTGGTATTGCAGTGTGGCAGAAGTAGGGCAGTGTTAGGTTGGAAGTTTATACAGACTAAGAGAAGGCACTTACGTAGACACGTTGGCGAACCACATCATCTTCCGGGCTCTCATCGACAGGCAGTTCCTTTGATTGTTCATTGATTTCATCAAGACGGCTCTCATTTGCAGCAAGATCCTGAGTAAAATATGACGCCACATTTCATCAATGTTATCACAAGATGAGAGAAACAACTGATGCAAGCATTTCAGTCAATACTCACTAATCAATTTATACACAGCGTTTTAACAGTTAGTAAGAAAGGACTACTGTCAGCTGTAATCTAACAATTGAAAACTGATGTGAAAAGCGGAATCTTGAAAATCTAGATTAACAAACTTAAGCCTCTTGTTTCTAAAACAGAAAGTTCACTTCTATGGCTGGGCCAACTCACCTTCTGGAAGTTGTCGAACTTCTTCTGCAGTATCTGGACTTGCTCCAAGTCCTCACCAACCTCTTGTGCAGTCACAAAGGCTTCCTACAAGAAAGAACACATTGTGCTATCATTGAATAAAGTGATAGCTATACAGGGTTACTTTCATGACTAAAGCACCAGCTGGTGATAGTCGGGTCAAAGGCTAATGAAAACTCTGTGTTTCTGTCATGCGGTGATTTTGAGTAGCATGAGGTTTTTCACATTTATTGTGGCATACATGAAGTTTTCCATCATTTGGGAATGAGGACTACTTAATCCAAACAATACTTCTGGGCTTGAATGCAACTAGCAGCATCACAAATTGCTCCACGGATGATGCCCAGGTGTTAGTCATCCGTTGAGCAACGCATTCTTAATTGGTAACCTCATACTGACGAGTGCAGTTATCATGCAATTGGGGCCCCGGTTCCCTGTCTCTGACCTTATCCTTGATCCACTGATTGAGGTCATTGGCCTCTCGCAGCAGCATGTAGCGCTTGCAGGACTCTTCCAGTTTCTCCTTGCGGACGTCGGCCTTCTGCAGCAGGTCATCGTATCTGTGAGAAACAAACGACAAAACAAGTGCACTCAGTTAACTACAGGCTTCAATCTCAATTGGCAATCCACCTGTGAGTGAACCAATGAACTTAAACCGATCAACCCCACAGTACAACTCCTCCAACAAGGAGCTTGTTCAGACTTTCTACTCTGTCGTTATTTTGCTACGTCCTTACCTTCAAATTCAATTCCTAGAGATCTAATAATCCATTAACTTTATTCAATTAAAGTTCTCATGCTGTTTTGGCAACTCAACCCTCATCCCGTCAAGTCCAAAAAATTGCTTTCAACACACTTTGCCGGGGGTAATGGTTCATCAAATGTTTAAACATTCATTACCTTCATTCACAGCACAGGTGGTCAACAGGAAACATTCAACAGGTTCCCCACCAACACCTAAACTACATTTCAGAGCTTCCCTGTGATAGCCAGTAATTTATTTTGAAGAGAGCAGGGAGAGGATAAGACAATAAGACTTTTGCGAGTTAAATTTGAATAAGATCTAGTACACCGAGTTCTTTAAACCTAACAATTTGAATTCTCCAGACTAAAAACACTGTTGCTATACCTCGTGATTCGGGGCAAGCTTTTGCATAAGAGACGCCTTGCAATAATACACTTTTCTCAATGAATAAGGGCCGAAAGGAGCCAGTCCATTCCAGAGATGGTGGTCGCTATGCAAAAAGTTGCCCTGAATCACAAGGTACAGCAACAGTGTCTTTAGTCTGGGGAATTCAAATTGTTTAAACTCAATGTACCAGATTTAACTCGCAAACAGCTTATTAACACTGGACATACTGTTTTTCAATCTGAGCCTGTCTGGCCTTGATGCTGCCATCCTCCTCAGCCAGATTGGCCTGGGAAGCACTCTGGGCAGCATCAATCTTCTTGACATAGGCAGCGGGGACGAAGCCCTGACGATCATTCACCTCAACCTTCCACCAGTCCTGTAGCCCAAAGCAATATGTATACGTAGGAGTCACACCACTTTATCCAGTCCGGTTTCCAAAAATGTCGTATTATGCTTTGCAATGAAGAGAGACTGGACAGCATTTCTAATAGGAACCATCATAGTTTTGCAATTAGGCTCTAAATACAGTTCATTTTTTGGGTGAGTCAAGTCTGAAACAGAAAACACTAGAATCAGAATCATGACCACAGACATTCAAGTTTACACACAGACACGCTTTTAACTCTTCAACCTTTGGGTCTGTGACTGCTGCCCAAGTCATCTGAACTCCTACAATTGCCTTATCTTCTTTTTCCTTGACATCCAAAGTGATCTATAAAGTGACCGGCAAGTTTGCAAGTTGACGAGGTAGACGTGGTAACGACGTGGTCAAGTACCAAAGAGTGATTAACACAAGCACAGTTTAATCAGCAAGCATCAGCCCACCTGAGGGTGGGAATTTACATTTAATATGAAAAGCATATAGAAAACTTTTACAAACCACTTAAATGTGCGTCAACACTTTACAGAAGCCGCCGAATACATGAATAAAATTCTTTTGAAACGACTGAGCAGTAAAGTGTTCCAAAAATCAGATTGTATTTTAAAGGCATCCTTTACAATAAAAATGAACTGCAGATTGGATCAGTCAAAACATTAAACCTCTAAAAGTGGCAGTTCAGTATAAACATTTGGGAAAATCTGTCAACAGATTTGGAACTGTTTTCATTTAAACATGTAAACCTCCCACCCTCAAGCCCACCACCAGTCAACTTTATATGGTAATCAGATTAAAAAGTGCTAACTATTTTGTGTTTTACCTTGTTGCTGCTGTTCAGAAGGACCAGGATGTCTCCTTTCTTCATGGACACCTCCCGGGGACTCTTCTCGGTGTAATCGTAGAGAGCGACAACACATTCTTTGCCAGCCTCATCACTCACGGGCACCTCTTGTTGCTATCAGAAACAAAATAGTGAAATTCAATGCATGGTGATCTTTGCAAAATGGAGTACGCTAAATTAAACCAACAAAGTTTATGAATGAATGAATGTATTTCTAATAACAGCATATAGAAAGAGGCAAGATTTCGTGTAAAAATGTTTATTTCAATATTTTGAAAAAGATTTGAAGTCAGTTTTGCAGTTAATTCAACTCACACATAACATGATTGGGACTAAGCTTAAATGTGTTTTAAATATAACTCTATAATGAATGGTTTTTAGTATAATCTGAATTAGTGTGAAGATGCAATGGGTGGGATAATGATTTCATAATATTTGCCATGTACTCTGGAAGCGCATCATAACCTGTCGCATTTAACAAAACCCAGGAAGAAATTCACAACCTTCTCGCAACCACTGATTTTTCCCCTTTCAAGATGTTTCAAACTTCAATCTACGATACAAAATGTCAGAAACATTATATTGCTTCAGGGTACCTTTGAAAGTATTATAAAGCACAAAATCCATGCAGGAAGTTAACCGTTCACATGTCAATATGCTGAATCACAGAAAGCATGCACTGTTGTTTCTGTATGTCAGGAAAATATTAGCATCCACAAACTTCCACCATGCATGCTGAGATTAGTTAGTTCATTTGGTACGCCATGTTCAGTACTGCATTCAAAATACAAGAAATGCAAGATCTCACTTAGCTGTGTATTCATACTCGTATACATGTTTCCACTGAGATTTGTGTAACTTTTCGACAAGAAGTTAAGGTCCCCCCAACCAAAGTTTTAGACCCATTCAAAACCTTTAATATTTCTCCTGAACTGAAAAAATGCAAACCTATGTACCGTTATGAATGTACATAAATGGCCATGAAGACATAAATATACAAAATGCACAAAATGAAAGTTATTTCTGTTCATTGACAAATGGAAATTTGAACAAATGTCTGAAATTGCTTTTTGGATGCCATTACAGTGATTAGGCCCCTTAGGTTAACACGTATTTCCCGTAATTCAAGATGGCACCGCACAGACGGCCAGCAAAGAATTCAATAACCGGCGGATGTTTAAGAACTGTGCAAATCCTGTGTATATCTGCAGAACTCCTACAGTAAGTTTTGATATCAACTTCTTTGTCTAGTCAACAGTGCCCTCAATGCTAACGCAGCAGACCCTCTGACCAAAGATTGTATCGCACCGTACAGCAGCCCAAGAAGGGAACTCGGCCAAAAAAGGTGTTATCACCATGGGCGCCATTCGAGTGTGAACATTAATGCATAGGCGCAGGCATAGTGAGTGCGTGCCTGTCGCAGCACCTGCACATTTACATGCACTGCGCAGGCATAGTCCAACCCAAATGGCACCCATGCGATAACTCCGTTTTACGCGTATTCACAGTGAAGTTCCTCATCTTGCGCCACTACGGGGAGCTAGATCTTCGCCTATGACTGTCAACTTGAGACAATCATACACTGAACCCATCGCCCTTTTCCAATACTCGACTTGGACTCTGTCTGAGGCTTCATTCCCAAAACTAATCCCCGATTGTGGGACTGAAGCGTTTAAATTAAATTGGGTTACTGTAATGTCTGGCTCTCTTACATCTTATTTCATGTTCTGTGGCACTATTAGACTAATTACTGTGCTTACAGCTTCAGTCAGCTAGTTAAAAAACAGGTGAAGCCTGAGATGGAGCCGAAGTTGAGTATTGGAAAATGGCCCATGCATTCACAAGGTGAGATCTGACAGGCTAAAGCATTGACCATATCTTAGACATTTGTCCACTTTTTTCCAGATTACAAGAGCAGTAGAAGAACCACCAGTTGTGTGACGTTGAAGAAAAAGCTCTGGGAAGTTACAGCATGCAATTTCTTGCATGAAATGAAAAGAGTATCTTTGCAAACATCACATGATGCAAATTCTTGTGACAGAATGTCTTTTCAAACCACAAGAGCTGATGCGAGCAGGAGGAATGCCAATATTTCAGTAATCAGCAAAGTGTGGAAATAATGCTTGACCAACAGACTGTTGAGTTATTAAACAGGGTTTTGCTTTTATCATCACGTACATACACCACTGTAGGAAAGCCCTTTGCAGCCTTTGGTGAGTGCAGAATGGAACTCGCATATATACGATATTCGTAAATGAGAGTAAATCAAAAGCGGTAGTGCGTTCACAAAACACATGTTGCAGTACCCACGTACAGCCCGTCTCCATACAGAATTATTACAGTCAGTACTTGAAAGCTCATAAAAGAGAGAATCTGCACATTTCTGTTCACCACGTTTGACGGCTAGGAAAACTGCTCTCCCGCGGGAAATTGAAATGAATTTTGAGTGGTTATTAAACCCTGCTCAACCCGGATGAGAATGGGCATGAGACGAAATGCTCTGAAGTCTCTGTCTTCCACATTCACCATGCTCTTGACCGCCTACTTACGGTTCCGATTAAAAAGCGCACCATCGACTGGGGAGGATCGTACTGCGAGAAACGCCAGGCAAATCATGAATGGCCACGGCAAAGGAGAGATTAATGCAAGGTCCAGAGATTTACCAGAGAGACCACTCAAACAGAAATAAGTACAAAACAAGGATAATAACACACAATTAATGTACAATTCATGCAGGAATTCTGTGGGTGGGGCAAAGGGGGGGGGTAATTTTTTGTTGCAGGGAGATGGTTTGTGAAACATCACAGCACACCTACACGTACATGTAACAATCCAATATCGGTAAGGGATGCATTTTAATATATTCAGTCTTTATGCGACTGCAACCACTATGTTATGTTTGCCTTAAGCTCTATTTGCCTGACAGAAGGCACACTCCACACCAAGTTCACTCAGAATATATGCAGCCTGCGAATTTGGTCCAAATCCAAGAAAACACAAATAAATTGGGGCACACACAGACTGCAGGAAGAGAAGCAAAAGTAACGGAAGGAAAGAAAGGGGAAGACTTACTCGGCATTCCTCTGCCTGTTTGGCCAGGTTCTCAATGGTCCAGTGGTAGGCCTTCAGGTCTGACTGAAGGGCCTCATGCTTTTTCAGCAGAGACTGTCAAAAACAAGAAGCAGAATTGAAAAACTTTATCAAATTTGGTTTCTTTGAAAAGAGGTATGAGTAATGCCACTTGCAGCGGTGCCTTCAAAATCGTATTCAGAGTCAGAGAAGCCGAAATGTACCTCGTTAAGGTATGAAATTTAGCCCATTTCACACGAGAAGGCATGAAATCAATAGGGTCCTTGTATATTCATTTGTATTATTTACAGAAGAAACATACAAACCAGAAAATATTGCAGATTGCCAAATATGGCCGAGTTCTAAAAGTTTGGATATGGCTGGTGGTAACAATATGTGTCTATGGAACTGAATCCAGCCACAAACGACTGCTTCTACTGTTACACTCATTACACCCAGCCATAGCCATTACTTCAGGCTGCAGCTTGGGGCAACCCACCTCTGCAGTGTCCTCGTCCTTGCCGTAATCCTCGCTGCAGACGATGGGCTCCTTCTCCTTCATCCAGGACTCGGCCTCGTTGGCGTCGGCAAAGTACTGCTGGGCCTCCAGGGAGTCGTCCAGGTCCTCCTTGCGCTTGGCCGCCTTGTCCTTCAGGTTTTGCCACTTCTCCTCCAGGGCGTTCACCTTGGTGGCGATTTCCTCCGAGGCAAAGTGTTCTGGCGACGAAAACAAACAAAAAGCAGTTGAAGGCTCCAATAGTGATACAAAGTTTGCTTTTGCCAATTTTACCAGTGTGCTGCTTCACTTTCCACGTTTTGAACATATGTGTGTCTACAATCCAGTAAACGATACGCCTAATCCTACTTGCATGCAACTGTGGTCAGAGGTTGTATGTTCTTGGATGGCAGCAACCGACAGAAATGGAGAATTTGTTAATACCCAGTGGTAGGACTGGTGTTTAAATGAGTAATGCAGAATGCCACATGACTGACTCATTTTGGTACACTTTGGTGTATTTAGCAAGGTGCCCATGGAACGCCTCATTGGGATTAGGGAATAAGGCTAAGTTTATGGATTCAAATTATCTAGCCTAACCCTTGCACAGCAAGCCGGAAGATGCCACTTCCATAACAATATGGAGGGAAACAAAATGGCCACGCATAAAGATCAGCATTGGTCGCGTTTTCCTGGTTGAAGTAATTCTCATGTGTGATTTCCATATCAAGCTTTACTGGGATGGTAATCTTCAGACATAAAGTGAATTCCCAAAGTCAGTCTGAATAGCAAAATCCAAATTCTAACCTTCATCGATCATCTCCCGGCCAATCTTGGCCACCGAGGTGATCCTGGGCTCATGGCCTGAGATCTCCGTCATCAGGGCCTGGTTCTTCTTGATTAGGTTCTGGACGCCGATCAGGTCCCGGCCTCGGTTGGTGGAGGTGACGATGGGCTCCTTCTCTCGGATCCAGGCCTCCTCATCGTCCACATCCCGCAGGAACTGGTGGTAGCGGTACGAGTCCTCCAGCTTCTTCTTGCGAGCCTGTAAGGGAGCCTGGAGGCAAAAGACACCACAACAACAAAATCTTTTCTTGAATCAGTGGCCAAACAAACCCACCAAAGCTGTAGCTGCTAGTCTTTCTTAAGACTCCAAAGAATGTTTGCATCTTGGGTTTTCTGGAAAGCACTGAATAACAGGTCAGGAATGTTAGACTCTGCAGAAAAAAGAGGACAAGTTCCGAGCAGACTTCCTATGTATTAAGACAAAGGTACAGACTGCTGAAAATGGAAGAAATAGGAGGAAACGAAAGGAGAAAAATACTATCTCAAATCCTATCTGAAAAATGTCATGGCTGCACCAAGCATAATTTTTTCAGACTGCTGAGAAATTGGTCCATACATTTTTACGAAGTTTTAAACTATGCAATAATCAGCTGTATCTGCTGTTTCAATCTCACTGATCAACCACTTAAAGAGTTTGATGAGGCATTGAGATTTTTGGGACTGCCAATTATGAGGGCCATTTTTCGTGATCAATAGAAGGCGCTGAAATTGGAGGCCTACCTGCAGAGACTGGTAGCGCTCTTTCAGGACGACCTCCTTCTCGATGATGGTGTCCTTGTCAAAGTGGTCGGCCATGGCAAACTGCTGGCTCTGGGTGGTGGAGGCCACGATGCGCTCCTCCAGCTGACCCAGCTGGTTCTCCATCTCGGCCACCTTCTTCTGCATGGACTGCACAGTGCCAATGTCCTGCAGGCAAGAGGCGAGATAGTTTACTGTGACACAGACAACACGGCACCGAGGTTCCTACTGTTCCTACAGCACAGCACTCTCCCATGGACTAAGGACAGGCACTTCCATGCACCACAGACCTGAACGATGGACCGATCAAAGAGGGCAGGAGAAATCCACTACCCTTTGTAGAAAAGTTATCCCTGGACACACACAGGGGATGGACACAACATGCAAACATTTTTCACCCCAATCAACTTAGCACGGGTAACATATGAAAGTATGTACACAATCTAAAAGATTTTAGGATTGCAGTTCAAAGGGGATGAACACAAAGTTTAAAAGTATATTGCAAGGTGTTCATGTTTTTTAAGCCAGGGCCCTATTTATCATTTGTTGGCAAAATTGCCCTCTTTAATACATTTAAATTCCATTTTCTGTGGTCAAACCCTATTCAACTTGGTCAGGTGATGCTTCAGAGCTCTGAGTGTGGAACTTGTGGATTTGAGGCCGCTTCCATGCTTTCGCACTCAAGATAACACTCGCGAACAGAAAGGAATTATTTTTTCAACGCCTAGGCAAAGCCTCAAAGAATCATCTGTTCCAGTTTTAAGCAAGCCTTCCCATGAATAAAAGGCTTCCTTTTCACAAGTTTCATCTCTTGATAAGGTACACTGCCACAAATCAAACCCTTCAAATACTTAAACAGACATATTTACAAACACGAGAGAGACAAAAAGTGCCCTCAACATCAAACTCTATCCTCAAGTACCTTTCCGTGATCATCTGTCTGCAGGAGGCCATCCATCTCTGTCACGTAGGACTGGATCTCGGCCACGTTCATGCTGAACTGCAGGGCCTGTGTGGCTTCTTGCAGGCGCACACCTATCAGGCAGAAAACAGGTGTACATATTCAAGGATCTGGCTCACAAGAAATCTCATTACTGCTGCGTGAGAGTCAAATGAGTTCAGGTCGAGTTTGAGCACTGCTTCCCTCAAGCATCATTCTTAAATCTGAGGGATGAGATTCAGCTCCAGAACATGAACAAAATTTCCTTTATTTTTCAAGACTCATTTAAAGTAATGGAGCTTCATAGATTTCAGAAAAGCAATTGAAATGTGCATTTCTGAGACGTTAAGAGTCCCGTGGATACCCAAACAAGAATGAAAACACTTGCATGCAATTTCAATTGTTTCCACATTAAAAGTGAGTCGCGCTTCACTCACTCTTTGTCTCAGTCTGAGTAATCAGGCTGCTCCACAACTCATTGAGTTCAGCCAGGCGTCGCTCAATCTCTGGCGTGTTGTAGTGCTCCTCAGCGATCATCTCTTCCCCTTGCTCCCGGACAGAGTTGATCCGAACCTGGTTGATGTTCAGCTCAGCCTCAAATGCCTGGTGCCGCTGCTGTTTGCCTGTGAGGTTGGTGGGATCCTGCAAAACATTTGGTGACCCCCATAAAATTTAGCATGAGTTACACAGGAAAGAGTGCACACAAATCTACACAGGCTTTGTTATTCGAGTTAAAAAACTGCATTCGTTTATCAAACGCATGATGCATGGATTTGTCCTTCCCTGGTAGCCTGAGCATTACTCAACCGTTATTCAGCCTTAGTTCCCAGCTTTGCACCAGGGCAGAAGAGGAAGGTAATAGAAAAATGGGAAGAAAACGCTGGGGCCAACCATTCTCTGGGAAGTGTTGATCAGTTTGGTAAAGCGCGAGCACTGATGAGAATGGTAACTTCAGCGGAAGAATTTGCTCATAGTAGTGATGCAATATTGACAGAAATTTCTGTGCGCAGCATGTCAAGGTTGTGAATATACAGAGCACTGTTTCTCATCTGTTGTCAGTATGATTTGTCTGCGGTTCAGTTGCTCCATGAAATTGACCTCGGGTGGTCAGGGCAGAGAAAAATGCATGTGATCTTGCGAAATACTTTCTAGTACGACTGCACCCGTTGGGATTCATGCCCTAGGCACCGCAACTGCAAAGTGAACTCCTTGTCTGGTCTCAGACACCTACCCTGTAGGATTCGTCCGAGGTCTGCTTGAGTTTCTCTCGGATCCAGCCTTCCACCTCGTCGGCATCCCGGTCAAACTGCTGGTAGCGGTACGAGTCCTCCAGCAGGCTGCGGCGGATGTTGGCCTTCTCAATCAGGGCCTCGCGGCGCTTGATCAGCTGATGTGGGCACACAAAAAAGTACAGGCAGGCACCAGTGTATTAGACTGAGACCTTTACCTTGTAAGTACATGACAGCTTAACAAGAAAGACCTGATTTTTGGGGGGGGAGGCAAAAGTCACAAAGATCCAAAGCTGCATGATGAATTTATTGTCATTAACACATTAAGTTTGTTTTGATCTTTTGACTTGGCTTAAATAATGTATAGTTTTTCAGAAATGCGTTCTTCAATGCACTTAGATTTTGTTCCCTACCTCATCACGTCGTCTTTCCACATCATCCGATGCATAGTGGTCGCTCTCGATCAGTTTGGTGGCAAAGTCATCCAAGGCCTATGAATCACAAACATCCATTTTTCACATGAATATTTCTGAAAAACTGTAACACTTAGCATCTTACTTTGGTAACCTGCAGGCGCAGCATGATGTCCACTTCAAAGTCACGATGAAAACTTACAAACATTACTCGTGTACTATGTAACTTTGACAAAGGATACGAAACGATACAGGGAGTTTATCTCTGCTAAATGATCTGGGACTTTGCACGGTGGATCATCAGAGTTTGCAGTGACACCGTCTGTGAATCTCAAGGAGACGTGGCAGGTCCAAAATGGAACCTGTGCCTTTTATATAATTCTGGGCTGTTTTACTCTGCTTGACTTCATCTCTAGCTCTGCAAGCGGTTTCAAACATCTTCTGTAGGAATCAAATAAACATTCTCGTAACCCTGGCCAATTAAATATAATTTTGAATTGGTTACAAGGAGATCAAAGGGGTTAACTATTGAGATGAGTTCAGATTTTGTAGTCTGGTTAATAACAAACCCTACCTTGATCTTTTCCTCTTGTGCGTTGAGGGACTTCTCAAAATCATTGTGCTTCTTGATCAGAGCTTCGACAGAGTCGATGGAGTCCCCGAGGTCTTCGTTGCTCAAGAAAGCCTTCACAAACAGGAAAAGTAAAAGTTCTTGTGACTATCCCACATATAAAGCAAACGTAGCACAGGAAACCAGACAACCTGAACAACTGTCCAGTGAAGCCATCACTGCACTGAGCTCGTATTCCACATACATATGAGGACAGTTCATGTCCTCAAAGTTTCTGATATTGTATTGGAGGCTTGTCGGCTGGCAACTGCTTTTTCCCTGTAATCTGGTTGGCCTATTCCTGACATACTGATAAATACAGAAGTGTTGATTCATGTGTGCAGGGATACTCATAGAGGTTCTGCATGGCAGTCAGCTTTCTGGTAACTGCTTTTGTCGCGGAGGGATAGTACAAATGGGTCTACTCATGTGTATCCCTGTGGAATAAAAGGTCTCATTGGATGACTGATGACAATCAGATTCGTGCTGTTCTTAGACCATTTAGGCTGTGTTCAGACTGACCCCCTTACCTCCTGCTTGGCCATCCAGGTGTTAGCCTGCTCAGTGTCTCTGTAGAACAGCTGTAAGTCCATGCACTGCTCATACTGGACACGCCGCTCTTCCCACAACTTCTCTAGGCTTGCCTTCTCCTCAGCGAGGTTGACAAGCTAAGGGAAATGGTAGAATTCAACAGGCTTACTTAATGCCAATGAGTGCAAATCTCAGACAACTTGCAAGCAGATGTTTCAATTGTTTAAATGGATTTCCTAATACAACATGAAACTGCACATGGTCACATTTTTACAACAGTTGGGGGAAAAGTAAAATCCAACTGCAGTTTTCAATTTCTAATCTATGTCAAAAAGTTTCACACATGAACTTGGTATGATCAACAACATCCAAATTTGTTTTAAAATTTGATAAGACTGGGTGAAGTTTTCACAACCTTACGCTTATCTGGTTTGTGAACTTGAACTGCGGTAAATGTGCTCTTTCTTAAGCGTAGCAGCAGTTTGAATGTTTGAAAGTCACAAAACATAGTAGCTGTGTGACAGATAAAGATTGTGTGCTAAAACCAAACGAGCACAAGGTCAGTAATAAGTTAAAAATGAATGAAACTGTATTGTAACTGCTACTCTAAGGTCTCACCTTTTCCTTGACTTCCTCTTTAGCAGGGTGGTCAGTGTCCACCAGTTCTTGACCTTCATCAGCACAGGCTCTGAAGTTGTCATCATGTGCATCAATCTCTCCCTGAAAACCAAGACCGGAAGTATAAAATTGCACGAATACTGTCTTTGTTGCTGGCCCAGGAAGTAGTTTTTCCCGAGCTTTCCGATGTACTAAATTTTTTTTTTTTTTAACTTTTTCTAAGGTACATGTATTACGGGGTGAATACGTCAGACAAGAAGGATGATAGCGCCATTCATTTGGAAATCTTGTTGGTGGTGTTACACACCTCACCAAATTACATCCGAGAGGACTTCTGTACAATTTTAGATGAACAAAAGTGCCAATTTACAGCAAATTTGAAGATCCTGTTTTAAAAACTGGACATAGACTCTTTCCATTCTCTCAACTCAGAGGCTTTAAGAATGTAACTGATAGCTGGTTAAAAGGAAACCTAGGGGTAAGTGCCTTCCATGTTCTAGCAAAACACAGCACAGTGAAACAGATTCTAGTTTTCTTCAAAGAAACTCCCTCAATTTTGAGACAAAAATGATGAAAGATGTTGGTCTTTCACATACACAGACATGGGACTGGAAAGCCACAAAGAGGAAACTGTAAGTTGCACAAATCTTTGAATTTGATTTTTCAACTAGTAGCAGCCGGACATGGCATTAAAAAAACAACAACAAATTCAGCTAAATGAAACAAAGTCCAGAAACTAAGCGATCTGTGATCCTGGAGTCTTTACCTTATGTTCCTGGTGACGTTCCATGAGAGCCTCGGCCCCCGGCACATCCTTGGCCAGCTCGTCCGAGTTGATCAGGGCCTTCATGTCGTGCACCCAGGTGATCAAGTCACGGTAGTCGGCCACAAAGCGCTGCAGCTTGTTGGACTCCTCCAGGCGGATGCGGCGCTCGTCAGCCTAGGAAAGAGTGAGTGTATGAGATAGATTCAGCACTTCTGGCTCGAAGGCAAAATTCAGCAGTTACCCTAAACACAGTCATGCCACACGATCATCCATACCAAACATAAACAACTACGTATATCAATCCCTTAACTTATGCTAACATGCTGCCAGAACAAGGAAGTATGCTGTCAAACTAAAACAGAACTGATTTTTTTTCTACTGATACATTTTTCAACCCTTTTTACTCCCTTTTTTTGTTTTAACAATGAACCCCTTATGGAGGTCACATTTTCAACTCAAACTCATAACATACTATGCGAGTACATAGTTTTCTACTTACCAAATTGACTGATATAACTGGAATAAATTAACTCACCTTGGAGCGTAGGTTCTCCCAGTTGTTGGCAATCTCATCACGCTTGGATTGGATCTCAGGAGCATGGTCGGTGTGGATCTGCTCCAAGCGGTCTGCTTCTTGAACCAAGCAGGTCACCTGAAAGAGAGAGAGTAAGGCTGCATAAATATGGCCAACTGCAGATTTAATTGGACAGCATCCATGAACTAAACAGGTTAAAAACTATGTTTGAGTGTAGGCTGGATTCAAGAATGACAGGTTTGAGGTCCGTTTCTGATGCTTTCCCAAACCAGTACTTGTACTCCAGGAAAACATCGGCCGTGATCCATGGAAATCTATTTTCAACTCTGACATTGTTCACAGTACTCCTTTTAAACCTATTTCAAGTACTGTCCACATTTAAGTACCCAGTCATTAGTGAAAGTTAGCACCAACTATTAACTACCCATCAAAATCTTGCAACTACTGTTACTTTCATTGTGCAGAAAAGGTACGTACTGTGGAGCTTTACCATCAATACGTTTAAACCAATGTCACACCCCACCTCCACTAACCTTGTCTTCCAGGGCATTCAGGTCACGTTCAATGCCTTCATGCTTACGCTGCAGGGCCTGCACGCTGGCCAGGTCACGACCATAATCATCCGAAGACAGGATGGAGTCCTTCTCGTTGATCCAACTGATGGTCTCATCGGCGTCCCTGTGGGGTTGAGAAGATCATAGATGCTACTGAATAAACATCAACTACAACATACGAAGGTCTCCTTACACCTCAGACATCGGCATCAAATTATATGTATCAGATATGTTTCCCCACTTCCTCCAGGGAGGAAATGCTCAGTGTGACCCTTACCATCAATGAGGATTTCAGAGTGTGAATAAGACAAGGGGTTTCATTGCCTAGCAATAAGATCCCATGGTGCAGTGCACACAGGCTGCAAGCAAGCACGGTTAACGTATGGAGAGAGACGGAATGTGCCACTGAATGGACACCAACTTGTAACATTTTCACTTGGGCAATGAATGGGCAAACGGCTGAAACTGCCAGCCCACTTTCTCTCTTTGTTACTGTTAACCCTCGACCTCTCAGGTCATTCCCAATCCTTCCGGGATGTTCTGAACACACTAGGAGATGCAACAAGATTGAAGCCAGTGCCCCTTGAAGTTCCAGGTGAAACCACCATTGCAACCTGCTTCCTGCAGTGAAAATGTGGCTCCATACTTCAGGCAAATGCAACAGCGAAGCAACTTGATGTCACAAAAGGCTGCGGTGAACCTTAGTTGAGTTGAAATGTGTTCAGCTTCTGTGAATCCTTAGCCAATGATCTGATCTGGCATCACAAAGTCCCATTCATATAGTATATTAAAACGCTGCCTTATTTGGGAGGATTAAGAGTGACTCGTGGCACCCAGTCGGGAGGAGGAGGGGAGCACCACCCTACCTGTTGAAGCGCTGGATCTCCATAGCTCCAAACAGCTTCTCCTGCCGGATGGTGGCCAGCCTCTTGAGGTGCTCCCAGGCCTCGTTCATCTCCTCCTGCTTGAGGCGGATAGTCTCACTCTCCGGGTGCTCCTCACCCAGAAGCGTGTTGGCCTCATCGTTCACTGCTGCCACCCGGTCCTCGTGGGCTGCCAGGTCCTTCTGGAACTCATCAAACTTCTTCTGGAGGACCTCCACGTGCTCCAGGTCAAGGCCCGTCTCTACAGAGGAGGCAAAGGTCTCCTGGATGTGCGAAAGGAAAAAAATTATGACAAAATTGAAGCATCCACACACCTGATCTTCAGTAATCTTTATTTTCAGGACCCCTGTGCAATATTTTGAAATTTGTACAAGATGTGCATCAGTTCCAAATTGCTGTTGCAGACACAGCATGTCTATTTCATAAAATAACCATGTCGTTTGAAAAAAAAAAAGTTGGATGACTTAAAAAATATGACAGTCTTAACAGTTTAACCAGATGAAGATGTGTGAAAATGATGGGTATGTTATGAGTAAGAACTACCCAGCATCCCCATCAAAAACCTCTCCAAGTCTAGCAACTAAGGAAAAACTGAACAGTAATAACCCATTTGGAGGTATACATCATAAAAGATCCTAGTGCTATTGCTTTAAGTTACTTTCTCAGAGGGTCGACAGGGTGAAACTAAGTCAGGCATAAATAGGGAAGTGAGTGGGACCTGACTTTTTGCCTCAAATTTTGCATGAAAAGAGCACACAACTGCATGTAACAATACTGCAACTAAAAGCTAAAAAAATGCCAAAATCGAGCTATTGCAAGACTTAAAATGTACCTGCATTTCTATTCTTTATTGTCTGAGGTGATTGTGTTTTTACAGAAGTCTCTTTCTGATCTACACCCTGACTTCACATGTCATGCATGTGCAGCAAACTTCAGGATCTGTGTTGGAAAAGGGGGCTGTGAAAAGAGGAGAGCCTCCGCAGGTAATGTACGCTTGTAATCAAAACTGTAAGTAGGGGTTGCAAGCAGCTTGGGCCCTTCTGCCAGTCACTCAACATCCCACTCCCTTTTCTCACCTTGTCTCTGATCCAGAACATGACCTCCTCCCATTCCCGCAGGAAGTGGACCAGCTTCTGGGCTTGCAGGAGCTTGATGCCCTTCTCCCGCAACTTGCTGAGCAGCAAGTCCCACAGGCGGTGCAGTTCGATCAGGCGGGCCTGTAAAACAAATCAGAGAAATGGTCAACATGGTTACTTGGTTATACATTGACACTTGATTGTCAAGTTTGACTTGAACATCAACTAAAGATCTCATTTTTGTGTGTGGGCATACATGTAGTTGCATGAAAGGATCTTTGGAGGGAACAAAATTTGCTTTTCTTGTACTTGACCACACATTTGCTGTATTTGAATTTTTGTGATTTTCCTGCAGAAATTTATTACTGATAACATTACACATTCTAAAGCCCCCAAAGCACTTTATGCATACATGTAGCTCGTGCTGAAAACCTTTTGTGGTGAGAAATGTTACCGTACTTTATATGCAGTTGTCAAAAGATATTTTCATTTTATGATTCTCTGCAGAACCTATTGATGAGGGTAAAACATCCCAAAACCAAAAACTGAAACCAAAATGAAATTAGTGAAACGTTACTTCCTGTACAATTAGATACTTCCAGAGAATTTTCCTAGACTTTTATGTAACTTCACGGAAACAAATCCCAGGGTATTTCTACCAATGACGTCATTCCTTACTGGAAAAAAAGCCATATTTATTGAGAGTACTTGACTTTCAAGTAATATTTCGTTGTTTGTGGAATTTCCTAATATTCATAAAGCCCACATGAATGTGGAAGTATCAGACAAATTACCTCGATGACATCTGAGGCAAAGTGTTGCTCGGCAATCATGGCATTGCCAGACTGATCCAGCTGCTCAATAGCGTTGCTATGGGCGATCACCTCAGCCTCAAATGCCTGGTGCTTCTGCAGCTTACCCTGCAGAGCAAAAGAGGAGATTGGGATTAACAGCAATACAGAATGTATGCAGTTTACAATGTAAAATACCTACATGCACATGTATTCAATCCTCACTAAATCTAACTGTGAGGCTTCTATGTGTGTACTTTTCATCTTTCCTTTCTCACCTTCATCATTTACTTGTACCGTCTGTTCATGGTATACGTACCTGTACATAATACACGTACGTAAGTCCACAGCCAATCAAAGGAATATGCCTTTATTTTGACTGCTTGTAATACTGCAAGTTTCTAGTGAGAACTGGGCAAAAGCATTCCCAACACAAGAACACCCAGTGTGCGTAATGCTACATGTATATCCTACAGGATCAAATTTCAAAGATTGGCCCAGCATGGGATTTTTGCTAAGCACAGGAAATATCTGCTTAGCAATGACAGGATACCAGCCCAAATGCCAAGCACTATACCCAGGTCATGTCCAAATTACTGGTACTTGGCTGTGGCTTGAAATTGTGCACCTGTCCATCATCTCTACGGTTGTGATTGCAGCAATTACCCACTGAGTTGTCATTTCAATGAATAACCAAGCAACTCAGACATGCCAATATGATGTATGTAACGTACATGTGTACCAGTATTTATTGTGACTGATTCTAATGTACTGAGTCGTGAAAGTCATCAGTATCATGAATGCAAGACACACACTTGATCAAAGAGAATGTGGTAGATTTCCAGCACAACTACATGTACACTGTACATGTACCTGAACTGTACTGAATGAGGTAACTGTATCCATCTACACGTAAAAACATTAGACATGCATTTTGTGATTATTCAATAGATTACCAGCCAACTACATTGGGAGACTGATATACATATCAGCTACGAAAAAATCCTTGAATACATTTACCATTTCTTTTTAGGTTTAGCTCCCAAATTACATGCATGTTGTTTATGTGTTCCATTTTTCTACATATTCTGCTGCTTAATGCTTGAAGTGCTTCGTAAAATAGTTACATGTATAATCAAGCACGGTGTATTGTGCAAACTTTTGGTGTTTCAGAAAAGGAAAATATAAAATTGGCAATTAAGTATCACATTAATTAATTTTAAAATAACACAGCCTGTGAGTCCGAGGAACATATATTGTATTTGTACACCACTACAAAATGCACATGCACAATCAAAGACAAGAACACTCAAGTGAAAAAAAAAACAACATGCAAATACAACATTCTGTGGAATGTGTACATGTAGGTGAGACTGGTTTTATGTATAGTGTTTGTGTCTCTTGTAACATGGATTCGAAGTTGTTAGTGTGTGATTTGACCATGGACATAAGTGGGAATAAATGTTTCAATCATTTGTGAGGTTAGGTGACAGGTAAGTAGGGATAGCGTCTGTCAGATATCCACTTATTCTACATATGCATGTATATAGCATGCAAATCTGGATAAAACTAAAACGTGCGATGAAATTTTTTAACAGGGAAAATGCTAACATGCAACAATCTGCTACTGGTACAGGTATGCATCGGTAAAATGAAAGGACCTGCTAATACAATATTTGAAGTAAGCAAATCACAAGGACATGAAGGAGAGTCAGAAGATAGAAAAATAAGAGACACAGCACACATGTACTGAGCTTGTATGTACTAGTAATTACCACACTGCACATGCAGAACCAGGAGAAAGGATTGGGCAAAGCTCTTGACAAAAAAGGAATGGAATCAGTGAAGTGTTGCAAATGGGAATTCAGAGGGAGTCCTGGGTAGTTTGAATACCTCTGTCCCCTCCCCCCGGCCATCCTGTACCACTCCCCTCCTTCCTTCCCATTCCCACAACAATGAGGGAGAAAGCTGGAGGGCACTACATGTACATCATTGATTTGAATGCTACCACAAGTGTACATGTGGCACAGCTGTACGGGTTACATGAATGTACATCACAACTGGTACACCATGGACGTGACTTGTGCAAGCAGCCATACCTTAAGATTTCTAAGGTGTCTTAAGTCCTGTGATATGATGGGGAAGGAACAAGGACAAGTTAATGTTTCTTTTGTTTTTCTTGTTTCAATACGAAAGAAAAATATGGCCTTCAACATCCTGATACCGGTACATCCTTTCTTGTCAGATCATTTCTGAAGTGGCTTAAGATTTGAGCAAATGAGTTTGGAGACTTGTTTTGGCCCGTATGTACAAATTTTACACCGACATGTACAGTAACTTTCAGCAAATCAGAACAGGACTACAACAGCATGAAGCAAGTGGGTTTGGGTAAACAACGCCACTTTAGGGCAAGAAAATCATATTTTGCTGCCGAGCTTTCCAAAAGAAGAAATGAACATTTCCATGGCAAATGGCAGTTTTGAAGAGGGAAAAAAGCTCAACATTAGTGAATGTTACCAGTCCATAAAAATGAGTATATATCCTGTATATTGTATATATATACATGTACATTTTCCAAGGAAAAAAAAGTAAATTTCATATAACATTCCACTGCAAAAAAATGACAAGTTAGTGAAATCAATGAAATCATCACAGCAATTAGGTGTGAACCATTCAGCAAAGCAATTTCGAAAGTCAAATGATTAACCCATCAGTTGTAAATTTAGAGACTCGTAGAGATATTAAACAGACCAACCCATTAAGCTTCGGCAATTGTGCACACAGAACACATGTGTGCCTTTCCTGTATCACAATGCTTGCTGACAAGCAAGGGGTTGGGCAAAATGGATCAGTCTATCCTATCAAATCTGTTGTTACATTACATACATACATACCGGTACATGTCCATCCCATAAAGGGATGGCTTTAGAATTACAGGCAAATGACACTTGTGTCAATGTAAGAGAACTGTATATTTTTCACTTCCACTTTTTGAAGTACATGTAGTCTCGATGCAAGAAAAGCCCAAAAGCCTGAAAACAAATTACCAACCTGCAAGTTGACGGGATCCCTGAAGCTCTCATCCGAGGCAGTCTGCAGTTTCTCCAGGATCCAGGTCTCCAGCTCGTCAGCGTCCCGCTTGAAGAACTGGAAGCGGCGAGCGGCTTCCAGCTTATCCCGACGCTCCCGCGCCAGCCGCTTGAACTCCTCATAGTGGTTTAGCACCTGCTGCCGGCGCTCCTGGATGTCATCTGCTGTCTCCAAGACCTTAATCTCGCCCCGTTCCGTCATGGCGTCGGCTGGGGTGTGGTTTTCTCAGTTGTGATTTATCTGCAGCGGCAAAGATGCGTACACTGAAATTCGGTGCTTGACACTACGCGCCTACTTCTGCTTCACAAACGTAGCAAAGAATTTTCTTTCACATGGCACGTGCAGCCTACAGACTTCATTACTGCTGAGGCATCACACAGTATGCATGTCATGTTTAGTTCACAAACATGCACATGTGCATTTAGGCAAGTCACCAACCCTATTACATGTAGTTGAATAGGCATTTAATGCACAGACACATGTATCACCTTAACACGATCATAGTCCCTGACCGCAGCAGTAATGACTTCCTATCGGGGTTACCAAATTAATCTTGAGGGCCTAGTAGATGTACAAGCATCGGACCACACTGATGCTGTAAGGAAAGCATTTCAGCAGGCAGTCCTGTACAATAAGGAGGTCTGGTCTGGTCTGGGTGTCCCCCTCCCAACACACAGGGCTAGGGGCTCTCTCATCCTCCATTTGTACAGGTGGGGGGCAGGTTTCACATCCATGGAGGATATACCTGCAAGTATCCTAGTCACAGAGTGAGCCAAGAGATTTTCCTGACATGGAAAAACTGTTAACTCGGGCATTCCATTGTAAAAACTCACCCACTACTAATCGTCGTGAAAGATATTTGCAATAGTTCTTGCGATGACTGGTGACAAGTACTCGTGATAAGTATTGAGCTACAACACGGCTGAAAATGTTATTCATCTTAAGTGACCTCACATGCATTCACATAAGTCTTGCAAATGGTAAATAAAACTTGCATTGTACATGTACAACTGTATTTTCAAGTTTTCAGGTGCGTGATTACATTTGGTTTATATTGCTTACATGTACAAGATCTACATGTACAGTGTTTGTTCAAAGATGCTAGAACTATAGTATTTGGTCAAATAAAGAGGGTGTCATGACTAATTTGACGTACTGTTCGTGAACTCCTATGGATGCAAACAGAGAATGGGTCCCCAACTGAATTTTTAAACTCCTATGATCATTCATGTGAATCCGGTCAGCAAGTATGACATCACTTCAGTTTAAGCTAAGCCCACACATTTATTGCCATTTACTCATGGAACCACGGAACCAGAGGTTAACCTGCAACTTCAGCGATCGCCAATGGGAGCTAGCAAATTGTGGCGGGTCCAAGTGTATGATGAAGTCACTTGCGAAACCAGATATACTCTTGATCTGGCTTCCTCTCCCCATTCCCCTTTGAGCCTAAAACTTTTAACTGGAACAAGAACGTTATTATCCAGTTTTACAAGTATGACGAAAATTCTCCAATAAAAAAAAAAAATTAAGATTCCGAAATATTTCTTGTGGACTGCAATACACGAAAAGAGCCCCTGCACTTTGCTTCATACTCAACAACGGACATTCTATAATATGCATCCGCTAATCCAGGATTTCCCCTATTGCTCCACTGATCGCACATGGGTTATGCATTACACTCATTCAACAATGCACTGCAATGACGTGCATTGCACTGCACTAGTACATTATAAATTCACTGAATGGGCCAATGTGACATTTTAGTCAATGTATCGGTACAAGCCGTACAGTACTAGGTGTATGCACAAATTAAATCAAATAAATACAATTTTAAACACGCTGGTACCCACCAAGAAGTGACCCTCATGTCACCATACCAAGTCAGTTCTAAATTCTCACTTACCGGTATTTATGGTCAAAGTCACATGTTCAAGTACACACAAGATTAAAACTGGTTATTATTAAATTACAAAACAAAAAGCTACTTTTTCTTCCCCTACCGATTCCAGTTTGCAAGTGAGAAAAAGTACATGTAAAAGTCAACAAACAAGCAGCAACACTTTATAATTTATACCTATGCACACTCAACAAAGTGATTTTCAAACCTCTATTGCCAGCGGTTGCTGGATAGGGCCCTATATTAACAGTAAACTAACAGCCGGGTGGAAATCTAAATAAAACTCTACATCCTAAATAAACATATGTATATCAAAATAAATCCAAGTCCTCCCTGAAATGGCATGGCAGGCTGTTTGCCTGGAAATGAAAGTTTAATGTACAAGTACATGTATGTACATTTACACGTACTGTTTCTAATTTTTGAAGAAACAGGCCACAATTTTTCAGAAACTGGCATTCACCTACAGTGAAAATTGTCAAGACATCTTCTTGGAAATGAACCCCAAACTTTACTTCTTCCTAAAAAAACCCAGGTGTCTCACCTACCTCTGCAAATCCAACAAGAAATTCCACTATCGTCCAGACATATCCATGACAGAAAAATATAGGGCCAAGAAACAACCAATATTCCCAAGCTCACCTGGCAAACTCCTTGTGATCCAAAAATGCTGCAATGCAGAGAGACTGCCAGTATCATCCGATTCAGCGTCCCAACACACAGCATACGAACACGGACGAAAAATTCATGAGCCAACACCCAGTTTAATATAATCCCTGGCTGGCCTGCATATTTGCGCAGACAACCTCACAGCAGGCAAACATGTTGGTCGTAAGGCCCTGTATGTACATGTACAGTACATGTGGTACGTGCACCACACATGCCGCACCTCCCTACACCGAGCGCATACACAATACTGTACAGCAGTGTACATGTACATGTACAGTACATGTACACAGGCTGGATGCACTGAGGTGGAAGCCGAGGCCACATATTATGATTATCCAGGGACCATCTCATAAACGCAGAGCATGGCACCAAAAAATCAATACAATTCCCAGACATGCCAGAGATTTCAATGCGGGCCCTGGTTAATATGCTGGGAAAAGGCAGACACCATGAGATTATTAATTCCTAGAGCAAGTTGTCTCCCTTGGGCATTAGCAATCCAGCAGCAGACTTTCACAGAGGCTGCTCTGTTCAATTTAAAATCAATCACTGATATTACATACCGGTACACAGAAATTTTATTTCAAGCTTCTGTGACTGTGAGTGTGACCTTTAGAAACCATTTCAACATAAAAGAATCTTGCATCTCGAGTACAGCTTACATTGCAGATACAGCATACATGTACCGGTACATTTACCAGTCTGTACATGGAATTTATCTCCTTTTCAAGGCATGCATGGTATTACAACTGTGAACTCTTTAAACAGGTTTGATGAGGAATCTTGACAACAGCTACACTGTATTTAGCAGTCTTGCATGTGATGTTCGAACTGATGTCTAATCCTTGCTCTTTGTTGTAGATTTTTTAAAGCAATCTCTTTGACGGCTGGATAATTCCCAAAATCCTCTTGGGTTTTGAAAGATTTTGAATGGAAGATCCAGTGTTCAAACCATATTAATCCACATATTTAACTGATTTGAATACACTGGGACAGTAGCCCTGACCAAAAAGTTGAAATTGACATACAATGAGAAGTGTGTTCTGCTACAAATAGCTACTATCTACATGTATGACCTACATGTAATGTTAATTTCTACATTCCTGCAGTGCAACCTTCAAGTGATGGTAAATAAGTAACCAGTATGAACCAAATGTCAACAGTCACGATTGCATTTTGTGAGGTTACAATATTCAAGTAGCGTTATTTATTTAAGTCAACAAGAATGACTCAGAGCCCAAACTCAAACAGCAAGCACAAAACACAGAATTGAAAGTTATATTGTATCTTACTTATGTGAATAAAGTGTAAAAATTGTTCAGTTCTCTTAAGCACTGGTACTGTAGGGTTTCAGCCCTGATTCGAAAATAGGATACATCCTCTCCTGTCCTATCCTTGGAAACAAAATATTCTAATTTATCCCAATATTAAAATTAGCATGCCCCATTTATTCACACACAAATAGCAGTACAAGCAAAACTGCAAATATGGGTGATTCACAACAGTGCGCCTCCAAGAATTTGCAATGCGTTGGCCAATCACAATATGTGAAATCTGTCGACCCAATCCATGTTTGGAAAGGGTCGACAGATTTTGCGCATTATGATTGGCCAATGCATTGCAAACTCTTGGAGGTGCACTATTGTGAATCACCAATATTCAGATATGTTTCTAGGAGTTTCAGTAAAATTACAATGCTACATGTACATGTACAGTACATTCCATTTGTTTAAGCATAATTACTCAGAACAAAAATCTTACTTTGTGATAAATTTCCTTTTAAGTATCCTAGTGGGTTTTACTTAAATTCATGGAAAGCTTACAGATATAAATGTTTAACACAGATAAATGTATGTCTAAGAATCCCCAGACAGGACAAATTCACTCAGCTACTGACATCATCGTCTCATTCACATTGGCGCCATAGCAACAGCACATCTCGTGTCTGTGCAAGTGGGTGCCTAGGGGTACGTACATGTGCATGAACATGGTTAGGGCTCACTTACGGAATGTACGTGTATGTATGTACACATGTACACAAAGTACATGTACACACTGTCTAGCAAGTAATCTCGTTAGGTATACTCTGCATGCACAAGCAAATTACTTGACCTGAAAACAGAAAAGTCACGAATTTGCACAATTTGCACTTCTGGTTTTTAAATGATATACCAATACCTATTTCAAATCTAAACTCTCAAAATTTGTATTTAATTTATTTGTCTCTGGCCCATTGATTCACAAATGTATTTTACAGCAACAATATTCTAACAAATTTGATGGGATGCTGAACTAAATTTTGACTGAACAAATTATATTGAAAGATGCATAATCACATTTTAACTTGCAAACTAACTTTCGTGAACAAAAACCACAATTTCTCACAGACAAACTATCAGCTAAAAGTGCAGTGCATGAAAACACAGAACTTTGAAAGATCTCACAAACGAAAGGCAGTCTAAAGTTGAAGGAAGCTAGGTACATGTACAAACCTGTCTGGGAAAGAAGATATACAATAGCACAGGAGAGTCCGTAGTAAGCAGCGTATAACGCAACTATCAAGAGCATGAGAAGAAGAAACAAGTCCGGGTGCTCGTCCAAGAATGGGCAGATACCTGGCATGCCAGATACCAGTACGTAGTCAAGAGAACCTCCAACAAGAAAAAACTCGAACTTGGGCAAATAGGGGTGAAATCTAGGAGTCAGTGAAGGGATGAGATCTCCATCAAGTCTACTTTTCCAAAACACGACAAAAAAGAGTCAAAAGGGTTAGAAATATCAAGAAAGCGTACGACATAAAACATAAATGCAACACTGGAGATCTACCGTATGCATGAGCAGTACCGTCAGAAACAACCAGCATGTCTACAATGTATGTATGTCACTGAGAACCTGATGTTTCATGTGTGCATAATAGATCATTTGGCTCTGTCTTCACTAGTAGTCAAGGAGGCAAATTACAGTTCCTCGGAGTCTTCCATTTCATCAGCACACATGACGAGTTTGATCTCTGAACACTGAGCACCCACTACACACCGCATCAGCATGCCAGCAGCCTGCCGTCAGTTGCAGGCAGCTGATTTCAGACGAGAATAACCTCTGCCGAAATGCCACACAAATAGCTAACACTTATCTCCTGAAGCCTCGAGACTCACCAGAAGCTTCACAGAAAAGGTCAGATGTAGGGGAAAAAGTCTACATTACAAAAAATTCTTTAACATGTGAAAGTCCTGGGAGGTGTGATAAAATCAAAGACACACTCCGGAATCTCCATCTAATCCTCCGAGCATGAGAAATGCTGTCTGCACGCGGGCAAAGACACACCAGCACAATGCTGCAGAGACGAATCACTGTTGCTAATGTTCCAACCACTTGACGCAATATTCATATATGTAGCTTGTGGCAAATGCTAGATGGAAGTACAAAGAACTCATGATGATACCAGGGGAACAGAACACAGCAACGCACTTATCTAAATGCCATTAGCAGCGGGAAAAAAATGCATGGCACCACAATCCATCAGCAGAGGCAGATGGTTCCCCCTTTTCTTTCTCTCCACGGTCCTGGCACAGAATCATTAAGTGGAGGGCGAGTGAACCAGATCTGACGTGTTTCCCCAAACTCCTATTTTGCTTCATGGAAAAACGTCTTGAGACAGGGTAAAAGTACTGACGAGGCCATGAGAGGCTTGCCTCCCAGGTCATGGAGAAACGAAAATCAGATGGAATTTCCACCAGGGACAAGTCATCCACAGGTCAAAAATACCCTGGTAATGTTTCCAGGCAAAGAATGCACTACAGGAGAAACATGTAATAATATTAATCAATTGGATTACATTAAAAATCTCCACAGCACAAATCGCATTTAAGGTTAGTCCACATCCTGAATTCAGTTCAAGTGAAGTTTCGGCTTGACAATTTTACACTTCTATAATACATCCTCAGAGCAGTTTCCAGTTTGCGTAATTCCTTGAATGAAATCAATGCGACAAGTTCACGTGCATCAAGAGGGTGTTTATTTTATTGCAACAGAACAAAGTAAATGCCAAGAGGAACTGTGCACTGATTGTAACAGACAAGACCAATAATTCCATTCCCAGTCGACTCCAGAGAAACGATTGCCATCATAACGGTCCAGACATGAGGAGAGCAAATGATGAATCAGCAGCAAGACAAAAGTACACACAAGATAACCCGTAGGAACTCCTACCGAAACAGTAATGACGTACATGTACGTGTCATCAGATACAGCCAACACTAAGAGCTACACCCACATGCGATATGCTTCTGAAGTAACTGACATCTGCAGCAGTCACTCACTATTTGTGCAGTTTACAAAAGGGGCATTACATCATGCAATTTCTCCAGACACAGGTACATCTCTATAAAGCTATATATAACTGGCAAAAAAAAAATCACCATCATCCAGACCTTCTTTCAGATTCATCTGAAATGAACAGACAACAATGTTGTCTTGTTAAGATGATTGCCGCCTACTTTCTTCTGGTGAAACCAGGCACCAGCTCGAGGTTGAATTTCAAGCAAACAATGCTTTTATTCTGCCCTCTGCATGTACAGCTGAGTGTAGAGCTTTTATTATTAACTCCTGCACATTTCAACTGCATAACATAAGCAGTGTGGCAAGTGACGTAAGGTCTCATTCAATGTAGTCATGGAAACAGCACTACATGAATAAGTCAATCTCAACAGATTACACAACTGACAAAACGTAAGGAAAAAATGACTAGACATTCCAATCTCATCCAGAGGGTGCATTTATACCAATATGTACAATGTAGCACCTAAAATATTCTATGATTCTTTTGAAGAAAACACAGCCAATCTTAAGCAAATGGTAATGTCTGTGTGAATAGTGAATTGAATTAAAGGTCAAAATAATGAGCAATTCTCAAAATATTCCATCTCTGCCTTGGAACAAGACTAACGGCCTGGTGTTGAAGTTGGTAGTGGGCATACATATAGGAAAAATGTAGCTTTAGGCATGTTCACCAGCGACTGTACGAACAGGCTGCAGACACAAGCAGTGCTGTGCAGCGTGCAAGCAGTTCAGTTTTCGATGGAATTTACAATCGAAAGATCAAGAAAACTATCATAGTTCATCGTTGGTGGAATAAGGCCACATTTTTTGGGACTTTAAGGAAAAAAAGTTTCTTCAGTATGCTTTTGGCGGCATGAAAATGAAGGTACACAACTTGTGTTTCTTTCTTGTCAAATACATACTTTAGAGCTCATGGTCACTTCTATATAAACTGGAAAACTTGAAAGCCGGCGGGCTACGTAGATTGATAATCTTTTCCCATGAATGATGTGCTTCCATCAAGTTAAAATTTCTGATTTCAAAATCTGTAATGATAATAAATCTTTCATGTTTCTGATGCAATAAAAGGGGATAATTGTTTAGGAAACAACTTACGAGTGAACGAGCAAACAACTTAACTTACAAGTAATATTCACATGTAAAATTGGAATCAATTCCGAGTGGAATCCTGATTCCTGGACGGAATCAATTCCAAAAATGCTGGAATCGCCCAACACTCTTAGCGATTTCACACTCACTTCACTTCAAGAAGAATCACTGTTTCCCATCAGTTCACATTCTTTGGGAAAACATGAAATGCTGGGGACAAATTGTTTATCATGAGTAAAAGGATTGGAGATGAAGACCATAATTTCACTAATTAATACAGGAGAAATCAAGGAATTGCAGTCTTGTGTATTAAGTTGTGTAAAATGCAAGGAAGAAGCCCTCCTAGGCACCAGGAACTTGTACTTCAGGAAGAGACCAACTGAAACATCGCTTGTATGTATCGTGTGCGTAATGGGGCGAACTAGGACAGTGAACTGATACCAATAAGCCTCTTGTGATTCAGGGCAAGCTTTTTCTTGGTCACGCAAGAGACAATTTGCACTATTTTCAATGGATAATGGCACAAAAGCACCAGTCCATTCCAGAGAGATGGTGGCCACTATGCAAAAGCTTGTTCCGAATCACAAGGTATAAGCATCTTTTGTCTGGGGAATTCAAATTATGTCATGTGCAATCAGATAGCTCAGTGTACCAGATTTTCTTCAGATTTAACTCGCAAAAGGCTTCTTAGAGCACCCATCAATTTGTGTGTGAAGCCTTTTAGAAGTACTAATAAACCACAACCATGTTTAACAAATTTTCCCCCAAATTCAGTCTTCTAAACCACTCACTGCAAAATGCCAATGTTCAGAGCTGTGCAAACACAGTGGCTACAGTAATGGCACTCTTTAATTTCAGACTGTTCCTGTCTTCATGTACATGTACATCAACTCTGGCATTGGAAACAATGACCCTCACTGAGACAATATATGAGATAATACTAAACCCTACCCTTCCTAAATCTGATGATCAACAGCATGTGATGATCGCCCTGATCACACCGTACATGCTGTTTTAGTGTTTGTGTTTTCTCCGCATGGGTTGGGTGGTCAATGGCCAAGCTTGCTCTACATGTCGGTTCGACCATTTTTGGAGGCGGGGGAGGAGGGGAAGGAGATCTTGCAATCTGTCACAGCTTACACAGCCCGCCTCTTTCACGTGATAGGTTAGCTCAGGCAACGAAAACATTGTGCGATCATCAACAGGTGGCAAGGATAGATTGGTCATGTTAGTGAGTAAAAATGTCAGATTTTTCTTTTAAATGTACAACTCCCATACGACCAGTTTCAAGAGCTCCAGGTCCTTGCGGTTGCTCTCTCAACACCGTTGCAACATCACAGGGTACTTGATTTGGACTTAGCATTTTTCAGCTCTGCCCGTTCTGTTGCCGTTGCCTTGTTTTTCCACAGCTGCCTTTGCAACATTGTAGCTGGCTACTTGGTTTAAACTTCATTCTTTTTTCATCGTCCCCATTCATTCCGCGTTGCCTTGTTCTCAGATAGGCCTAACACCAATTCATAATCAACGTCGCCTATCTCACCAACTGACGCTGCTGTAAGGCCAACATCGTAGCCACCTATGGGATACTTGGTTTGGACTTAGCATTTTTCATGCCCTCCCCATTCATTCAGCCTACATTCATTGACTGTCACATTCCCACATGAAATCCCATTTGATTAGCAGGTGCCCATTTGATTTCCTACTTGGTCTGTTTGCAACTGCACTCATTTCATTTTCCAGCTTGGACTGCGCTGCAACACAGCCACTTCGACATCGTAGCTGTTATGCCCCAACTACAGCATAAGTCCCAACTATAGTTGCGACAGTCCCAACTGTAGTGCTGCAGTTGGGCTTCCCAACTATTGTTAAGCAATGTCTGTGGAAAATGTCTCAACATTATCCACAACGATCCAAGTCAATGTGTCTCACACTTGACACGTTTCATCTAAAATGTGGCACTTCATCTGTTCATCTAGCCCTATAACCAATGACATGACATTTGTAAACAATATGACTCTGGCACATCATGCACACAGGACCTCTCTGCTGTACAGTAGTTGGGCCGGCCTTACTGTAGGCTCTAGCACCCTAGTTGGGACGCGCCCAACTATAGTAAGGACTGATGCTATCGATAGGGGCGTAACATAGCCAACAATTTCAAAGGGGTAACTTTTGAGTGGCAGGGTATTCTGCAATCACTCCAATGTATGGAGGCTATGCTTGGACCTACATGTAGTAGTAGTAGCCTACACCATTATCACCCAATATCCAAACGAAACTCGATTTGTAAATTGAACATTTAACACGTTGACATGGGTGAAGCCTGGTCCATGTTACTCAGGCTAGTTTAGGTAAAAGTTGACTCAAAACCTAGCCAGTAGCCCAGGTCTTACGCCTCTGACTGAAGCTTTGGTTAAATATCCACTGCCAAATAATTAAGGAGCTAGCGAGCTTGAATCAAAGGCAAAAAGCTACAACCCCCCCCCGGTGTCGGAAATAGACAGCTTTGGATTTATTTAGGCCTATGAACCAGATTCTCAAACACTTCAAACTACGGTATAGCATGGGTATAGGCCTATCACGTCATCCTGTTTCACTAAAGAGTACCTACCAAATACAATATGTTTCCTTTTTCTGTTATATATGTACCAGTCAGATGGCAGTTACCAGTCTCTTTTCTGAGAAAAAAACCTCACAAGACCGCTCACTCGGCCTCCAAGTTCCGACTTCCGCTAGCGCTAGGCGAACAGCCCACAGCGTGTTGCTTCAAACAATTAAGCCTACCCACTCGAAACGTATCAATTTCTGTCTGTTTTCATGTTCTCTTCAAAAACACTACAATCATTTTACATTAATCTTGCAGCTCTTCATTGTTATACTCGTCTTTCAATACAATGTACCCTCTGGTTCAAACTTATTATAAAAAAACCGTTTTTCAAGATCACGGACTAACGTGTAAGATTCTAAAAGAGAACAGCTAAAGGTCACGTGATTAAACTGACAGCGTGCCCATCCACGCCGCGCGTTGGGTCGACCCAACGCGCGGCGTGGTGGAGATAGTGCTTGACTCAACAAGCCCTCCCCCCCCCCCATTTAAATTAGTGTATTGCAGTTGGGGTCTTTGCTGTATGGTCTGAGCGGTCATGGAACGCAAACCTACCTTTGTTGAGAAAATGTGTGGAGATCTGTGGAATGCAGTTATTACCACTGGACACGGTAACGTAACACATTGGTAAACATTTTAATACATTGGAAGTTCAGTGATAAAGCCCGCTTCTATATTTTTATTGAACGAGTAGATATCCACAAAAAAGTTCAGTGAATTCAGCTAACCGCAGAAGGACACAATCTGCACGTTAAAAAATAAAGTCAGTCATTCAGTTCAAGTCCGGACAAGTTGGAAGGCTTAGAACGCGTCGGGGTGAAGATAATAAAAGACTCCCCTCATTCCTTGCAGGGAACTTGTTTGTGTTTAGGAAATGCGGACTATTACGGAGTTGAACATTTGCCTCTAGCCAACAATCACCGTAGCAATCTGCGTTTCGTTTCCTTCTCATCGAGCAAATATTACCATGGAGCAAACACAATCAGATCCAAATTTCATTAAAACGTTCGTGTTCCTTGATTTGGAAACTACGAGTCTTCTTCCTATGGAACGCCCGAAGATAATGGAAATTTGTCTGGTTGCTGTCCATCGGGAAGCCCTTCTATCAAGCTCACGCAAAGATTTGGCCTTAATATCAGAACAAATACCTCGAGTTGTGGATAAACTGTGTGTTTATCCCAACAAGAACGTCTCCGAGAAGTCCTTCCAGCTGACGAAACTGGACAACTTCAACCTTGCACAAAGTTGTAAGAAAATACTTGACGTCAACGCAGCGACGATGCTGACGCTTTTCCTCTCAAGGCAAGAGGGGCCGGTTTGTCTCGTTGCGCATAACGGTGACAAGTTTGACTTCCGAATCCTGCGGACCGAACTTCACAAACTTGAGCAGCGCTTAGGCGAGGACATTCTGTGCGCAGATTCTCTAAAGGCGTACGCAGAGTCCGACGAGCGGACGCAGGAGGATCGGACTGTCACCGTCTCGTACGCCATGGAAGAAATATACAGCAGGACTTTCGGGAGGTCAGTACCAGACGCCCACAACGCCGAGTCTGATGCGATGGCACTGATTCGTATCATGGTGGCCCGAGCTGACATCATGTGTAAATGGATGGATGAAAATGCAATTCCATTTAATGACATCGAACTATACTATATCCCTAGTCCTCACAAAAAGTAAGCTATAAGTCAGGGCTTAAGTCGCACACTCCCTCGCCGAAAAATGAAGGAATAACGAAACAATGAATGTTTTATATTATCCACTTCATAATGGAGTATGTAATCATGCATTTCATTTTCAGTGACAAATATTTGATTGTAAAAAAGGCTATTTTAAAAGAAATTTTGTCTACTAGATATAATTTAAAAGATGACTCAATCACATTTGTTATTGCACTTAAAAACAGGAAATGAAATGCTGGTACTGTATGTGTTGCCGAGTTTTCCATTCTCAGCCATGCAGTGGTAGTACATGTGCGTGAATTTTGTGCAATCTACTGGTATAAATGTGCTAATGTGCAAAAATCTTCCGTGTGTATTTATACTGTAGGATGAACCATGACGAATTCTGAATTTGAAATTTTGTGACTGCTTTCAAACTTGTAACTTTATGAAATCTCGAAAGCTGCAGCACTGATTTTTTTCTTATTTTGCACGTGCTTTTCTTTACAGGATTCCGTCGAATGTCTGATATTTAATATGTGTAATTCTAGTGCACTGTATGTATGATGATTATCAAAGAACGGGAATTTACAAGAGTGTAGTGTATTATACATGTATATTTATCTTTCATTAAATTTCTTTTAGATGTGTACAGTTATTTGTAAAGGTGAAGCTTCACATAATTAGTGAAAATAAGATAAGTTATTTTTATTTTGTTATGTAATTTGTTATGTTTTGGCTCTTTTTCCCTGGTTGTTTTTTACCGTTGAGAAACGGTGTGATTTTCACCCGTGTATGTACATGTATTGGTTTGTCGACCAACTTAGAGCATAAGGGTTGAAATGTAGACAGGCACCGGTGCGGCCAAATATTGTGGACTCAAAACAGATCCAGAATACACTGTAGAACAACGTTTAGAGTTTAGAATTGTGTTTAAACTCAAAGCGCCCTTTTAGAGTGTATCATTAGCACTTTTTTCAATATTTGAATGTGTTAATAGAATTGTATTTCTTTACAATAAAAAGTACTTTTCATTAACATCAGTCAAACATGCCAGCATCAACATAAAAATGTTAAATGTTGATGTTTATAACATTTTTTAACGTTTCAGTTTTTCACTATAGTTCGAACACTAGCCATTTATGAGATGTTTCAAGAATTTTATCATCACCTCTTCACTAACATCTTAATAACAGCTAAACATGTCGAGCGTTGCTATAAATGCATGTTTTGGTAATATATGTATTTCCACATCATGGAAAAACAGGCCTACCTAAATAATATTGAAAAAGGATCAAATAAATTACCGGTATATTTCAAGCAATAAAACTTGTTTAAAATATTTAAAGCATTATTATTCGGATAACTTTAATTTATTCAAATTCAAATTAGGTTTATTATAAAACACCACCAAAGAAGAAGTCCAAGGGCTTATACTCTTCCTGTGCAACTTCGTTTTACCACAGGACCACCGAGCTTGTCCGAATTGGGGCAGGATAGTAGTCAGCATAATTTGAAGCGATAATTTGAAGCAGTGGGCAACAGCTTAACTATAGTTATGGAATTTATACTGATCTTGTCAGTACACAAGACTTGCTGTAAACCCGATGCACTGACTGTTTTCAATAATCGTGTCTTTTGGCAACATGAATACATACAAACATCTTGTCCGGCAAAATCTTGTCCATTCGATGCACGGATATGGATGTTTTTGTTCTATAAACAAGAGTTCTTGTCGATGCAATATAGGCGTATATACCCGCCCCTTAAAATGCAACCAAACGGTGATGAGTATTAAGCCTTTTTCCGGCTCGTACACCGATGGCCAATGTGCTAACAACAGCACCCGCAACGGCTGTTTGAGGGTAGTCAACTAATCTGGTTCCCTAACCATGCAATTGAACTTCACTCATGTCAGGTCAGGTAACATAACTGCTAAAAACGAAAGCTTGTGACCTACAGTACATGTACATGTACCGCACAATGCTGGAAGAACATGTAGCTGTAGGTCTGCTGGCTTGACTTAAAGCTACATGTGCACGCGCGTTTTTTATTAAAAGTCAGCGTCATCACACGTAAAGGCAGTAAAATAATGAAAAATTGAATCAGAAGTATACGGTCTAAACAAAGAGAAAGGTGATTTTACACATCGTAAAAATTTATGAACATAAATGAAAAAGACGAAAATGGGCTCGAGCAGTTCTCTCGTTTTGGTCATGTGACCGTAGAGGCTAAACAAATAGTGGCTGTTCGATCCTAAAAACTTCCCCTAATAATAATCGGAATTTGTTAGTCTAGGATCCAGACTTTAATAGCCAACTCCCTCTTGGAACAAGGACTACACGACATAGGCTTATAGTGATAGCGGGTCTAGTTTCCGCAACGAATACTGGTTTCGAATTGGCATTCATTTTAGTCACCGCAACATATAGCCTACTCCATTTTATATGAACTGATTTAGCGGTACCTGCTTAATAGCTATGTCGACTGATACAAGAACCATTCAAACGTTCGTCTTTTTTGACTTAGAAACCACGAGCCCGGATCCTGATGACTGCAAAATCACAGAGATCTCCCTTTATGCCATCAATCGCTGGACTCTGGAGGCGCGCGAGGCGAACAGTCGAAAACCACCCCGTATTGCCGACAAGTTAGTCCTGTGCGTGGACCCAGAGAAGGCTGTGTCAGCAGGTGCAGCAGATTTGACGAGCTTGACGCAGCGGTTGCTTCGCCTCAACCAACGAGGTGCTTTTGGGAAAGGGGTCGCCAAGTTGATCAGAAGCTTCTTGGAAATCCAGGCTTCGCCAGTGTGTCTGGTGGCACACAACGGAGACCGCTTTGATTTCCCCATACTGGCCAGGCATTTCAGGGAGGTTGAGGTGGGTATACCCGAAGAGTCGAATATTCTCTGCGCCTGTACCTTACGGGCATTCGTGAAACTAGAACCAGAATTAAGTGACCGCAAACTGGTCACACTGTACAGCCGGTACGTCGGAGGTGTCCCTCCAGCTGCTCATAGCGCAGAAGGGGACTGTTTAACATTGCTCCACCTTGTCCATCACAAGGTCAAATCCATACTTCCCTGGATAGACAAAAACGCTATCTGTTTCTCCGAAGATTTTTCTGCAGCGCCAGTGTATGCCAGAGCGATTCGGCAACGGGCCTCAGCCACCGAGAGATCATCTAGTTGTGGGGAGATGCCCGATTTGAAGAGGTCCCATACCGAACCAAAGTAGACAGCAGTAGTCGATGGATGAAAATGCCTCAGATCCGACTACGCATTGTTTGGCGTCTGCAAGCAGTTATAAGCTTCCCTCTGTGATGTCCTTGAGCCTTACAACGGCAATGGCATTGGTCTAGCTAACTCCATTTTCTCATGAGTCGAAAGAAAACGGCGCTGAAATTACTTAAACTCCCTGTCGGTTCACTGCTGACAGAAACGCACTGAACTCATTTAAGACTGGCTCCATTTGCCACGAATTCAAGCCTTGAAGACTTGGGATTTTTTTCATCGATTTCCTCTTCGTTTGCTCACTCTAAGCCACTTTTAAACTCATTGGCGTTTCTGCATGCAACCCAAGATGTTTAGTATACTTGTATGAATTGCGTTTAGTGTTTTGGTTTGTTGACCGAATAGTAATACTGTAACAGCAGTGCTTTTTGTTAATAATGATAACTAGTTTGAGTTATATGTCGACCTACTCCGATGTATGATCGCACTGTAACTTTCAAGTATTTTGCTGTAAGTCACAATTGCTAAACAGTAGCTATAGATAATGGTTTCTTGCAGTCAGCATGTTATTTCAGATTTTATTCTAAATGAAGTACAGAACTATTGTAGGTAAAAAAAAAAAGAATTTACTGAGTACATGTATTACAATTCCAGGTACCCCTTTTATAGGCAGTTTTATAATTTACTCGATATGAAATGTACATTATAAACTTTTCACGGTGAAGGTAGCAAGTTTTAGTTACAGAGGTTTGCGGTATAGCACCGTGCAAAGTTATCTCTTTCTGAGCATGTATGTTTCTGAAAAGAAGTGGAGGGCACTCAACGTTTCAGACAGTGTGCTCCGTCCGTCGTCAGGAGACCACGTTGAACGATGAAGCTGCTTGTCATGTCTTGTGTCTGGAGGCGATGAGGTGTTGAGAGGAAGCTAACTCAGTATCCAACAGCAGAACATGGGATGCTGGCAGATGCACACATGCTCAGAAAGAGATAACCTCGCATGGTGCTACCGCAAAACTCTATAACTAAATGTACATACACTATGAAATTTGAAAGTCACTGTTTGAAAATCACCACGCACAAAAAGGCTTAAAATTTCCATATACCTCATCAGGATCCACCATTAAGGAATCTTTAGACGCTCGTCTACATTTCCTCAGCAACTAAGACCACATCATTCATGAAAACAGTCGAACACTAAGCTCCCTTCCAGGAAAAAAATCTTACCAATTATTTTTTCACTGAGCATAGTTTAAAAATATATACCTGACATAATTCCACTGGCATATTTCTGGCATTATGTAAGAAGTGACATAATATACATTCCAACGTATCAAGTCTTGTAAGTACATAAATAGGTTTTGTTTTCTTTTTTCTTTATTTTTGATTATTCTTTTTCTTACAGTTATTTTTGTTATTCATTATCACGAATGAACCAGTGGCAGGTTGTCCTCCACTGATCGGTCAGTTGTTCGTAAGCTTATTACATTTGGCGACACGTGTATACGATGCCTTTGTTACAACATTTCTCACTGAAAGTATTGCTCACCCGGTGAATTCCCCCCTCGGCATTTCTCACCGGGTGAATTCCCCCCTCGGCATTTCTCACCCGGTGAATTCCCCCCTCGGCATTTCTCACACGGTGAAGTCCCCTCGAGTGAGAAATAGGCTTTGTCCAAGTTTGGTTAGCGTGGGCAACCCAAAAAGTTTTTGTTTGTACAGCATGTTTCTAGGTAGGCCTAAGCACCTTTTAATTGTGGGCAGTGAGTTCATTGCATTTTTGTATTCGAAGTACAGTAAATGTGAACTGAGCTCGTTATCCTGCAAGGGAGCTGATCCTAGGCCGGCCTTCCCCTGGTCGTTGTGTTGCTCGTTATACAATTCATGTGCAACTACAGCACTTGCTAGAAACTTGTAAATACAAGTAGACATTTGACCACTCGTCCTTTATGTCCTAGGTATAACATAACAAGATCGTGTTGTTGATCGTGCTTTGACTTCTTGGTCTATGCCTTCACATGCCCTTCAAAGGACCATGCAATGAATTTTTCTTCGACGACTTTTTGTGCTTTTTATACCCTCCTTCAGTGTCAATGTGATACATGTATATAAATGCCGAAATGCAAAAATGAACGGAAACTGTCCGAATATGCTTGTCAGGTTGTATGAAATCATGTTAAGTTTCTTTTCAACTTTGTCGCCCTCTATCAACACTTGCACAACGAACTTGTGAAGTGTCCTTTTGAAACCACTCCACGCGCGTTCAAAATACAACAGAGTTACATAGTAATTATACTTCAAATATCACGCACAGGTTCAATGTCTTTATGCAGTTCTGCATGTGACAGGAACGCTGTATCTTTGGCCCTAAGATGGTTTCTCTGGAGATGCAAGCAAAAAAGCACTATCTGGGGACATGCAGCCTGTCCTCCTAGGATATGGGGTCTATTCGCAAGGGCTTCCTACCTTATTTGTCAGAAATCATCCCAAGTCTTAACGATACAATTGTGCCTTAAATCAAGTTTAAAAATAAACGTATTTACCGTTTCCCCCCTTTTTTCGAAAGTTAGTAAGTTGCAAGTATTTAATTTTCGATAAATGTATTAATTAATTTTTTCCCCACGTCTTTTCTTGTGGTAAAAAAATTCCAGGCGAGTGAAGACGTTAAACATCATTTTTTTCTTTGCCTATTTTCCGTGGATAAAGTCACCATTTCAGTTCAGTTTAATACAGTAACCAGACCCCTTGAAACCAACAACCCCTTCGAATGTACTTTCGTATTCAACGTCTTAATACTTAATAAATCAAATAATAGATCAGCAATCCAGTATGATAAATGAGACCAACATTCTAAAAGTTGATCGTATGTTTGATGTTGGACGATTCCTCTTCCAGTATACTGTTTGTCTGCAGAAATTTTTGGTACTCACAGGCATGGAAAATTGTTAATTTTGAATTCATTTTCTAGATAAGAGCTTACAGATTTGAGCTTAGTTAGTTGGGTCAAAATAAAGTCAGCTTTCAAAATCAGGAAAATGCTGTGCAATTCTTCAAGGCTTTTGAGTAACGCACCGAAAATTTCCAAAGATTTTTGAAGTAGCCTACTTAAGCCAAATGTACCCCTTGGCCCACTGCACTTTTACGATGTTGTAACCGAGAATGTAACCGATAATGTTATACACCAGGGGGAACAATTTAGGATATTTTCTTGCATCAAAGCAAGATTTCCAAGGGAAAGGAAACGGCCTTTCGAGGTATGTAGAACACACAAGCTATAAAGAAAACCAAGTCCGCCAAAAATGCTCTTCGTAAGAAAGCCTTTGGAAGCAACGCAAACGAAGATAATGAAGGGCATTTCGAGAGGCGTTTAAAGCGCGTAATTATTCAAAGCGCTTGGACAAAAACAAACTTAAGAACCGAACTTAATGTAATTATGAAAAACTTTCTAAGCAATGCGTTGACGGAAAGACTGGACAGAAGGGCGTTTCACCAACGTCTGACTTAAATTGCACAAATTCTGAGAAAATGCTCTAAATCCAGTTGTTACATTTTTCTTGCCAGTTTAACCGAAGGTCAATCTTCATTCAGTTCTCCCATGGGATATCCGCTCTATCCCTTAAACACAAAAAGCCACCTCTGATTGACCGATGATTGACGTGGGGTTTCTCCGTATTTAAAAGTTTAACGACGCACCATTTACTTGCAACATTATTTAGCAAACTTTGCTCCAAGGACACCACCTGGCAGTCGGTCTATTTAGTATAACAGCGAGAAAATTCTTTTCCATAAATCGGGCTATGCACTGCACTCATAAACCGGAAAACTGATGAATGATTTCGCTTAGGCCTACGTCAGGTTTTGGGAAACTTCTCCACTATATCCTTTCTGAATAAACTGACTGACTATAAATTATGAAGGAACTTCTAGCAAATGCCAGAAGCATAAAAGAAGTTCATTTCTCTGCGTTACGAAAATTTGTCTGTACGTTGCAAGCCTAACGCTTGAGCAAGCTTCATTAGGATAAGGCTAATTTGAATGGAGTGTTAGGGGGTCAGAACATAGAAGGCGTAGACGGCCTCGGGTGTGGCCGTTCTGGCCTGCGTCCTTCACTGCGCTACAGTCGGTTACTCCTTGACCACTTCTTTGATATGTGCTCTATTACTTTACTAGGCCATAATTTTTTCAAGAGCCTTTTAGCTCATTGAGTTTTATCTCTTGTTTTTTACCCTGGACTGGAAATTTGCAACTGTACACTGTTTACATACTAACCTATAGTTTTCAATTCGCATAATATTGTACAATGGCTGGACGAGTAACTCCTCAGATCAAGACCAATAATATCTGCATACTGGTATAAATAAATGCAAAGGTTAGCTTTAGCTTAACTGATTTCGGAATCAAGAACTTCAATATATTCTAAAGAGCCTCGCAAGTGCTTTGTTTACAATGAAGTAGGAATTTAAAATCGTTTACGGATATAAGATTGATATTTTTGCTTTTATAAGCTCCAAGGTTGTAGTATATAACAAGATGTGAAGTTTTGATATTACAATTGTCGAAAAATAAACCAGCTGACGCTAGCCAGCCGGACAGGCTACATGCAATTTACAATGTTTACATGCCGGGTACCTGAGTTATGTTGTGTATTTGAGGTGAGCGCAAGGTGGTGCGCATAGAACAGACCCCTCCCTGCAACGTTCTTGCTAATACGTTTGGGTCTGTTGAACATTATCTCATCCATTATTCAATGAACTGCAAAGGATCCTTGATCCAGTTTAATATAGTTTGGCTGTAGGTCCTATATTCAAAACCTTGGACACTTCAAGGTGAAATAAGTTCGCGGTCAGATCCTTATGGTTTTCGTCGAAGTGTTTTGCATTGTCACCAATAATATTCTTGATGGTCTGCGACCCGATCGTTCAACGCCTAAAGTTGAAAGAGGGCACTCATTGTTCGAGGGAAAACGGTACATCATCTTCCCTTTTGCGGACGATTTCTGCCTCCAGAGAGGAAACACCCACAATTGATGACAGAGGTTTTAAGCAAACAACGTGGGGGACCGGCTGTCTGTAGGCCTTATTAGATTTTTGAAGTTCCCGAGTAGTACAATGACTGTTACAGATAACACTAAGAAAAATTTCGATGTTGTAAAAAGGAAATTGTGTAATGTTATTCAAAATACTTCCGCTAATAGGGATGAATGTAAAAGGGTTATGCCGTCCCCTCATCGAGATGTATGCTTTTATTTCATGATCTTTATGATACTCAACTCGACTTGATCGATCATTAACAAAGGTGCCATTATCAAGAGTGCTACTCCTGCCTTTTTGTAAACATCGGTTTATAAACACAACTCGAGTTTTATTCACTCTCTAGTCACAGGCTTACAAATGCCCCTTATTCCAGTGTTGTTGCCTTCTTAGATATCGCACAACTAAACTTACACAGCACAACAAACTGTACTACCGAGTGCTCACACATACAATTTCACTCCAAGAAGGCGCTGTTGCCCAGGACAGCGATGTGGGCTTGCCTATTGCAATTGCCATGGACTATGCACACTAGGCCCCAGAACACGAAAACGTGGCCGGAAAAATCTATTTTAAAACATTACTATTCAGCTTAGGAGTTAAATAAAAATTATTAATTAAGAATAAATGAGATAAAGAACTGATAATGACAGAGCGTCGGGTAACATTTATGCTATAGTAAAACTAAAGAGTAACTATTAAACGCACTGAAAGTGAACTATTTCGTTATGAGAAACATCGCCCAAATTACCTTCCAAATTTGTGACAAAATCCCATTTGCGGAGAATGTAATAAATGAAATTACACTCCTTACCGCTGGTTTAGGATCCAGGGCACAAGAAACCTTGAAACAGGACGATTAACTCTATCTCATTGAATGAAAGAATCTACATTGGGAAGGAAACGTGCTTGATTAAATGAATGCGGTTTTCGAGACCCTTTCTGGATGCAGGCCAGTAAACAGGCCAAAAACTGCTTGCGCGGGCCAAAACACAATTTGTATGCTCTCAAATTCTCTACGAAATAGCGCATTTTGTGGTTTAGGCGGGCACAGAGAATACCAGCTTGCGTCTGAGTGAGATTTGGAAGAAATTGGTGCCTAAAAACGGTCCATTTTACGAGAAGTGAAGGCATCGATATTTCAAAATGGCGAGGGGCTTCAAAACTGCATTTTTAGGGGTGACCTTCCGTGGATATAATAAATATCTTCAACAATCACCGGTTAATGAATAGAAATTTGAAAAGAAAATGAAAAATCATGAATTGGGCTTTGATTTGACGTGCGTCTCAAATGCCTGAGAAACTCCTGAGTATTTTTCCAGATATTTTGAAGTTTGAATATTTGTCATTATTGGCTATAGCTTTTTATTTACTGGCCTACAACCTATTAAAGAGACTACTCTCTTGCGCCCTCTACTGTCATTCATAGATATTTTAATGAGTCTGCGGGAACAGGGCGACGTCTTTAAGATACGTCTGTAAGGGCGCGTCTATTTTTTCCACAAGTCCAAGGCAACAGCAGGACAGAGATTCAACGCTGCAATGGTACAACGCGACGGCTCGCCGGCATGAGGCAAACTTGCTTTGCGACAGCACAACGCAGCAGCACAACGAGCAAACGAGACGGCATGACGCAAGGCTCGATCGGACGTGAGAGTGCGACACGACGGCAGGATAATACGATGCGATGGCACGACATGACGGCATATATACTGCATAACAGCAACTTAGCATCGGGACAAGCGGCGATTTTATATCACTGTAGTAAAATAAAAGATAGGCTGTCGTTGAAAACAACTGCCAATCCGACGATAATAAGTCATGATATGATGTGGCATGTTTTATAGACGTAGTAGTAACTTAACACTGCAGGGCCTTGACCTTCAGGGTTAAGTCTTGGCCTTGAGAATCAAAACCTTTGCTCCAACACTGGCTTGTACTATGACTGAAATGGCATAAACAATGACGTGTCATGTGATTTATAAAACTGGAATATTCCGTGACAACCTATCTTGAATCAAGTTACATTTTGACAATCTGAATTCGCAACATCTTTTTAAAGGATAGCTACAATAAATTTCTTTTAATATAAATTAAAGAGCACCTTTCTGTCTCAGTTGACCCGACTTTCAACTTGGTTTCATGGTTTTCAAAGAGTGCTTTATTGCCTTTTTGTGTTCACTGCTGCGAGTATTTCCATACCCATGGCACAAGTGTTATGCTAAAATTAAAAAGAATACTAAGGAGAAGCTGCCAGGGAGAAAGTTTAATGTTGATGGCCATTGTTTCTGCGTATGTGTATTTTTGCTACGCGATGCACTATTGTAGCGTTTTAGTCACTCAGTCTTTATACAGAAAAAAAACATGCTGTAGGCCTACAGTTACGCCATTAACCTTTAGTTATCTCCTTAATATGAACAGCGAAATTCAGCTCCTTTGAAATGGTCACATGGTTAAGGTCGCGGTTTTCAGATCGTTAGTCAGTGGCCAGGGTTCGAATCCCAGGGGTGGCCTCTTATTTTTCCAACGGTTGCTGTCATTCAGTAGCTATAAGAGACGCTAAATTCACCCGTCAAATACCAACAGTACCTTAGCCTACTGGATAAGC